GCAGCGATTCTGAAAATACTAGTTTGATCGCCGACGGTGGTTTAGTGGTTAGTGCATGCTGACTACAAGCCGGAGGTCGTGGGTTCGAATCCCACCAGGGGTATGGCTGTTTATTTGTGTGTGTCCTATTGTGTATTAGCCCTTGGGAGGGGACTTTAAGCCCGCGGTCCGTTCCTACCCCTAACCCGCACAAGCCATTCAGTTGGCTTATGGGACTTCTTAAGAAGTAAGGGTGGAACTAAAAGAGCACTTTTGTATATATATATAAACTTTTTTTTTTGTATCGTATCGTATCATCGTAATCGTAAATTACTATTTAAATAGTCATACCTACAATTGTAGGTATTCTAGTCGCCGAATGAATCATTCAATTTGAAATCCGAATGAAAATATGCGATTAATAATCGCGGATTACTTAATTCGAAAATAAACGGCGATTTTTAATCGCATACTTTCATTCGAATTATCAATTCGATTAAATTATTCCGATATTGAAATCCGAATGAAAGTATGCGATTTATAATCGCCGATTATTTAATCGAATTATCATCCGATTATTGAAATAATCGTATCGGATAATCGGTTATTGATATAATCCGATTATGCCCATCACTAATATTGTTTTAATTTTCTTCTGTTTTGTTTGATAGAAAGTGTACAACCTCACTTTTTGGCGTGCATTTATCCCCACCACCAAGTAATCAAAATTTCTCATTTGTAAGTGTGCTCCGGAGGTTGTGCTTGATCGGTAAGGGGGGAGGTAAAATTCTCACTTTGGCTTACCTGTCATTTTGCAAATGGAACGGTCTCTAAAGTGAGATAAACCAAGGTGAGGTAAGAATATCTAAGAATCGTGGCAAAAGGAAAGCACCTAATATTTTGCAATTATAGTAAAAAAAAAATCAAAAAATAAAATATTTTCTTAACAAAATCATATTTTGAAGTTATTTTAATATTTTAAAGTATCAATAATTGTTAAGTTTAATTAAAATTAATAACAGGCAATGTTAATGGTGACAATTACGTCAAAAATGTTTATTTAAATCGTAGTGCCAGTTATAGATTTCCGTACCGTGAGGACGGCATTCCTTCCTCCCGTAGAAATTTTTAAGTTTTTCTTTTACCGTAAAGGTCTTTGACATGACCAATCTCAGTGCTTGTTATTGACATGCGCTGTAGGGTGACAGCACGTAATTACAAAATATTTAAAATACATGATTCTTTAGTTTATTAAATAATTTGTGTCTCTAAATAGGATATTTAGATATTGTTTATGATAAATGTCTTTAATTTTTAGAAACGTTGCTTTGTAAAACCCCCTAGTTTCCCGGTCTTGGTAAAGTGGGCGAGTCCTCCAACGTCTTGTTAGATGTTTTTTTTCATTATACTGCCCTACTATGGAAAAAGGCAGTAACTACAAATGCGTTTTCTTGTGCTATTATAAAGCTATGGACATTTTGTATCGTAATTCAACAAAGAAATGCAGTAAACTATCTTTTAAGTTAAATAAATCAGTTAAATACCTACTGCTTTTTATAAAAATGTAGTTTATGCTAATTTCCCACAAATTTCTTGTTTAGCAGTCACTGCCTTCCTCCATAGTTGGGCAGTATACAACAAGCTGCCTGGGCAATTAAAATTGTGATTACTGCACTAATATATAAATGATTATCTTTCATATTTATACAAAATGGGTAAAACGTAGAATATAAACAAAAACAAATGTCAACCATATTAGGTGTCATCGCGCATGGTTACGGAATTTTACACGGAAATCTATAAATTGACTTTTTACAAGACGCACAAATCGTACGGGCACGACTACGGGAGGAAGGAAGGAAGGCAATCTATAATTTAGGCTTTACTCGACAAATTTTGTTCAATTGCACAGCTAAATCGCGCACGTTATTTGTGTTTTACGTTGCAAGGAAAAAACTACAAAACTGGTTTAGTACCCGATTTCGATTGATTAATATTTATATCATTGATTAAGAAACTCAACGCTTAAATGCTTATATAGTTACGTTAGTGTGTGTATTTTATCTAAGGGATCATGGTGAATTATTGTGTTTTTAATTGTAAATAAAATTCAAGAACTAAATCGTTGTATTTTCATGTTTTGCCAAAGGATCCAATTCGGTAAGTACATTTGTTGGTGCAGAATTAACTAATGACTAACTTTACCTAATATAATTTATATTTAAGTTTGGACATTTTTAAGAAATTAGTAAAAAATAATTTTTGCACAAACATAACCTTAAAATCAACCATTTTTATATTTGAGTTCTCTAAAAAACGCCGACAACTGCAAAAAAATATACATACGAATTCATGGAAACATAATATTATATATAATGCATAATATAATGGTATTTTACCGTTGAGTGGAGACTTTCTTAATCAACGCTTTTAATAATGCTAAATGCTGTTTAAATTTTAGACGACTTATTTGTTTGACGATATTTACTGAATTGAAATGTTTACACTTTTCACGTTAATCATTACTAAAACGTGAATTTATTGTATCTAACAGATACAATTTATATTTACAGGGATTGTATGAAATTTATTTCTTCATTCGAATTAACACTGTTTATTGGAAAACCGGTTTGACAGCTTTTTGTTACGATGACAACAGTCGAGTGGTGGCGCTACTAGCGATACTTCTTTAGTGTATAGAGAAATAACGACAATTTTAAAATGTATAATATTTATTTGGTGTTAACAGTTAACAGGGATTAATTAATACTAACAATTCAATAATTTTATAGTAACGTTTTAAATTTATACATTACGTGATCGTTTAAAGCTGGTTATAGATAATAATTTTATAATATAATTGCACCGAATTATTGACTAAAATTATTGCATTAAAATGCATAATGCACACAATTAACAATTAGGGGGAAAATTCGTTGAAATGTCCTAACCTAAGCAAAACAATACAATCTAAGGTATTGTCTAATTTTTTTTTGTACAAGGAATGTAAAAAATATAAAATATCATGCCAATAATAATAAATATATAATACAAAATATAATGGTAACAAATTAATTCTTGTAGTTAATAGTAATAAATGCGAGATTCAGGAATTAATACGTTTTTAAGGGATAACCTCGAGGAATGCTTTAGGCACTTTGCCTTCTTCCATGCCTCTTATACCCAAAAGGTAATCTTCGTCGTTAATTTCTTTTACTAGAATTACCTAAAAAAATATTATTCAACGACGTTTAAATAGAGAATGTTTGAACAGCTTGAGCTGATACAGATGTCAAAAATAAAAAATAACAGATGTAAAGCGTCAAAAATGACAGAAAACAAAAGAAAAAATGACAGACGTCAAAATATTAAAAATTACAGAAAACAAACGTCAAATATGACAGCAAACAAACGCCCAAAATGACAGATATAAAAAATGTCAAAATAGCAAAAAATTATTAAAACTTACCTCGTTTGAGTTCAAAGTGAGTTCGGCCGAGTCCTTTGCTTCGTAATCGTACAAAACTCGAGCTCGCGTGGCGTTGTGATCCTGCGAATTCGTTTCGTTTTCGACAGAACTTTGTTGGGTATTGCTAGGACTACCGGATAGACTGGAGTGGAGAAACAAAAAAAAAATTCAAACAAAAATAAAAATTACTAAAAAAACTATGCGCACTACACAACAGGCCAATGTTAGTATTAATATTATTATTTAAAAGCTGTGGACGTTTTGATATGTTGACTATTTGATTATGTACTATGCTCCACAACAAATACAAATATTGAGGTTATGTACAGTTTAACGCTACGCCGTGACTAGGTGCACGTTAGAGTGCCCGCAATTTATTTTTTACGGGCACGCTAGTGACGTAATAGATAAAAAACGTCATCACTGCCGTGCCGCTTAATTTAAAATTGGCGGCACAACAATAATATAATAATAAATTGTACCTGTATACATGTTAAGGGCACGTTAGTTACGTAATAAAACCAAACCAACCCAAACTCAACAACACAACCCAACCGACCCCGCCCCATTGGCCCCCCCCCCGCCCCATTGAGCAAAAAAACCCAACTAAAATGGGCAAATTTATGTTACGATAAAAATAAAACACTTTTTAACAAAGGAACAACAAATTTATGATATAAAAAAGTAAAAAAAACTTCGACAACTTCTGAGAATCGAACCCGGGACCTCTCGCATGCAGAGCAAACGCCCTACCATCTACGCTATCTAGCTTGACAACAAAAAATATATGTTCGGGTAACAAAACCGGATTATTATTATGACGTCACTAGCGTGCCCGTAAAAAATAAATTGCGGGCACTCTAACGTGCACCTAGTCACTTTGTTAACGCTAACTTCATACAACGATTTAATCCCTACTTACAATTTACTAAATTGAATTTAGTGTTTATTGAATAACCTTGAAAGTTCATAAAATTTAACTTTTATGAAATAAATTATGAATTATAAATAAGATTGAACAGCGCATGTGCCAAAAAATTTTCTCCATTTTTTAAGGTTATATTTAATAATTATTGTGTTTTGTGTTTGTGCCTTACAAAATACTACAAAGTTCCTACAAAACATGAGTTTTAATGAGGGATTTTGTGTTAAATTGTCACTTTTAATGATCAATATTGTCATTTGAAAAAATAAAATATATATTAAATTAATGAATTGTATAAACCAGATTTTAAAGTTATGTAGGTATTGTGTATTTAATAATTCATTAAAGGTAAGAATTGTGTTATGAAATAAATTGTTCACCAAATTATCAAATATTGTATAAAACCAGCTTAATTGACAGAAACATAACCTCAATTATTTGATTGCATTCCTTTTTCAAATTTCAGTGTGGGACTTTTTGTGGAGTACTATGCTCCACACCCAAAAGTCATACCTTGACATTTGAATACAAATAATTGAGGTTATCTATCTGTTAGTTTAACGCTAATTTCGAGTTATTTTCTGAATTTAGAATTATTTTCAAAAAATAAAACGAAATAAGATAGATAACCTTAATTATTTGTATTAAAATGTCAACGTGGGACTTTTGGGTGGGGAGCACCCCACTGGGAAACAAGATATTATTTTTTTGTACAAAATCAGATTTTTCGTCAGTTTCCCAAATCTTTAAACTTTTTCCCAGTGGTATTTTATTGCTTAAATATTTATTTTAGATTTTAGGACCTTATATCGTTTTTTTGCGTGCCTAGCAATCCTACTTTTCATTTATATTATTTATTTTTATAATTTAAGAACGCAATTCTAATTATTTATTGTTAATTATAAAAGGCACAGTTCTTAATGAACAAACGACTTGATTGCATAAGATATTTTATAAGTTTTTTTGTTAAATATTATTGCTGTAAACAATCTTAAATATTAAGTAAAATTTCAAAGAAACTAATAACTTTATAAACATGCAACAAAAAAATAGCTTAAAACCAAGAAGTCTATAGGATTGGAAAATATATAAATGTATTAAATAAATAAATACATATGTATGCATTCCCATAGACTTCATGCTTAAAACATCGCAAAACGTACGAAAAGTGACATTACAGACGTCAAAGTGACATTTCTAACGTCAAGACGACGTTTCGCGATGCGGCCAACGGATGGCGCTTAAAGCACGGAATAATTGGTGTCGTCGCCGGTAATAGAGATGGGAATGAATGCGGAAGGAGAGGTGGAAGCGTTTTTGTCGTTGGAAGCGGGTTCGAGATCTTCGCTGTTAAGTCGCAGAACCGGACCCGGTTTTGCGGAGCTGAAAAACGACAAGGACATGCTCAAGCACACAAAACATGACCACATGATACAAGTTACAGTTCTCGCGGAACCTTTATGTGGGGATTTCACTGTACCTCGCTAGCTCTCGCTGAAGTTCGGTCATGATCGTCGTGCATTGCGAGTAGTAGCGCGCCTGCGTGTCGACAAACTCGTGCAGGCATCGCAGCTGCTGCGCGTGCGCACTGCTGATGCCCTCTAGCAACAGTTTGGTGATCTCGGTCTGGCGGTCGAACTCCGACTGAGCGATTCTTAGGTCGCGTTCGGCCTGCGCAAAACGCAAGGTTTAGATTTTATGTCGATAAAATAGCAAATTGTAAAAATAATATCATGACATACGCTAAAGAAGTATCGGGTTTTCGCAACGCGCGCGCCATCTGGTGGACTTCCAAAGCATCGCGTGAATTTAAGAATTGTCAACAATACATTCAAAGCATACGAACTGTATCATCATTTTTAAATAAATAGGTAGTTTTTTTACAAAAGAAAGTCTTACTCGACAAATTTTGTTCAATTGCACAGCTAAATCGCGCTCGTTATTTGTGTTTTACGTTGCAAGGAAAAAATTAAAAAACTTTTTTAGTACTCGATTTCGATTGATTATTCCTTATATCATTGATTAAGAAACTCAACGCTTAAATCCTTATATAGTTACGTTAGCGTGTGCATTTTATCTAATGGATCATGGTGGATTATTGTTTTTTTAATTGTAAATAAAATTCAAGAACTAAAACGTTGCATTTTCATGTTTTGCCAAAGGATCCAATTCGGTAAGTACATTTGTTGGTGAAGAATTAACTAATGATAACTTTACCTAATAATAATTTATATTTAAGTTTGGATATTTTTAAGAAATTAGTAAAAAATAATTTTTGCACAAACATAACCTTAAAATTAACCATTTTTATATTTGAGTTCTCTAAAAAACGCCGACAACTGCATTTTAAACAACCAAATATACCTACGAATTCATGGCAACATAATATTATATATAATACATAATATAATGGTATTTTACCGTTGAGTGGAGACTTTCTTAATCAACGATTTTAATAATGCTAAATGCTCTTTAAATATAGACGACTTATTTGTTTGACGTTTTTTACTGAATTGAAATGTTAATCACTAATAAAATGTGTATTTATTGTATCTAATAGGTACAATTTATATTTACAGAGACTGTATGCAATTTATTTCTTCATTCAGATTAACACTGTTTATTGAAAAACCGGTAAAAACTCAACCCAGGATTTCCTCTCGAAATACACAACAAATCGAGCCACGGTTTTTTTTCCGATATTTTTTAACATTTTTCGGCTTTATTCGCAAAAACACTCGTTTGTAACATAAGCGTTACTTTTGTTACGGTGATAACAGCCGAGTGGTGGCGCTACTATCGATACTTCTTTAGCGTATAGGTAATTAAAAGTAATTCCAGGGTTTAGGTTTGAATTAATTTACTTGTCTAATTTAAAAAAATGTGGTTAGGCCATGATGTCGAAAATCAATGTGAAACTTCTTCTATTACAGAGATTTATGGCACGCCGTTTTATCATGTATTAGATAATATTTTGTCTAAGAGAAATTTACAAAGTTTTTAAATATAAAATACGACTGTAAAACTTTAAGCTTAAGAATATTTATTTTAAAAAAAATTTACTTCAATTATTTTATTCTACATTTAAATGATAGTCTATAAATTTTTATTACAAAAATTCTCACATTACATTTAAATGTAAGTTTTAAATTTTAAAGTGGTAATTTTTGGATTAAAAATTTATCGAATATAATTTAAATGACTCTACAAATTCAAACCAAAATATCTTTTGATTATCAATTGTTTTGAGATAAAAAAAATGAAAATTTAATCTAAATAATTTTATAAAAAATTTATTTAGGATTCACAAAATATAAACCTTAAATTTTTACTTGGAGATTAGTCACTATAACAACCATACTGTTGAAAAAAACGATTTTTGCCAAGAATTTTTCCTGAATATCGACAAATTCTATTGGTAGCGTGACGTCACGATGTTATAGTTTAAATGGTAGGGATAATAGGCGTGTCAAGATTTAGTAATGAAGTATTTGCCAATATACCACTAAAAATCTCGTAAACACAATGGAAAAAAACATAGCCAAAACAATTGGTATACAACATAAAAAAACAAATTATAAACATCTACATATTAGTTTGTCTATGATAAAAACCTTTTGGCTATCGTGGTCAAAATACGACGTTGCCAAATTCTTGCTGTTATAAACATGCCATTATAAAATCTAAAATATCATCATTTTGTGTGTTTATTATTTTTAAATGTTTTTTTTTCATACAATTTTTTAAAAAGTATTTATTATACTTTTACTAATTTCTGTAAATATTTCTTAATTGTAAGAAGTCTTCAAATTGCATAAAGATTGAAATTCTATAAATTAAAGGAAAAAGCATAATAATTTTTTCTGTCTCTTGATTCAATTAAATTAGAAGAATTAATTTATCACTTAAAAAAAGATACTTTGATTTAATCCACAAATTAAATCACTAAATTAATTCATTCCAACCCTGATGAGATTTAATCAAGTTAGATAAAATTATTGAAAACGCATAAAAGAAGAAAAATAATAATTTAAAAGAATGAAAATTACCACTAATAGTTATGTTTTAAAAATGCTAAAAAATAAAAGATGCTTCATTAATATTTTATGCACAAATAAAATCATAGAAAAAAATAAAAATATCATTAAAAAGAACAGGAAAGAATTCAAATAAATGACCACAATAAAATCCTTGGAACTAATTATAATTATTCAATAAAAATAAAAACCAAGTAAAAAATTTAAATGAAAGAAAGCTATAATGAGACATAAAAACAATAGAAACGTTTGTATGAATCATCAAATTTTGTTGTTTAACTGGTAATGTATACAGGAATAATGGTAAAGTACTAAAACAAAACTGTGTTTTAGGAAATTTAACCCATTAAAATTCTAAAAATAACCAAAAAAACAAGATAGCATACCAAATGATGACTAATTTAATTTTGTCTTTGATAAAAGTTAACTGATATGTAATATAAATCAAAAATGTATAAAAACCAATTTACTGTATGAAAATAAAAAGTGTATTTTTTATACCTGCTCCAAAAGAAACTCTGGAGTCACACCATCCTTCTAATGAGCCAGCATGAAATCATTTAAAACTTTAGTTTTCTATATCTATTCTAAATAAATATCTAAGTTTATTTTCATGCAGTAATTCCTAGAATTAATCATAAAAACACTTACAGAAGGTTGTCCTAACATACTTCTTGCCTTTCTTACTCTATTTTTACAAGAGTCCAGATCCAACCTACAATAAACCACTTAAATAAGAGAAATGTATTAAAAAACAGTAAATGAGCACCTTTTGGTTTCCAGAACACTTTTTTCCTTCAAAATAGTTTTAATTTCGGTATCCAAAAACTTCCTCATTGGTTGGGTGAAACACATCCCAGCTGACCCAATGAAATCCCTTTCGTTCTGCCCCAACTTTTGCTCCCATTGTCCCACTTTGATAAGTGCACTGCCGTAGGCTGTCCCAGGCCCATAAACGCTCCCAGCCTCTATCATATCCAGCCCCAAATACTCCAAATTACTCAGGCGCGACGGTTTTTTCTTCTCGATTTTTTCATAGATGAAATCTTCAATTCGATTGCCTGGATTTGGTATAAGTACGGCCTCGGCATTTTTGACGATTTTTTCAGTGAAATTCTTCGTGTTTTCCGCTCTGTCCCATAGATTTTCGAAGTGAGCATCCAGTTCGGTTTTTCCAGAAGTGCCCAACTTTTCCTCAGTCAGCTAAAATTGAATTGATTGTATTTACTTAAAATATATTTACGTTAATACCAACCTGTACGACTCTGCTCACGGCCGCTCCCGCGTCCTTCACGATTTTTTTTAAGTTAAAATCCATTTTCGTGATTTACTTAACAAAAAAAGAAAATTACTGCATTGAATGCAATACAAATTTTGTATTGATTTTGTTTTGGCATTTGCTGTCAAAATGTCAAGCGACTAGCGGCGAAAACTGGAACTAAGAATCTGGCATTTGAAATGTAACGTCAAATTATGTTGACTGGGTTGTCTAACTGACAATTTTATTACGAAAAAAAACAAACAATGAAATAATAACATAGCAACGTTTATTATTATTATTATTCTTGTTTTTTATTGTAATTTTCGACAGTACGGACACTACATACAAATGTTTTCAATGAAAAGTTTTCATTTTTGTTCATAATAAAATTGGCAGTTAGACAACCCAGTCAACATATTTTGACGTTAATCATATGACATCAATAAATCTGGGAAACGATAAAAATGGGTGAACAATCCGTACCTCCCAAGGAAAATAACAACCAAAATGGAAAATCGGACGAGGAAATGCAAGTGGAATCGGAGAACGAGGAAGAGTTAGAAGACATCTCCCCCGACGGTAAAAATTGAGGTTAAACCGAAAATTTTTCTTCAAGTTGTAATTTTAGAGTTTGAAAGGTTGGACAGCACGATGGATGAGTTGAATTCGGCTCTTGATGCCATAGAGCAGAAAAACGACAACATCCACGCCCAGTTATTGCAGTTGTTACATGCCAATCGAGAGGTTCGTCAACAACTTGGTACCGAAGCTCAGAACCAAGCCTCTCAGGAGAGTAAATGAGTATTATGCATTCCGTGCTGTAAATAGGTTAGTTGGATTTATAATAATTGTAAATATCAACACAAAGTAAAGTCAAATATGTTTATTAAAGTATTATCAGTATCAGTAATGTTTAGTTTTAGTATGTATCCTCGATTTTTAGTAGTATTTCTTTGAATTTTTCGGTGTTAAAGGCTTCAATAATCATAACGTTATGAGTTTTTTCTTGATTTAATATCACTTGGCCTCTGTTTTCATGCAGATCTATTGTGGCATGATATTTAGTTTTTCTTGTTATAAAATTATCAGGATTTAGAAAAGCACATGCCAGGACGGCATCAAAACATCTCCAGGTCTCTTTATTGGGTCTGTTTATTGCTTTTTCCATTCTGTTTAACAATTTAAATGCTTCAGATTTTTTTCCCAAAGTAGAATATCTCCATTGCTAGAAGTTAAGTTTATAAACTATAGTTGGATATTTGTTTTTTCATGTATATATTTACATATGACACAGTTGATTCTAAAAGTGTCTCCCAAGGTAAAATAGTTATTGGGCATGCTAAACTTTGTAAAACTATATGAACTGACTCAGGGTCCACAAAAAAATTATATTCAGCTGTTGGTGTAGTATTCCCTTTACCTAGAAAATTTTAAAATTAATTTAAAGTATAAAATAATATTTTGGCTCTACTTTACCTGATATGCCATTTCCACCCATAATCCACAAATCTTTAACTTTGTCACTCATATTAGGATATAATTTTAGTGCCAAAGCAAGGTTTGTTAAGGGCCCCAAAAATATTAAACTAACTTCATTGGGATGTTGGTTTAAAATATCATTTAATGCTATAGGAGATGGTTTTTCCTTTATTATACTCATGTCAGGTTTATATTCATGACCTAAATTACCAAAACCATCTTCCAAATGATAAACTGGAATTGGTTTATCTGGTATGATGATTTGAGTTTCGGAACCTTTGAAAACTGGAATCTAAAAACGTGTTTATTAAAAAAAATACAAAAGCTAGAGCTTTGATTTTTGGTATTAATGTTTCAATAATTCAGCTTAATATTCTGTTAAAATTTTAAATTTCTTATATGTATAATTTTGGAGTTATAGCAACTTTACTTACATCTGTCCTATCGACCATTTCCAAGGTTCTGACGATATTTTTGCAAACATAATCCAAGGTTGTGTTGCCCATAGAGCAACATATTGCCTCGATTTTGATTTTCTTAAGTTTGTCGGCATGTAAAAGTATCAATAATGCCACAAAATCGTCTGTGCCTGGGTCACAGTCAATCACAACTTTCCTAGTTGACATTGTTTGATTTTGTTATTCTATTCACATTTATTTTATTTATATGTGTCTGGTTTCCTAATTTTAAGTTATTATCATAAAATATATAATATTAGATATAAACCAAGGTCGTTTTATTTTGGTGCGGTTATTACAATATCCCAAAAACAAACTTAGAGATTATAATGACCGCACCAAATTAAAACGACTTGGAGTTATTAGTTTATTTTTTTTAAGTAAGAAGGGACAATAGTATATTATAATTCGAGAGATAATGCGCATAATTTCGAGTGTAATGATCTTCAAAATTAAATCAATAAAATCTGACATCTGTCAAATGGTTAACCTCACTTTTTACCAATTTTAAATGTTATTAAAGTCGCCTTATTCCAATTTAAAACCCGATTGGTTCAAATCAGAGGGAATATTAAAATTGGTAAAAAGTGAGGTTAACCATTTGACAGATGTCAGATTTTATTTATTTAATCATGATGCCTAACAACGTGAATAATAAGTTTATTATTCACGTTGTTACGCAGGGAATTTATAATGTTTATCAATTTTCACAGAAAAAATCTAAAAATGAAAAAAAAATGCCCTTGAAAGTATTCAATAATATTTATTTAATCATAAAAACTTAAAACTAAAAAACCAGTTCTATTTCAAGCAACAACTCTTTAAACTTGGCATCATCAAATTGTTCTATAATATGCACATTCGGTTTATTTTCCTTTAAATGATCCAAAACTAGCTGGCCTCTTGTATGGTGACCATGCAGCTCCATTACGGCATGATGTGGGGTTTTCTTGACGATATAATCCTCGGGATTCAAGAAAACAAATGCCACAAAAGCGTCGCAGGGCAGCCAATTTTTTTCGTCAACGTGGTAAACAGCTCTTTCTGCACGAGTGAGGAGTTTGAAACTCGGGGATGTTACTCCCAGATTGTTGTATCTCCAGTCCTGTGAATTTTGAGTATTTTAACCCGCCATTTGCACACGTCACAGATCGTTTGACAGTTGTATGTTTGACAGAACATATTGCCAATTAAATAAAAAACATTACCAGTACCAGTTTCTATGCCAGTACTATTAAACTACTTACAAAAGGTATATGGGGTACAAGGCAGGCTTCCCATGGTAAAATATTTATGGGGCATTTCATACATTCTAATACAATTTGCACAGCCTCTGGGTCAAAATAAAAATTAAACTCTGAAGTTGCCGTATAATTTCCCACTCCTAGACAAAAAATAATTCTATAGTAAGTATTAAACAACCAATCAGAGCACGGCAGTTTCTACAGCACACTCGGTGCGATGGAGAATGCTGTTCTCCGATTGGTTCACCGCTTTCCATAGAGATTTTATATATAGAAAGCTAATTTATTATCAATAGTTTACCTGTATAATTTCCCCCCATAATCCACAAATCTTTAACATTTTCAGTAATTTTAGTGTCCAATTTTATAGCCAATGCTAAATTTGTTAAAGGCCCAACAAAAATCAAACTAATTTCTCCTGGATTTTTATTAATTATATCACCTAAAGCCACAGAAGAATGTGTACTGTTCACTATACTTATATCAGGTTCATTTTCATGGCTTAAATCCCCAAAACCATCATTTCCATGAAATAATTTCACCTTTCCTTTTTGTAAAATCAAAGGTTTTTCAGAGCCTTTAAAAATGGGAACCTTAAAAGAAAATACTGTAAAAAGAACTTGGAAATATTTAAATATATTTACATCTGTTCTTCCTATTAACTCTAGAAGTCTTATAAGATTTTTTGAGACGTTTTCCAAAGTTGTATTCCCAGCTGATAATGTTATAGCTTCTATTTTCACTTGTCTCAATTTTTCCGCATAAAAAAGTATCAAAAGGGCCACAAAATCATCAGTTCCCACATCACAGTCAATTATCACCCTTTTAACATTCATTTTCTTCAATTTTCCAACTAAAATTTTAAGTTATGTGAGTTATATTGCTTGATTTTGCTATTTATAAAATAGTATTTAAAAACTTAAGTTTTTAATTATCAATGATAAGCATAATTTATGCTTCATAAGTAGTGCAGTTGATAAAGTTCCTAATTAATTATATGGCTTAAGAAAACAATAAAAAATAAAATAAACTTAAAAATCGCTTATCTCGTGAATTGATAAAACAAGATAAAACTATGAGTACTAAGGTAAGTATGCGTGAATGAACAAATATTCCGATGATAAATAAAAACAAGTACCTATAAAATTAAAGCATTGATTAATGAATACTTAAACGCCAAATCATTTTCAAATTTGAGTTTGGCGCCCGCCGCGGTATTGATTGCCGGTAAGACGGGCAGCCGCACTACCGGCCGAGTTAAAATGTCACTTTCTTGTCAAAATACATTCGCGAAAATTAAACAATGCACAAATTCGTCCGTTTTATTATATGATAGTAATTTTTAATTCTATATTGGTGGTGTTCCTCAGCCTCTTTTTAGCTTTATACTACGTTATATACAGGGCGTGCTTCGTGTTGTACTATCATATTGGAAATACAATGGAACCCGAAGATGCGAAGTACTTGCGGACGTAAGTAATTTTTCAATTTAAGCAGTTTATTCGATTTAATTCAAGCTTTATTTCGTTTGTTTAGGTTTAGTTTTTCATATTGAATCTATTTCGCAGGCTTGTCACTTAAATATAAGCCTTAATTTGCCGAAAAAGGCGCAGGTGTTTTAAGGTACTTGAGTATGAAACCAAATGGTTTTTCTGCATATTATTTAACAATTTTGAATGATCTGTAGTTGATTTGTAAACGATTATTATTTGTATTGGTGCTTGAAAGGTTGCTATGGCAACTGCATTGTTACACTCTTCTATAAATAATAATTATTAATTAAAGTGCCTGTATTTTTTGAGATAATAATTTTTATCTTTTTCATATGTTATGTTAATTTTTTTATTGTACTAATGTTTATTTAGAAAATCCACTAACATTATTTACCCACCTTGAGTTCAATTATCCACCTAATGTTGTTTATTTAATTAATTATTACTTGATTCAGCTTTTACTTAAAAAATGTTATGAAATTCGTCATGCAATATTGCGATTTTATAATAATTTACAATTAGTTTTCATATACCTACCTAGTCATGGACAGGAAATATTAAAGAACTAAAAATATATTTAGTAATTCTAAATTAAATTTTACTCAAGGTCATTGCTGTTGCCGTCAGATGCGGGATTAGATCATTTTCAAATCAAATTCTACCTATAGAAAATTAAAATAGTTTTTTTTATTTATAAGGGAATTCCCCTAAAATTCTTATAGTTTTTTTTTTAATTGTTTAATCACTAATAAATTTTTGTATCATTTAGTAATTTACTAATTAATAATTTTAACCAATTAATCCTTTTTAGCTACTTTTGCTCTTTCAATAATTTTATTATGAATTTATTTTAACCACAGAACACAGCCACATAACTGATTTTAACAGTAAATAAAAATGCTTTTTTTAATTTTCACGACACAACCATAGATAGCGCTACTATTAAAACAAAACCTGTTTTATCTTTAAGATCCAAAGTAAATTAATTCAAAATAAACATACATTTACCCAGTATAAGATTTTACATTAATTAAGTTAATGTTTATTTGGTCGAAAATATTTTTAATAATTTATTTGAAGAGCAGAATCTTAACTTAAAATATTCATGAAAAAAGCTGATTTTTTTATTGAAATATATCTTTTAGAGAAAGAAAACCCGGTACGATAGATGTCCACCCCAATATAGATGCCATAGTTTTAAATTATGAAGTCGATGTTCATATTTTCGATAATAAAGATAAGAGCATATATGGAGAAAAATCGGTACGTTTTAATTAGAGTACCTACTATGTAGAATTTTTTTTACAAAAATTTTATTTTTATAGAGCCTTAAGAAAACAATAGAATTGCCTATGCTAAACAGTAGGACTGATTGCCATGCCTTAGCCAAAGAAGTAGTGAACCAATGTGATCTGATACACCATTCCCGTTTGGCAGAAGTCGAACAGATTATTTATTACTTGAAAAAACGGAAGCTTCATGGGGGACCCAAAGGAGGTACAGTTTTTAGTATTTTAATACACTATAAAACGAAATAAAAACGTTTTTGTTTCAAGAATTAGATAAGGTCGAAAAAATCCAATTTAACCCCAGCGAAGCGAATTACAACAATTTATCCAGCTACATAGACTTGCTGTATGAGGGTATGAACGAAAAAATTAAAGGGGCCCATTTGATTCAGTTTTTGGCCAGGGACCCGGAAAATTTGGAGGCCCTATCCAAATATGGTATTTGAATTGTGATTATTTTTTTTTGTAATTTAAAATATTTTTTTTATTTTAGAAACCTTGATAAGTGCATTGGGAAGAACCTTGAGAGAGGATTGGAAAAGGAGTATTTCCCTGAGTACTCATTTGGTTTTCACGTTTTTCTGTTTTTCAATGTACTCCAGGTTTCATTCGGTCATTCTCAAATGTAAGGTGAGTTACCTATTTAAAGGTCAACTAAATGAACAATTAACCTTGGTAAATTTAATATGTTTTTTTTTAATTAGTTTAAAGTAGCTTTTGTATGTTTTGTGTTGATTGGTTATATTTTTTTTAATATAAAAATTACTAACGATTTTTAGGGATTAAATTTATTTTTGAATATCAGACTTTAAATAAATCGGTAAATTTTTGAAGTTTGTTTTCAAGCCATTGATTTGACTTCCCCACTGCATTTTATTTTTAAAAGTAAGAATATAATTTCCCAAACTTTTATTGAAAACAATTGACAAAACCCAAAATGTCCCCTTTTGTCCTTTTCCCCAGTAACTTTGTCAGAGCGCGCGCAGAATTGTGCTCAGGCACTGAACAAGACCCCCTAAGCTACTTAAAAACCTTTTGTTTCATATAAAGTGCTTTATCGGGCGCCATTTTATTTTTTTCAGGAATTATTTGTATGTATTAACACTAGAGTGATTATTTCAATTAGATACAAAATATCAGATAAGAACTTTTATTCTGCGAATTAATATCATGGCGGATATTTAAAAATTAGATTTAATTTAAAATGCCAAACTGATATTTTTAGTTTAGTGAATTTAAAATATCCGTTTCTTATATTTGTATTTTTTGTTAAACACATATTTAATAAACCTAATTAAAAATTAGATTTTTAGATTTTATGCCAAACAGATTTTTAATTAAGTGAATTTAAAATGTTTTCTTCTTGTATTTGTATATTTGAGTTAAACACGTATCTTTAATTAGCTAAATTAAAAATATCATAGGACATATTTTTAAATCGATTTATGTAATTTTTATTTTTTTAAAAATGCAGATATTTTTAATTAAATGTGATTTCCGACTGATGGAGAGTGTGTTTAACAAAAACATACAAATATAAGAAACATATTTTAAATTCACTAAATTAAAAACAACAGTTTGGCATAAAAGTTAAATTTAATTTTTAAATATTTACTATATTTTTTATTTAATTGACTATTTCCCTCGTCTTAATTTCCACCAATCACAAACGCGCAATTTTGAATTACAAATGGTTTCTAGGTGAAAAAACTGTGTGACAGCACCTGTCAGCAGTTTTTTAGAGTTTACCCGCGGCAAAACTTGACAGCTGTTGTCACCAAAAATTGCAATTTATATTTTAATTGTTAACTGTTACTCATGAAATAGTCTTGTCAAATACCATTCGGGCATCTAATTTTTCCTGCGAAAAAAATCGAAAAAACACAATGCTAAGTAATATTTTTTAACAAAATGCATTCGTGCAGGTGTAAAAATCCTCCTCTTCGACTCGGATTTTTGTTGCCACCAGCACTCATGCTTTTTGTTAAAATATTACTTAGCAACGTGTTTTTTCGTTTTTTTTATGATATTACTTACGAAAATATCACTTTAGTGTTAACATAAGAATAATTTTTGATTAAAAAATAAAACGGCTCTCCATAGTCCTTGTTGGTTTAAAAACTCGGTGGTTTACAACAGTGGCGGCTCGTGACCATTCATGAAGGTGAGGCCCATGAACCACTATATGGCGCCGCAGGCAATTTTTTTGAAATTTTCAAGGTCTTGCGTTTTTGGAGCACTTCAGAATCTAAAGAATAAAAATATATTATTTAAAAATATGTTCTTTCACAAGAAGAATTTTCAAAATTTAGCTAGAATCCAAAAGTGGGGGATGAGGTGGGATTTTTATTTATTTCTTCAGCATGTTTCCACATTACCCAGGAGGTACTGCTCATTTTTACCTCTCTTACAATAATTATTATACAAGCACAGTATGTATATGAAACTCAACGATTTAACACTGAACTATAAAAAAACATGAATATTTTTATTTATATTTTTCTGTGATTTATAATGTGGTATTTGTGTGTTAATATAACAATATATTAAAATAAAAATGATCTTTTATAATTATTTGAATTATTTTTACATGAATTCACAACACAATAATGTATTTTACGCTTGCATTTTTATCACAACTTTCCATTTTAACGCTAAGGCAAAGACTAAACAGAAATAAGAAACTATAAACACGCATGCATCTAATTAATAAGCTTTGTTTACTAAAACATTCCACGCCCCGCACAGTCTTATACAACGGCTGATTAGCGAGCCGCACAGATCTCGGGACTGACTCTGCTGTCTTCCATATACTGTGGTACAAGCCCAACTTTGTGGGCCTCAATGTCTACAAAAATTCGCGTATTATCCCCGCCTTGCAGTGGTGGGGATATGAAGCGCAATTTTCTGGGATTACTATTTCCCTATTATGCGGTCGGGCGATGATTTAAGCGTTTAGAATTAAAGTTGGAAGGGGTGCGTGCTAAATTTAAAGAAAATATTTTAAACTTTAATGGTTATTCTATGTTTTGATACTTTTAATGACTGGAAATTAGTTTTAAAACGTTTTATATTTAAATAATTAATGTATCGAAAATTTCAAATTATATTGTAATTTTAACGTAATTGTTCAGGTCGGTTCGATCTGCATGGACATAATCGACTTCGAGCTGCGGCGCTACGACCGCTGGAAAGCGGAAGTGGACGGCTCGAAGCTGCCGAACGACGCGCCGATCGTGCAGCGACCGTGCCCGAGCAGCGCGAGCATGTCCGAGATCCCGCGCAGCCGCATACCGGAGAAGGTGCGCCCGAAGTCGGGCAACTACTCCGACACGAACATGAAGGCCGTGATGGAGGGAAGCATCTACGACGACCTGACCAACTCCACCGACAGCCTGGACGACAAGAAGCTCACGGAGGAGCAGAGGGTCAAGCGGTTCAGGACCTTGGTCAAGAAGCAAGAGCATCTGTTGAGGGTAAGTTTTTGTTTTTATGAAAATTTACACAAAAATACCAAATAAAATTTCAGGTAAGTGTTGCGATTTTTATGCAGCTAAAATAGTTTTTTAATCTTATTTTGCCTAAAGTTGTTTTATAGTATTTTTTTAATTTAAAATTTTATTGGTTTAAAATTTTCTCAACTAAAAATTTAAGGTTTATATTTATAAATTTAAAATATTTATAACTCTCATGTATTGAAAGAAAAAAATTACTAACTAACAGTTCACTTTTGTATTAAACAGTAAATTTTTTTTAATAAAAAATTTTTTTAAGTAGGTATAAAAATAGACATTTAAAATAAAAACATATAAAAGTTAAAAATTTTAAACTCAAAACAATTTTTAAAAATATTTTAAATATAAAATGCAAATGTAAAAGTTTAAAATTTGGTTTTCAAAAATTGTGGTTTTAATATTTTATTCTACAAAATTATTGGTTTAAATTTATAAAGAGTCATTTAAATTTTTAATACAAAAATCCTCCCATTACATTTAAATTTTAGTTTTAAATTTTAGTGGTAATTTTTGAATTAAAAATTTATCGACCATCATGAAAAATTGAAATTTTTATACTGTGTGACCCATTTGTTTGCGACTCACCCCTGAAAAAAATTTATTTAATGTGCGATTTTAACCGTATTTGTTTTAAAGTGTCGATCTTGATAAACTGTATTTTTGGAGCAAAAACGCCATATTTGTACAAAATACAAGGCATACTATGTCAGTTTTTAAGAGTAAATTTTTAAGATTTCATATTAGCGATTTTTTTAAACAAAATTTAAGCACAGCACTGGATTTACCACCCCTCAAAACGACCCTATACTAAATTTGATTAAACAATTTTATGTAGAAAAATGCACAATAATAACAACAAAAATTTATTTTGTCAATTTATCCATGAAAAAAACATTCAAATAAAATTAAACTAATAGTAACATGGTACTATTACTATAATTTTAATTTTATTTCAATGTTTTTTTCATGGATAACTTGACAGAATAATTTTTTTTTGTTATTATTGTGCATTTTTGTACTTAAATTCTTTAATTCTTGGCGATACAATATTTACTTTTGAATTAAATGTAAGGTATCTTTATGTAAGTTATGCAATAATTGTTTCAAATATTGTCTATTCTTTTTTTAACTTTTGCTCGACTTTAAATAAAGGTAAGGATATAATGACCATGTTTAAAAGGTTCAAAAGGTAAAGATTGGATTATGCTATCTCTTTTTTTCTAAGACTGATAGAGAAAAATAAACATGGTCATTATATCCTAACCTATAGTCAAGTAAAAGTTAAAAAAAGAATAGACAATATTTTAAACAATTATTGATTTAATTAACCTGAAAAAAATTATGTTGGTATATAGCATTGTCTTTATTACTTTTTTACCTATATATATAATATATACTGCAATGATTTTTCCAAACACGTTGATTTTGTTAGAGGTAAAATATACATAATTGTTTTTATGTGATTCTTCGGACAAACTAATATCACTCCAACATCTAAAATTCAATACATAATACTACACTCATGAATATAATCATGTAATAATTATTACCTACACATACATAATACCAAACCAAATATTAACTAACACAAGAAACAATCTTCCAAAATGTCGGACACTTTCTTGAGTGGGGGATATTTTTAAGAGTAGGCCAGTCATACCAATATTTACTAATCTTAGAATATCTTTAAGAACAGAATAGAGGGAATTTTCAAAAATTTGGTCCAATAGATTGTTAATCTTAAATTACGAAAAAGATTATTTCATCATCTTTTTTAACATTTAACAGGCAAGAATAAGATCTGCTTGTTTAAAAAAAGATGAATATTTAGTTTAATGTTATTTTTACCCTTGACAATATTAATTTCATTATTTCAACTGTACTTGATTTTAATCTAAGAAATAAAATCTTGTATTCGTAGCCTAAGCAAATTATACTTAAATCAAGTGAATTTTTTTGAGAATAAAGGTATTCTTAAATTTAAAAAACATTTTTTCCGTGTAGGTAGCATATTACCTACTTCTAAACATCGCGGAAGACGAATCGGTGGAGGAAAAGATGACGAAACGTAACATAGTCGGTTTGCTAGTCAAAGCCTTGGAAAGAGACAACGAGGATCTCCTGATTCTGGTCGTGACGTTCTTGAAAAAACTCTCAATCATGCAGTGCAACAAGGACGCGATGGCGGCGCTGAACGTCGTCGAAAAGTTGCCGAAAAACCTGGACTCCGCCAACCCCGATTTGGTGCACTTGACCCTAAAGCTGCTCTTCAACTTGTCGTTCGACCAGAAGATGCGCATTAAGATCGTTAAGGTGGGCTTGTTGCCCAAAATAACAAGTTTGATTAGTAAGTTTTACGCGGTTAAAATGTCATTTACGAAGTAGACTTTGTAAAATCATTGTTTTTAGGCGACGATAAACATCAGGAAGCAGTCTTAAAGCTCCTCTATCATCTGAGCTATGATGATGAAATAAAATCCTACTTTGCCGACTCGGTAGGCCTGGTAAGTACCCTTTTACTCGTCAAACCCTTTAATTTTATACACAAATCAACTGTTTTATTGTAATAGGTTGAAGTAAACGTTTGATAATCAGCTGTCAAACGCGTGTGTTACAAACGAGTGTTTTTGGGAATAAAGCCGGAAAATGTTAAAAAATATCGAAAAAAAATCGTGGCACGATTTGTTGTGTTGTTGGGTGTATTTCGAGAGGAAATCCTGGGTTGAGTTTTTATCGAATTTTCAATAAACAGTGTTAATCCGAATGAAGAAATAAATTTTATACAGTGCCTGTAAATATAAATTGTATCTATTAGATACAATAAATACACATTTTAGTAGTGATTAACGTGAAAAGTGTAAACATTTCAATTCGGTAATAATTGTCGAACAAATAAGTCGTCTAAATTTAAACAGCATTTGTATTATTAAAAGCGTTGATTAAAAATTCTTTAAAGTCTCCACTCAACGGTAAAATATTATGTTGCCATGAATTCGCAGGTATATTTTGTTGTTTAAAATGCAGTTGTCGGCGTTTTTTAGATAACTCAAATATAAAAATGGTTGATTTTAAGGTTATGTTTGTGCAAAAATTATTCTTTACTAATTTCTTAAAAATGTCCAAACTTAAATATAAATTATATTAGGTAAAGTTATCATTAGTTAATTCTGCACAAACAAATGTAGGTACTTACCGAATTGGATCCTTTGGCAAAACATGAAAATGCAACGATTTAGTTCTTGAATTTTATTTACAATTAAAAACACAATAATTCACCATGATCCCTTAGATAAAATACACACACTAACGTAACTATATAAGCATTTAAGCGTTGAGTTTCTTAATCAATGATATAAGGAATAATCAATCGAAATCGAGTAATAAACCAGTTTTTTAGTTTTTTCCTTGCAACGTAAAACACAAATATCGTGCGCGATTTAGCTGTGCAATTGAACAAAATTTGTCGAGTAAGACTCTTTTGTGAAAAAATTATCTATTTATTTAAAAATAATGTGCAGTTCGTATGCTTTTGAAAATATTGTTGACAATTCTTAAATTCTCGCAATGCTTTTGAAGTCCACAGTTCTCTTTTACAATAACCAAATGCAACATTTCCGGATATTTATTTTAATCTCCATAGCTACCTACCAGTTTTTTCGACTTAATAAGTCTTATTAAAAGTTTTTAAGAGAAAGTAAGACTTTCAAATTTCTTACTCTCTTTCTCTTACTTATACCAAGCCACTCATTTCTTACGCCACGACGATAAAAGCCGATATGATCCCCACTAAGTTCACTCATATCGATTTTCTTCAACGGTGTCTTCTCGGTGTCGGTTTTTCGTTGCGCAACTTCCGTGCCAAGAGAAGTCCCAGATAGCACAAAGAAGTACTGGAAACGTCCTGAGTATATCTTGTATCAGACATTAGTAAGTCCCGAGTACGTCCGAATCAGGTCCTGAACCTTCCGCAGGACGTACCAGGGACATTGATGTTACCAAATCGTCGGTCCCCAGAACGTCCTAAGTAAGACATTCTTTAGCCGTCCTGAAATACTTTATTGGGGACTATTGGACAAGCTTTACAGAATTGAAGAGTCTAAGTGACAAAAATAAAATTGTGAGTTATCAATGAAAAACAAATATTTTACACATATTAATGTTGGAATATTTTTAAGTCATTCTGCATGACAAAGAATTTTTAAATGATAATATATTATTTAACCAACTTAGCACTTAGAAATACCATCCTTCAATTACTAAAAAACAAAAATTACGTCCTTGGGACTTACCGAGTATATCCGCTTCGATTTTGCTAAATAAGTAAGAGACTGGACGTACCCAAAACTTCCGATATAGATCTGGGACGTTCGGACCAATGTGGGACCCGAAATGGACGTCAGAGATTTCATGCATAACCCGAAATCTAGAGCTAAACCAGAAAAACTACTATTATTTTTGGAATCAGTACAAAATGTTACCTTAAAAAAGTGGTTTTGGTTGAATGAGGAACAACTTTATCAAATTTTGTAAACTAGTGTAATTTTTACATGTTTTACTTTTATTTATATCGATTGTTTATATAATAAACTTTTTTTTAAATATTTTTATTAAGACGTATTAAATTTTCTTACATTTTTATCGTGCAAAAAATAGACCTGATATGAGAATACCATACCATACCACATCTACTTTTTGCACTCCAAAACAATAACACAAAAAGTATTGGGTGTCACACTGCTTTTATAAATATAAAAGCAACATTTTACCAACATTTACAACTACTTTGTTAAAATAAATATGCAATGAACTGTAAATATTTTGAAAGTATTTCCAGATATGTTTGTGATGTTGAGGAAACATTAATTAAATATAAGGTAATGTATCTAAAACATTTACTAAATGTTGTGAAAAAATATTGTATAAATATATAAGATATTTTGGATAATTAGGGGGAATGACATCAAAATTAGAACATAATTGAGTTTCTGTAGTAAAAGATTATATTGTTATTTACAAACCTTAAACTATTATTTACAAAAAACCTTACCTAAAAGAAACGACATTTAATGTTCTATCTATCATAATGTCAATTCCTAACTACAAGTAATTTGTAAATTGTCAATCTAACAATAATCAACTATTAATAATTAAATGACAATAATTATATCTAAGCTCGGAAGAGCGTGATAATATTTAAAGAAAATATATTTTCTTTACAAATATAAAAATGTTGTTAAAACATTTTAGAAGCATTTAAATGATAATGACTAATATTACTAATAGTAATATTCTAAAATATAGCTAGCTAATCAGTTTTTTAACTAATTTATCAAAAAAAAAACTATAGTTTAAAAATTAATAAAACATGAAAATTGGTAAAATGCATGTTTTGAATTAAAAAAAAAATTAATGAAAAATTTGAGTTATCTATATCAATAAATTAAATTAATTAATTTAATTTTTGTCGAATTCAAATTTTATTTATTTTTTATTTTATTTGGTATTTTAGTTTTTTTATGAAAATAAAAATAACAAAAGTTTTTAAGTTTGAGCGTGATAATATTTAAAGAAAATATATTTTCTTTACAAATATAAAAAGTGGGACATATAAATGTTGTTAAAACATTTTAGAAGCATTTACAGGGTTCCCGTTTGTCATAAAAATTTTAAATGTCATAAAATTGGTTAAATTGTCCTTAAATGTCATAAAATTTACATTTTCTCATAGAAATCATAAAATTTCATTATTTTTTAACAATTTTCTCACCTTTGCTCTTTTTTTATAAAATGAAAATTTTGTAAAATAAAATTTAAAGCCGGTCCTGTAGAATAAACGCAAAAAAATGTTTTAAATACGGGCATGTTTGTTGACGTATGAACTTTATACTATAGGTGAGTTCGGGATGGCGGTTTGGTGTAAGTGCAATGCGGTGTAGTGTTGGGGTAGTGCGTTAAAAGTGTATACCGCAACTCGAACGCTTCGGTGTTTCTAATGGAAACTTTCTATGACATTTGACTTATTCGTAACCTTAAAAGATTGCAATGGATTTCCATCTACATCGATTACCTGGTTTGTTGCTACCGATTATTAATATGGCTCGGGAATTATACTTTGAGGACGATGCCGAAGAAGACTTTGAAAATGTTGTTGAAAAAATTGTATTTTCATTTATAACAATATTTCCCTGTGAATCTTGAACAGTACAATGCGTTTTATTTGATATTTCTTCCATTATATCCGTCACTGATATTAAAATGACAGCTAATTATAACAGGATTTAAAGGTTAAAACTTTTAACAAACTTTTAAAACATTAATAAAGCGCATGCACGCACTAAAACCCTTGCTCAAAAGTCGGGGCGTTTGGTGCAAACACCGTTAACACTGCACTAAAATACCCGAACCCAACCTATGAAGCACAATCTTGTGCTATGAAGGAAAAAGAAGATTTATTAAGTTAGGTTAGGAAATGAACTTTAAATTTGAAATAAATAATGAGAATAGTAAAGTTATTTTTACTCTATATTACTTTATAAAAGGAACTTCCTTTAACACAAAGAGGACTTGAAGAAATTGATAGTAGTTTGGCAAGTAAGGAAGCAGAGTTAAAAATAGCAAGAAATCTTATTTCTAAAGGAAATAAGAAATTATCGAAGTACCTTAAAATAAGACTACTCCTAAAAAATCTGAAATATTGGAGACTCAATCAATGATGGGTCTCAAAAAAGCAACAAAAAAAATAGTATGTGGTTTTATTTATTTTGAGATTACAATAACTATTATAGAAAGATACTAAAGTAACATATATTGGAAAATATAATAGAAGAAATATTTATTTTGATGCGAGAAAAAATATTTATTTTTATTTAAAAAATTACATATTTTTTATTAAAATAACATAAGAAATAATGAATTTTTGTCATAAAAAGTGTTATAAAATTTGAAAAATATGTCATAAAATCATTAAAAAAAAGTACAAAACAATGCTGGGAACCCTGCATTTAAATGATAATGACAAATATTTTTAAAATATTTGGTTCATTTAGCAAAAATATTCGTAATTGCATTAATTTATTTTCATTTATCTCTTACCTATACAAAGCCACTCATTCCTTACGCCACGCATATTTTTTCGACGTTTCGACAGATAACCGACATGCTCCTGCTGAACGCCGGCAACGACGGCGACAAGGTGATGGTCGCGCTGGGCATCAACCTGTCGATAAACCCTTCGAACGCGCAGCAGATGATAAAAAGGTCGCGGCTGCAGTCGCTGATGATGCGCGCGTTCACCTACCAGGACCCGATGCTGATGAAGATGCTGCACAACGTGTCGGAGCACCCGAGCTGCTCGGCCTCGTTCGTCGAGTTCGTCGGCGACGTGGCCAAGGCGACGGTCGACTCGCCCGAGGAGAACTTCGTCAGAGAGTGCATCGGCATCCTGAGCAACCTGCACCTGCCCGATCTCGACTGGGCGGAGATCTTTCGGCACTTCGAGATGGTCAAGTGGATCAAGAACGTCATCGGGAGCAACAGCACCGATCCCGAGCTGGTTCTTCAGGTAATTTATTCATTTATTTATTTACAAAACTCCAGCAGGCAGAGCCCAATTACAGGAGAGTGATACACAATTCAAATTACTACCAAGACAAGCATAGCATACTTATAACCAGAGCTGGCCAAGTACTGAGTACTTTTACTCGTATTTTAATTACGAGTAAAAAAGTACGGGTACTTTTTACTCGTAATTATTTTTCATTTGAAATACTTACAAACCAAATTAAAAATACTCGTGGAATTCACGAGTAATATATATGAGTATTTTCGTTTATTATATGGATGACTTTTTTCCAAAATATCGTAAGCTTCAAAACATTTTGTTTGGAAGTCTGTTTTAAATTATATAATATATAGTATAATAATAATTTTTAGGGAGTGTACACTGTACATTATATATAATGTACATGTAGAGTGCACTCTCTAAAAATGAATTAGTCCAAAATGGCTAATTACCAGTGGTAATTTACCACAGTTATTAGTGGAAATTAGTAAAAATACCATCAAAAATTATGAACGTGGAGCAGTTTTTGAGATTTCGTCAAGTCAATATTATATGTAAAATTGTTTATAGGTATCTCAAAAACTGTTCTACATTTCTAACTTTTGACGACATTTTCGGAATCAGGGAACAATTTTACATGGAAATTGAATGCTAAATATTGACGAGAATTATTAGTGGCTGCTTTTTCGATATGACAATTATTCATTTTTGAGTAACCCATTTTTAGAGAGTAATGAATAATCAGATATATTTACTAATTTTTTTCTTCAAAAGTTCTCGTACTCTTTACTCGTGTTTTCACGATTACTACTCGTAACCGTAACCTCTCTTTACAAATGTACTTTGAGTAAAGTACTTCCGAGTAAATATTTTAAGTACTCGTACTTGAAATTTAAACGCGTATCTTGGCGTTTTTTTAGATCACGTCATTTTTTTTTTAAGTGCGATCCAATAAAATGTTATCCACGGTATTCGGCACATATTACAACAGATATATTTTTATGAAAAATTTATTCACTGAATAAATGGACAACCATTAACATTATTTATTTATTTTAAAATTATTTTAACTATATACAGGGTATTGCACATTTACGAAATACGGGTGTTTCCCGTTCGTGGTCCATTGAGAGTTTCTGAGGAACGGCAAAAGATATCGCTTTGAAATTTTTAAAGCGTTTATAATCCAATTAAGCCTATTTTACTAAAATATTTGAAACAAAATGCCACTTCTGGCTTGACCGAAAGTGAGATCAACTTTGTTATTTTAAATGGAACACCCCATATATTTTTACATTTTTAAATTCTACATAGTAAAATTACTGTACCATGTCCTATACCTAGAGTAAATAGTTTTGGAGTTATTAATTTTTTCCGTTAAAATATGACAAATGCGCGTCGATCAAAAATAGTCATAACTTTCTTGCTATTAGGTTTGCAGAAATGGGGGTGGAATTTTTGGAATCTTAAAACATTGTTTAAAAGATTCCATGTCAATTTCTTAACATTCCATGTGTTACATTTAAAATAAAAAAGTTATTAACGTTTCAAGTAAGCCCAATTTGACCTGGGGTTTCTCGGGTAATTTATTGAAAAATGTTAAAGAATTGACATGGAATTTTTTAAACAATGTTTTAAGATTCCAAACATTTTACCCCCATATCCGTAAACCTAATAGCAAACATCTAGAAAACTATTCACTTTAGGTATAGGACATGGTATAGTAATTTTACACAGAATTTTATGTAAAATTTAAAATTAAATGGGGTGTTCTATTTGAAATAACAAAGTCGATGTCACTTCCGGTCATTTTATTCAAAATATTTAAAAAAAATAGACTTAATGGATTATAAAACGCTTTTAAATTTCAAATCTACATTTTTTCCGTTCTCCAGAAACTTCCAATGGATCACGAATGTGAAACACCCTGTATATCAAGTGGTGTTTTTAGGTTGTGATACCACTATAGATTCGAAAGCAATGTATAATCGTCAAACTAAAAAAATCAAGATTTGTTTCCAACATATATTTAATATAAGATAAATACAAATCTGTTGTTTTATTAAAAAAAAATCAAAAATTAAAACCAGAATTTTTTTTTTGACTTAAAAAAATAAAATTGTTATTTTCTTTAAGTATAATTTTTTTATTATGTAAAAACATAAAATATTTAAAGAAAAAAAATGATTTACAACAAAATAGAGAATTAAAAATCTGTTTTTTTAACCTTTATTTTTAAAATCTGTTAAAATTTTTCACGGGAGGAAAATCGTGTTGTACTCTGTTATAGTTGAAAATACTTTAAATTAATAAATGTAGCCCGAAAATTTTTAGTTGGGAAAATTTTGAATAAAAAAATTGACGAGTAAAAGTTATAAAATGATTTTGGTGTTTTTGTGTAAAAAGTGCTTTTTGTCCTTGTATTTATTCGAGGCAAATTAAAATGCAATTTTAAAATTTATTTGAATTGCATTTTCTTTTCGACGTTTTACTTCTTAGGTTGTGGTACTGCTGGGCACAGCGGCGTCCGACGAGGGCTGCGCCAAACTTCTATGTCAAACCGACATAATGGCGGCCCTCATAGAGCTCCTGAAAACGCACCAAGAAGACGACGAAATCGTTTTGCAGATCGTTTACGTTTTCTACGTCAGCTTGTCTCACGACGACAACATCGACTACTTGATCGAGCAGACCGGTAAAGTAGAGCGCCTTAAGTCTGAGTTATAGATTGCCTTCCTTTCTCCCTTCCTTCCTCCCGTAAGAGATGAACAATTCGAAAATTGTAGTGCCATTTATAAATTTCCGTACGGGAATCTATAAGCAGCACAACGGTTTTTGTATTATTTATCTTTTACGGGAGGAAGGAAGGAAGGAAGGAAGGAAATCTATAAATCAGGCTTTAGACGCGAGAGATGCTGATTTTTTGTTTCAGAGGCCCCGGCGTACCTCATCGACCTGCTGCAGGACAACAACAAGTCGATCAGGAAGATTTGCAACACCTGCCTGAACATCATCTCGAATCACAGCAAGTCCTGGGCGGACAGGATAAAAATCGAGAAGTTCAGGCATCACAACGCGCAGTGGTTGACGATGGTGGATTCCCAGCAGCTGGACCCCGAGGAAGAAGAAGAAGAGGACGAGTTGCCGCCCTATTTGAACACCGAGTACCTGAGTACCGCAGTGGTGCCACCTTTGAACGGTAAAACGAGTTTTTACAGTACTTTTTGCAGGGCTCCCACACCTCCTAAAACTCATAAAATTCCTAAAATTTTGCTTAAATCTTGAAAACTCCTAAAATTCTCCTAAAATTGCCTTCAATCTCCTAAAACTCCTAAAATCCTAAAAATTAAATTTAAATAGGCCAATCTGACTGCGTTTAATTAAGGTAGTGCTAAAAAAATTTTTTTTAAAGTAATTTAAAATTATATATATTTAGGTTCTATTTTATTAAATTCTTTTTAAAATGATATAATATCACAACTAAAATTTTTCTTAAAAAACAACCTATAAACTTCTACAAAATTGTCATTTTTAGCGATATTTCGTTTTTTAGTCAAAAATATACCGTGTTATATACCAAACAAAAGGATTTTTAATTTTCTTTTAAATGACAGCTAAAATAGTAAACAATCTAAAGAATGTTTTGCTGTATTTTGCAAACTTCATATTTTGTTATGAGATTTTTAAGTATTAAGATCCACATTACAATTGAATCGGTGAGAATAAAAACAGTACAAGTCCAAAAATTAATTTTGACAATTTATTTTCTAAAATCAATTTTAAAGTTTAAAATACATTTTTGTTAGAAGATATAAATTATTTTACAGAATATGAATATTATATTTCATAAAATAGTTTAAATATTTTAACAAAAATGCATTTGGAACTATAAAACTGATTTTTTGAAATATTTTATCAAAAATTTTACTTTTGGACTTGTACTATTCTTAACATTATCGATTTAATTACTGTTAGTTATTAACCAAACGGTTTTTGTTTTTTTCATTTGATTTTGGCATTAACTAAATCTAGCGTCGCATTTTTTTAAATAAAATTAAAAGTGTGGTGAAATTTATACTTGTATATACATATATGTACCTCAGATATATACAAAAGTAGTAATTTTACCTCACTTTTAATTTTATTTAAAAAAAACTCGTCGAGCGATTTGGCTAAAAAACTAGTCAATATATTGTAACAATAAGTTTTATATAACTTATTGTTACAAAAGAAGTTTTAATTTTTTTTTAAGTAGTAAAGAGATGTTTTTATTTAATTAAAGAAATTCATTTCCATACTTTATTTCTCCTAAAATTTTACAAAAAACCTCCTAAATTCCCAAATAAAATTTGTAATTTAGCCGTGGGAGCCCTGTTTTTGTTTCATTGCATGTTTTTTTAGATGCCTTAACAAATGGCCACCTGGACTCTGAAATAATTGCCGATGAAGACTTGAACTACGATTATTTCAACAATAAAGTGGACAGTATGGAAGAGTAAGTAATATTTATTACTTTCTAATAAAAAAATAATAATTTATTTATTTATTTTAGTCTAATACAAGATTTTGAAATTGAGGCCATGTAATAAGGATCCGCAGATCTCATTGCACAAATTTAATATAACTAATAAATTACACAGGCCACAACTTTTCTAGGTTAATTTTGGTGAGCTAGCGCACCAAAATAACCCTAGAAATTGTTGACCAGTGTTTTAAGGCTTTATTTAATTAAAACCAAAGTATTTTGCAGCATGTTCTAGTCAAAGAATACATACCATGTAGTGATTAAAAAATAAGTTACTCTCTATAATATGCTCTCGTTTGAGTTTTTCTGTATTATCATCGTTATTTTTTCATATTTTATTTATAACTTATTGTTGATTAAAGCCAGTGATTTGTTTATACTTAATTTTACAATTTTTTTTGTATGTATTTTTTATTTTGTTTTTATTTAATAAAGGGCATTTAATAAACTAAAGTGTGTCTAATTTTTACGCAAAAATAAACAGATTTTAAATTTCAAATATTTACAATTTTTGTAAATCAATTTAGTTATTGCTTTTATTTAAACTCTACCCTCAAAATTTAAAAGTGAAAGTATTACCTTTTTTTATTATTAGTGGCTTAAAAAACATAAAAATTGCAAAAAAACAGTGGCGTATTTTTTTGTAATTAATATTTGTTAAGATGCCTTCCGGGACGCCACTGGACTGGACTGAACATTTAAAACAGATTTTAGGATGTCAAACTCACTAAAAAATGTCAAAATTATAAAATGGAATGTCAAATGCATATTTAGGAACTTCTTAAAAAATCCAAATTTTAGAATTTTTATAACACATTTTAATGTCAAAACATTTTAAGAGTGCAAAGCACATTTTGAGTGTTAAAAGCACATTTTAGAATGTTAAAACCATATTTAAGAATGTCAAAACCACAATAAGAAAGTTAAACTCACTTAAAATATCAAAATTACTTAAGAATGTCAATATCAAAATATGGAATGTCAAAAGCATATCAAAAATAAATTTTGTTCACATTTTAGAATTTTAAGAGTGTCATTTTTAGAATGACAAAAAATAATGTAATGTCAAAACATTTAGAATCCAAAAGCACATTTAGAATGTTAAAAACACATTTAAGAATGTTAAAACCGTATTTAAGAAAGTTAATATAACTTAAAAATGTTGATATTTAAATATAGAATATCTAAAACACATTTTAGGATGTTAGACTCACATGTCAAAATCATAATATGGAATGTCAAAAACATATGAAAAATACATTTTAAAATGTTAAAACCATATTAAGAATGCTAAACTAACTTAAAATATTTAAAACAGATTTTGGAATGTCAAACGCACTTAAAAATGTTAAAATCATAAAATGGAATGTCAAATGCATATTTAGGAACCTTAAACCTTCTTATTTTTAGAATTTTTAGAAACAATTTTAATAGTGTCAAAGCACTTTTTAGAATAGTAAGTTTTTCATTTGGGATTTTACGATTACTGAATTATTAAATTACTGAAGATCTGTAATAAAAAAAACTACCTAATTGTGAAACAAAATTTACAATATAAAAACAAAAAAAGTACCTACGTATAAGACCGTGGGCACGCCTATGGAAATTGCATTAATTCGGTACATTGGAACTACTTTGGCGACCCACTTGGATTATATATTTTTTTTGTGTTGGCGGCCATGTCTCGGAAAATGTGACACTTGTCAATTCAACGAAAAATACAAAAAATAACGGAATATAGCATAAGATTGCACAACTAGAAAGAGCCATCATGTAGTGATATCTCCGGAGTTTTATTTATTTATTTGAACTTTATGTAATCTAGTTTAGTTTAGCTGTTACAACCAAACTGCGCGGAGGTACTCGTGGTCCACCATACGACAACGTTTCGGGTTGGAAAGATGTCCTATTCAAATTATAATTTCAATTCCGCCGAAAACAGTGCTCAAGGGAGAGGTTCAAGGGGCCAAAATCACAGTGTAGACGTTACAAACTCCAATCTGGAACCCACCGCTCAGGAGTTCTATCCCTCGACAAGCAATGGGGCTGTTAGAAAAACCCCCCAGGCTAATTCCAGGAGAAACAACCAACGTCACGGAAGTGGCCGGATATTCAGTGCTAGGAGCGATCATCCAAACAGAATTTACGATAGAAACAATGATGAACGCCAAAAGGCCTTGGAAGATGCTAAGAAATTCTTGCAGAGTACAAATCAGACGCCGGACAATAAACCCAATGAAGAGGTGCCAGAGCAAAGCAAAAATCATCAACGAAATGATGGATACAGCCGGAGAAATAATTATTCCAGAAATGATAATAAATTTTACAATAGGAGTTATGATAATAATTACTATGATAATAAGGGTGGCTATAATAAGTATGGTAGGAATTACTATGATAATAAAGGTGATAATAATAGGGATGATAGGTATAATCCAAGGGGTTCAAATAAAACCTACGATAGGAGATATGAAAACAGATATCAGGGCAAAAATAATTTCAGGCAGAGTAAAAATGGGCATTATAATGATAGGCAAAGCAGGGAACATATGGAAACAAAATTAAATAAAAAATGTAAGTATTTTAAGTTTTATGTTATTCTACAAGTGTCGATTTTTTGAAGATTTTAAGACTTAAGACATTTAAAAATCTAAAAACTTTATAAAGAATGTTAAACTCACTTAATTTACTTAGTTTAGTTTAGCTGTTACAACCAAATTTACTTAAGATTAAAGAATATCTAAAACACATTTTAGGATCTTAAACTTACTTAAACATGTCAAAATCATAAAATGGAATATTAAATTCAAATTTACAATTCAAAAGCACATTTTGAATGATAAAAACACAGAATGTTAAATCCATATTTAAGAATGTCAAAATTACTAAGGAATCTCAATATCAAAATATAAAATATCTAAAACAGATTTTAGGATGTTAAACCCAATTAAAAATCTCAAAATTATAAAATGGAATGTAAAATGCATATTTAGGAACCTTCAACACTCTTAATAATGTCCACATTTTAGACTTTTTAAAACATAGTCAATAGTGTCAAGGCATTTTTTGAAATTGCAAGAAATAATTTATTGTCAAAACAAATTTAGAATGCAAAAGCACATTTTGAGTGTTAAAACACATTTTAAAATGTTAAAACCATATTTAAGAATGTTAAACTTACTTAAAAAAGTATTTAAAGGTGTCAAAGCATTTTTTAGAATGACAAAAAATAATGAAAGGTCCAAACATATTTAGAATCTAAAAGCACATTTTAGAATTTTAAATCCATATTTAAAAATGTCAAAATTACTTCAAAATGTCGATATTAAAATATAGAATATCTAAAACTCATTTTAGAATGTTAAAACCATAGTTAAGAATGTCAAAAACACTTTATAATGTCAAAATTACTTGAGAATGTCAAAATTACTTGAGAATGTCAAACTCACTTTAGAATGTCAAAATCATAACATAGAATGTCAAAGGTACATTTTAGAATTTTTGGTACCTATTTAAGAGTGTCAAAGCATTTTTTAGAAAAGCAAATACTAATTGAATGTCAAAACAAATTTAGAATTTAAAAGTACATTTTGAATGTTAAAAACACATTTTAGAATGTTAAAACCATATTTAAGTATGCCAACTATATTGAGAATGTTTGACTCATTTTAAATGCCAAAAACACTTTTAAAAATGTCAAAATTACTTAAGAATGTCGATATTAAAATATAGGTAACTAAACCACGTTTTAGAATGTCAAAATCATAACATAGAATGTCAAAAACATATCAAAAATACATTTTAGAATGTTAAAAACATTTTTAAGAATATCCATTTTAGAATTTTTTGAACATATTTATGAGTGTCAAAGCATTTTTTAGAATAGCAAAAACTAAATTTAATGTCAAAACAAGTTCAGAATTTTAAAGCCCATTTTGAATGTTAAAAACACATTTTAGAATGTTTAAACCATATTTTAGTATGTCAACTATATTAAGAATGTTGAACTCATTTTAAATGTCAAAAAAACTTTTAAAAGTGTCAAAATTACTTAAGAATGTCGATATTAAAATATAGAATAACTAAACCACGTTTTGGAATGTCTTAATCATAACATATAATGTCAAAAGCATATTAAAAATACATTTTAGAATCTTAAAAACATTCTTAAGAATGTCCATTTTAGAATTTTTGGAACATATTTATGAGTGTCAAAGCATTTTCTAGAATGGCAAAAACTAATTTCAAAATCACAAAATGGAATGTCAAATGCATATTTATGATCCTTCAACCTTCTTAAAAATGTCCACATTTGAGAGTTTTTAGAACATAGTAAATAGTGTCAAGGCATTTTTTAAAATTCCAAGAAAAAATTTATTGTCAAAACAAATTTAGAATGCAAAAGCACATTTTATTCAGAATGTTAAGAATGTTAAACTTACTTAAAAAAGTATTTAAAGTTGTCAAAGCATTTTTTAATGACAAAAAATAATGTAATGTCAAAACATATGTAGAATCCAAAAGCACATTAAAAAAACATTTTGAATATTAAAAACACTTTTTAGAATTTTAAATCCATATTTAAGAATGTCAAAATTACTTAAAAATGTCGATATTAAAATATAGAATATCTAAAACACATTTTAGAATGTTAAACCATAGTTAAGAATGTCAAAAACACTTTATAATGTCAAAATTACTTGAGAATGTCAAACTCACTTTAGAATGACAAAAGCATATTAAACATACATTTCAGAATGTTAAAAACATTCCTTTTAGAATTTTTGGAACATATTTAAGAATGTTAAACTCACTTAAAATGTCAAAAACTTTTTATAAGGTCAAATTCAAATTAGAATGTCAAAAATACATTTTAGTATATTAAAACCATAGTTAAGAACGTTAATTTTACTTAAGAATGTCCACAATTTAGAATTTTTAGTGTCAAAATAAATTGGCAAAAACTAATTTATTGTCAAAACATTTTAAAATGTTAAAGCCATATTTAAGAATGTTAAACTCAAAACCTTTTTATAATGTCAAAATTACATACGAATGTCGATTTTTAAACATAGAATATCCAAAACTTATTTTAGAATGTTAAAAACACATTTCTGTACCTAGAAGGTAATGTGTAAGTCACATAGTGTAAATTGTCCAGGAGAAGCCAAAGTTCTTACATTTATCATGACATTCTAACATTAGTTTTATATACAGGGTGTCCCAGAACTCGCGCCACATAGAAAAACGGAACGTGCCGAAAGTAACGTGAAACACATATTTGAAAATTAAAATTGTCTAACGCAAAGGATAAGCGAGATAAGAATAAAAAACGATAGCCAATCCCAATAGATGGCCATAGGGAATTCTTTAAATTGCTAGGATACTTAGGTTGCATTGTTGATAATAAAAAATATGTAAAATATTTGGTCCACTGGAATCCAATTCATTGTGACACTGCTGTGAAACTCCTGTCATTAATATTATATTAGGTTATAAATTAAGTTATTATAAATAATGTTTTCCTTAGATGATTATACTGAAATGATAAATATTTATTTATTTAGTGTGGGCGCAACGCCAGGGAGACAACGCGAGTTTTTTCCCAGCCCTTTCCTAATCGTTATTTTAAAACATTGGCGTTCTGAAGTATAAGTCATAGATTAATAACCTCATTTTTGAAAGCTTTTGACAACTTAGTAAATACAGTTGGCCAAAAGATTTTTAAATGTTTTTAATACAACAATGTTATATCGTCTCCTAGCAATTTTGTAAGCTCCTACGTTTAACCTAGGCGAGAGCTCTCGGTATTGGCTGCCGCTTTTTTGCTCTCATTCGATTACACTTTTACCTAGATATTTTTTATTTTTAAATTTGGCATCTCCATTGCTATCGGAACGCCCCCTTTTTCTCTGTGGCGCGAGTTCTGGGACACCCTGTATATTATTACTTGATTAGTAGATAATGCAGTACTAATATTGGACTACTAGTACAGTTTACCTCTAAGGTACAGATTTAAGAATGTTAAATCTTGGATTCTGTTTAAGTGGATGCGGCTTCGCAGAGGGAACGTTTGGAGCAAATGATAGACCGCAAAATGCTGGAATGCCTGGTGTGTTGCGAGTTGATAAAAAACAGCGACAAAACGTGGTCGTGCGTGCAATGCTACCACATCCTGCATCTGTCGTGCGTCAACGAGTGGGCCAAGTCGTCGAAGGTGGAGAACCACTGGAGGTGCCCGGCGTGCCAGAATAAGTACGAGGCGCTGCCGAAGAGCTACAGGTGCTACTGCGGCAAATCGGCGGATCCCAGGCCGGAGCCGGGCATCGTTCCGCACGGTTGCGGGGATGTTTGCTTGAGGAAAGGCAGGACTTGCCAGCATTCTTGCACCATTTTGTGCCATCCTGGGCCCTGCCCGGATTGCAACGTCATGGTGGCCAAACCATGTGGATGCGGTAAGTTTTTTTTTTATTATGAATAAAAAATTCTTAAAATGTCAAAAATACTTTTTAAAACGTCAAAATTACTTGAGAATGTCGATATCAAAGTATAGAATATCTAAAACGAATTTTAGGATGGCAACACACCTAAGAATGTCAAAAGCATATCAAAAGTAGAATGTTAAAACCATATATTAAAAATGTTAAATTCACTTAAAATGTCAAAAACACTTTTTATAATGTCAAAATTACTTGAGAATGTTGATATCAAAATATAGAATATCTAAAACGCATTTTAAAATTCACTTTCACTTAAGAATGTCAAAGTTATAATATAGAATGTCAAAAGCATATCAAAAATACATTTTAGAATTTTAAAACCATAGATTAAGAATGTCTATATCAAAATATAGAATATCTAATACGAATTTTAGGATGTCAAAATCATAATATAGAATGTTAAAAAAATTTCAAAAACACTTTATAATTTCAAAATTACTTAAGAATGTCGATATCAATATATAAAATGTCAAAAGCATATCAAAAATACATTTACAATAGATTAAAAATGTTAAATTCACTTAAATATCAAAAACACTTTTTATAATGTCAAAATTACTTAAGAATGTCGATATCAAAATATAGAATATTTAAAAACGAATTTTGGGATGTCAACCACTTAAGAATGTCAAAATAATAATATGGAATGTTAAAAAAATGTCAAAAACACTTTTTATAACGTCAAAATTAGATTTAGGATGTCAACTCACTCAAGAAAGTCAAAATCATAATATAGAATGTCAAAAACACTTATAATGTCAAAATTTTAAGAATGTTGATATCATATATAGAATATCTAAAACGCATTTTAAAATTAGAATGTCAAAATCATATCAAAAGTACATTTTAGAATGTTAAAAACATAGTTTGAAAAAAATTGGAAATTTAAACAAAATTATAGTCCTTAAAATTTTGTGAATTTCGGAAATTTTCAAAAAAACTGAAAATTTTGGTAAAATGTCAAAAACACTCAAAATATAAAATATCTAAAACACGTTTTTCGATGTCAAACTCACTTAAGAACGTCAAAATCATTATATAGAATGTCAAAAATTCATTATAGAATGTTTAAACTTTATAAAGTTTTTAAACTTTATTTTTTTTCAAAAATTTTGAAAATATTTAAACATCTTAAAAACTTTGGAAATTTAAAAAAATTGTGGTTTGAAAATTTAGAGTTTTGAAAGTCCTTTTTCGGAAATTCTGAAAATATCAAAAATTTTGGGGAAGATATTTCAAAAACACTTAAAATTTAAAATATCTAAAAACGTTTTTAAATGTCAAAAGCATATAAAAAATGTTAAGAATGTTAAACTCACTTAAAATGTTAAAAACACTTTTTATAATGTCAAAATTACTTAGAAAATTACTAAGAATGTAGATATCAAAATATAGAATATCTAAAACGCATATTAGAATTAGAATGTCAACTCACTTAAGAATCTTAGAAACTTAATGTTGAAAACATTTTTAAGAACGTTAACCTTATGAAGTTTGTAAATTTAAAAAATGTTGGAATTTTTAAATATTTAAACAACTTAAAAAAAATTGTAAATTTAAAAAAAATATGTTTTGTAAATTTTAAAAACATTGGATATTTTAAAAAGTTTTGTTAATTTGAAAATATTGGAAATTTTTTTAATTTTGGGATTAAAATGTCAACAACACTCAAAATATAGAATATAAGTTTGTATGTATTTAATTTTTTTTACAAATTTTTGGAAATATAAAACATCTTTAAAAAAATAGAAATTCAAAAAAATATATAAAGTTTGTAAATTTTGCGAATTAAAAATAAAAAAATTAAATAAAAATTTTGGGAGTAAAATGTCAAAAACACTTGGATGCCAAACTCACTTAAGAATGTCAAAATCATAATATAGAATATCAAAAGCATATCAAAAATACATTTTAGAATTTTAATATATAGTTAAGTTTGTAAATTTTAAATTTTTTTAGAAATGTCGGAAATTTTGAAAATATTTAAACATTTAAAAAAATTCGGAAATTTACAACAATTTATAAGGTTTGTAAATTTTGAGTTTTGAAAGTCCTTAAAATTTTGTAAACTTCGGAAATATTGAATGTATTGAAATTTTGGAAGTAAAATGTCAAAAAAACTTAAAATACGTTTTCGGATGTTAAACTCACTTAAGAATGTAAAAATCATAATAATAATAATAATAATAATATAGTTTATTTGCTTCCAAAAAATACAAAGCACGTCAAGGTAAAAATAATATAAGGTAAGAAGTGTAAAGAGTAAAACATATTGAAATTGGTAAGACAGAACGTATTAAAAACATGTTAAAAATATTACAAAACAAATTATAAATATTAAAAAACAATAAAAGGACAGATTAAAAAAATCGTTAAAATCGTAGATAAACATTATCCAATAAAACTTCTTTTATAGTATCTTTAAAATTTGGTTTACTTTTAAGTCTTATATCTATCGGTAATTTATTGAAAAACTTGATACCCTAATGGTTAAATGAGTTTTGGGTCCTGGAAATTCTGTTTTGTGGTGTCATCAAATTTTTCCTATGGCGTGTTCCATATCCATGATTAGAATGGTCTGTATAGGAGTTTTGATTTGAGTGAACATACATTATATAGAATGTCAAAAGCATAGCAAAAATACATTTTAGAATGTTAAAAACATAGAGAACGTTAACTTTATAAAGTTTGTAAATTTTAATTTTTTTAGAAATTTCGGAAATATTAAAATTATTGAAAAATTTAAACATCTTAAAAATTTGATATGGTTTGTAAATTTTAAGTTTTGAAAGTTCTTAAAGTTTTGTGAATTTCGGAAATTTTGAAAATTTTGCAAGTAAAATGTCAAAAACACTTAAAATATATGTCAAACTCACTTAACCTTTGTCAAAAGCATATTAAGAACAAAAAAAATGATAATGATGAAAAAAACAAAAATTTAGGTAAAACCGAGCCGCTGGTGAAATGCAGCACCGACGTGGAAATAATCTGCGAGGCCGAGTGCGCCAAGCCGCTCGAGTGCGGCCTGCACCGCTGCGCCTCGAAGTGCCACTCGGGGCCGTGCGCCGCATGCGGCCAGCACATCCGCCAGGAGTGCCACTGCGGCAAGCTGGGCCGCAAGGTGGCGTGCACGGCGCTGCAAGGCGGCGCCACCGCCTTCGCGTGCGACGACGTCTGCCTGAAGCTGCTGCCGTGCGGGAATCACCGGTGCCAGAGGAAGTGCCACGAGGGCGCGTGCGACGCGTGCGCCAGCGACTTGAGCGTCGCCTCTTGCCCTTGCGGCAGGACGGCACTGGAGCCGAGGAGCTCCTGTTTGGATCCCATACCGTGCTGCGATAAGGTAACTATACAAATTATTCTAATAATAAAATAAATTATAATGTAAATTTGAAAATATTTTAAATTTTGAAAGTTTTGGGGGTAAAATGTCTTATAGAATAGAATAGAATATATTTTCCTTAAAATTTTGTAAATTTCCTATATTTTGGAAGTAAAATGTCAAAAGCACTCAAAATATAGAATGTATAAAACACGTTTTAGGATATCAACTCACTTAAGAATGTAAAAATCATAATATAGAAAGTTTATAAATTTGTCATGTAGGAATGTCAAAAGCATATCAAAGATACATTTTAGAATGTTAAAAAACTTTATAAACACTCAAAATATAAAATATCTTAAACACAAATTATAGAACATATAAAACACGTCTTAGTATGTCAATTCACTTAAGAATGTCAAAATCATATTATAGAATGTCAAAAATACATTTTAGAATGTAAAAACATAGTTTTACAGAAATTTGTAATTTTAGAAATTTCGGAAATTTTGAAAATATTGAAATATTTAAGCATTTAAAGTTTGTAAATTTAGAAAATATTTAAAAAATTTAAAAAGTTTCGAAAATTTGAAAATATTGCAAATTTGGGAAATTTTGATATTATTTGAATTTTTTAAAATTTTGGTAGTAAAAAACAAAAACACTCAAAATAAAGAATACCTAAAACAAACACAAAATATAGAATATAAAAAAATACCTTTTAGAACTTACTTAAGAATGACAAAATCATAATTTAAAAAGAAAATACATTTTAGTTAAAACCATAGATTAAACTTACTACTTAAAATGTCAAAAACACTTTTTATGTCAAAACTACTTCTATATCAAAATATAGAATATCTGAAACAAATTTTAATGTCAACTCACTTAAGAACAAAATCATAATACTCACCTAAAATGTCAAATATAAAATGTTAAATTATTATAAGTTAGGAGGAGCGATTTTTGAGTAAATTACTATAGAAATTACCCTAAAGTATACATTTAAAAATCCTAAAAAACAATACCACAAACTCTGAATAAATAAAATTAATCTACTCTACTCTAATCTACAATATGAACTAATAAAAACAAAAGATCATTTCAGTTAAATTTATTTTTTGTCCTTTATTACTTATTGGGGGTTAGCTTAGCACTGCAGCCCTATACTAAATTATGAACAATTCATAAAATTATAAATTTTGAAAATATTGTAAATTTTAAAAAATTCGTTTAATTATTGTTATTTTAATATTTTAACTTTATAAAGTTAAAGTAATTGTCAAAAACACTTTTTATAATGTCAAAATTACTTAAGAATGTCGATATCAAAATATAGAATAACTAAAAAAAATTGTAAATTTAGAAATCATTGTAAATTTGAAAATATTGTACATTTTGAACATTTTGGGAATAAAATGTCATTAACACTCAAAATATAGTATATCTAAAACACGTTTTATGATGTCAACTCACTTAAAAATGTCAAAATCAAAATAAAGAATGTCAAAATCATATCAAAAATTTTTAACTTTATAAAGTTTGTATATTTGAAATTCGTTATAAATTTCAGAAATTTTAAAAATATTGAAATATTAAACAAAATTTAAAAAATGTAGGTTTGTAAATTTAGGAAAATGAGGTAAATTTAGGAAATATTCGAAAATTTGAAAATATTGGTAATTTTGTAAATTTTGGGAATTTTGGGAATTTGAAAATCGTTAAAATTTTGTAAATTTGGAATTTTTAAAAATACTAAAAACACTTAAAATAAAAAATATCTAAAACACAAACACAAAATATTGAATATCTAAAACACCTTTAAAAATGTGTAAAAAACATATGACTTTTATTTGTGGAAAATTAAATTTTCTAAAGTCGCCGTGCTAAAATTTTAAATTATATTTATTGCTAAATTAAATTTGTTTTCTTTGCGAAAAGTGGCCAACAGGCCAAAACTATGCTTGATTGGATTATTTAATAGAAGAAAGTTAAAAAAAATCAAATGTAAAAAACCGGATGAAAACATAAAACCGGATGATGTTTTTACGTAACATCGGCAGCAGTGACATTTTTTAGTATACCTACAATTATGATAATAATATCTTTGATGCCATGAACATTATTTAGTTTTCAAAATTAATATTGTCAAGAAAGTCTTGAATTTTATAAAAAAAATCAAATCAGTAAGGTTTATTATTATTAAATAATATTAATGATAATAATATTTAAGGTTTGCGGTAAAAAGTTGCATTGCGGTCAGCCCAGCGCTCCGCACCATTGCAAATCATTGTGCCACGAGGGCGAATGCCCGCCCTGCGAGCTCACCACCATGGTCAGATGCCGCTGCGGCCACATGGACAAGGAGATGGCATGCAGAAAGTTAACCACAAAAGCGGACGATGCCAGATGCGAAAAAAAATGCACCAAAGTGAGTTTTAATTTAGAAAATTCGCTTGCACCACAATGTTCAATTGAATCGGCGAGATAAAGAAACAAATTTATTTTGACAAATCATTTTCTAAAATTAATTTAAAAGTTTAAAGTGCATTTTCGTAAGAAGATATAAATTATTTTATAAAATACGATTATTATATTTTATGAAGTAGTTAAAATGTTACAAAAATGTATTTTGAAATATAAAACTAATGTAAACATTCAATTTTCTTGGTTTCTTTAAGAAACTTTCTTGACCCACTACTGGTAACATTCATAAGAAAAAAATTGAACCTACACCTCGCCAAAGTTTTTGTTTTGACTTCAAATACCGACAGACAGCTGTTTCGAAGGCCACGTCACCTGATGTTCTTACATCTCGCCTCTGTTGGCTTACCAACCGAGCATATAAGCTCAGGGAGGCGAGGTGTAGGTTCAATTTTTTTTCTTATAAAACTAATTTTATGAAACAATTTGCCAAACGATTTCGGACTTTTCAGAAGCGGCAGTGCGGGAAGCACCGCTGCAACCAGCGCTGCTGCATCGAGTACGAGCACGTGTGCCCGCTGCCGTGCAACCACCAGCTCAGCTGCGGGCAGCACCGGTGCGAGCGCACGTGCCACAGCGGGCGGTGCCTGCCCTGCCTCGAGACCTCGTTCGACGAGCTGCACTGCGAGTGCGGCGCCAGCGTGATCTACCCGCCGGTGCCGTGCGGCACGAAGCCGCCCTTCTGCGAGAAGGCGTGCTCGCGCCGGAGCGCCTGCGGCCACCCGATGACGCACCAGTGCCACGTGGGGCCGTGCCCGCCCTGCGCGGTGCTGGTCAAGAGGTGGTGCCACGGGAAGCACGAACAGAGGTAGGAATTATTCGGGAGCGGACTTATAAAATGCTTTTATTTTGCTTTATACATAATTATTTATATGCATAATTTAACAAATTATTTTAATTTCAATTTTTTTTTATCAAATTATTTTATTATCAATTTTTTATCAAATTATTTTTTTATTAAATTGTTCTCTTTTTAAATTATTTTTTTATCAAATTATTTTTGTATTAAATTGTTTTTATTAAATTAGCAATGCTGTTTCAAAAGTGCAAAATAAACTTATTTTGCTTTATAAATAATTATTTATATATAATAATTCTGCCGTGCTTAATGAAAACGCCGTAACCAACAATTGTGCGATTTTTGTTTTACGGCATTTTCTACTAGAACAATTCATCCTGCGTCTATCCCCGGTACTCAAAAAACCGTATCTATATATATACGGTTTTTTGAGTACCGGGGATAGACGCAGGATGAATTGTTCTAGTAGAAAATGCCGTAAAACAAAAATCGCACAATTGTTGGTTACGGCGTTTTCATTAAGCACGGCAGAATTATAATTAATTATATACCTAATTCACCAAATTATTTTATTATCAATTTTTTTTATCAAATTGTTTTTTATTGAATTATTTTTTTATTAAATTGTTCTTTTTCAAATTATTTTTTCTTATTTTATTTTTTTATTAAATTAATTTTTTTATCAAATTATTTTTTTTTAATTATTTTCTTTTTAAATTAGGTATATTTTCATCAAAATTTGATTTAGTTTAATTATTTTTTATTAAATTTTTTTTTTCAAATAATTTTTTATAAAATTAGCAACGCTAAGTTTCATATAAAATTAAAAGTGCAAAATAAACTTATTTTGCTTTATAAATAATTAATTATAATTATTTCACCAAATTATGTTTTATGAAATTTTTTTATCAAATTGTTTTTTTATCAAATTATTTCGTTATTAAATTATTTTGTTATCAAATTATTTTTCATTAAATTATTTTTAATCAAATTATTTTTTATCAAGTAATTTTTTACAAATTAGCAATGCTAAGTTTCATATAAAATTAAAACTGCAAATTAAACTTTGCTTTGCCTTATAAATAATTATATATGCATAATTCACCAAATTATTTTTTTATCAAATTATTTTATTAACAATTTTTTTTATTATTTTTTTTACCAAATTATTTTAAATTATTAAAAAATATTTGATAAAAAAACAATGATTTGATAAAATATAATATACATACATATGTATAATTAATTATTTACAAAGAAAATAAGTTTATTTTAAACTTTTAATTTTAACAGCATTTTGTCTAAAATTTTAACTATCTTCAATTTTCCAGTACTGGAAATTATTTGACAAAAAATAATTTGATAAAAAAAACGTTTTTTTTTATAAAATTTTCTATAAAAAAATTGTATATAAAATAATTTGCTGAATTATGCATATAATTAATTATTATACCAAAATAGTTTATTTTGCACCTTTAATTTTGATTGAGGTTTTAAAATTTTCGAAAAAAATTGAGCCGGCGAAATAAAACCCGTTTTTTTTTGAAAAAACTGTAAATTAGAAAAATTTTCAGAAAAATTGACTTTTTCGTTTTTTAAAATCTTATTTTAAAGGTCAAATTCTCTGAAAATTTCCAAATTTTTACGGATATCGAAAAAAAGTGAATTTCCGACGCTAATTATAATCATAATATTAAGATTATAATAAATATTCCTTTTATTTTAATTCAGTAAGAATAATCTACCTGCAGGCAGCAAAAAAATATTAACGGTGCTGTATTAACATTTATTTAACACTTTAATTTATTAAATTATAATTTTGTAATTTAACTTTATAAATCATTCTTTATTTTTTAGTTGGATAAAAAATATTAAAACATTTTTGAAAAAGAGACTGTATATTTCAGGTTTACGTTTATTTCCTCAAATTAATTTAATTTTATTCAATGTTTCGTTTTTTATTTTAATTTTTATCAAGGCCTGGGGAAAAAACATAAAAAACTGTTTTTCCCCAATTTTTTTTTTCGACACTTAAAACCTAATTTTGATACAGCATTTGTCGAAAATTTTAACTATAGTTAGATCTTCAATGTTGCTAGCATTGCTAACTATTTTTGAATCGGTATTTTTTTTTCTTAGAGCTACGATTCCCTGCCATCAGAACGATTTCAGTTGCGGCTTGCCGTGCGGAAAGGCGTTGCCTTGCAAGCGGCACAAATGCACCGTGCCGTGCCACCCGGGCGCGTGCCCGCTGCCTTGCAAGCGGCCCTGCACCGCCCCGCGCCCCTCGTGCGGCCACGCCTGCGGCAAGCCCTGTCACGAGCCGCCGTGTCCGGAATCGGTGAGCAATTTTGCTGCCGCCTCGCATTAAACATTAAAACATAACCTCCGAATTATTTTTCTTGTTAGGTTTGTCGTCAGTTGGTACCGGTGACTTGCCAGTGCGGGCTCCAGAAGACGCAACGTTCGTGCCTCGATCTGGCGGACGAGTACAGGAATTTGGAGATCGCCAAGATTAGGGACAAAATGAGCGATCTGGCCAAAGATCAGCCCGTCGATATTTCGGATATCGTTTCTAATGTTAGGAGACCAAGTATTCTTAAAATGTAAGTACTTTTTTTTAAATAAAAAGATTATATTCTAATTATTTTACAGGGTGAGTTTTAAGTTGACGCGTTCCTTTTAACAGTGTGTAGAAATCAGATAAACAAATAAATATTTTAAGTAACTTTTTTATCAAAACTCAAAAATAAAAAAGTTATAGCCCATCAAAGTTTAATTAAATTTTAAGCCGGTCCTGGCTATTGTTAACGAAAAACATAACCATAAAAATATCAAAATAAACAATGCAAAATGTCATATTTGACAACAAACATAACCATTTAAATCAAATTGACATTTTGCAATAAAAAATGTCATTATTTACTTAAGTTGCAGCATTTGCATTTTGACGACACTCTCCATAAATTAATAACATTTCCACTAATTCATTATTGCTATAATTATGAACCATTTTTAACAATAATTGAGGCACAAAAAAACTTAGGTAAATAATGACATTTTTCATTGCTAAATGTCATTTTGATTTAAATGGTTATGTTTGTTGTCATATATGACATTTTGCATTGTTTATTTTGTTATTTTTATTTTTATGGTTATGTTTTTTGTTAACAATAGCCAGGACCGGCTCAAAATTTAATTAAACTTGGAAGGCCTATAACTCTCTTATTTTTGAGTTTTGATAAAAAAGTTACTTAAAATATTTATTTGTTTATCTGATTTCTACACGCTGTTAAAAGGAACGCGTCAACTTAAAATTCACCCTGTATATAATTAGTAATTACATAATATAATTAGTAATAATATATTAGTAATTTTTTATCCTGGACTTGAACAACATTTTCTAAATTTACAAGATTTTTAAAATTGATGAAATTATATTAGTAAATCTTGAAAGTTTTATAAAACAGTGTCGCACCCGTTACAATGGAAATACCCAATTTTCAAAATTTCCGAAAAACTTTAAATATTTTTTAAAATTTTATTTAATTTTTTGAAAATCTCGAAATAATTTTCAATATTTTTAATTTACAAAAATTTCAGAATTTAAAAACTTTCCATATTTAAAAATTTCCAATTTTTTAAATTTCAATGTTACTGATGTTTTTAAAATTTGCAAATATTTTTAAACCCACAAATTTTCAGAATTCCCAGAAACTAAAATTTTCGAAATTTTCAAATATTTTAAATTTTAAATTTTTAAAAAATCCCTATTTTTTTTTAAATTTCAATGTTTTTAAAATTTGCAATTATTCTTAAACCCACACAATTTTTAGAATTTACAAAATTTATAAAATTTTCGATATTTTAAAATTTCCTAAATTCTTAAAATTTAAGATTTTAAAAATTCACAAATTTTTTAAATTACGTTTTTAAGTTTTTAAAAGTTGCAAAATTTCCGAATCCGATTTTCAATATTTTGGCCATTTTTTTATTTTAAAATTGACAAATATGTATTTTAAATTTAAGATTTTAAAAATTCCCAAAGTTTTCTTAAATTTCAATGTTTCTGATGTTTTTAAAATTTCAATATTTTTACAGAACTTACTAAATTTTCGAAGTATTAAAATTTCCAAAGGTGTATTTTAAATTTAATTTAAGGTTTCAAAAATTCTTAAATTTCAATGTTTCTGAAGTTTTTTTAATATTTTTAAAATTTGGGCCATTTTTTTGTTTGTTTTATTTTTTTTAAATCTCGAAAAAATTTACAATATTTTGAATTCAAAAATTTTTCAAATTTTTTAATAAAAATTCCCAAATTTCCAGTTTTAATGTTTCTGAAGTTTTTAATTTTTAATAAAAATTCCAAAATTTCCAGTTTTAATGTTTCTGAAGTTTTTAAAATTAAAAAATTTCCGAAAAATGTTCAATATTTTTAAAATTTGAGCCATTTTTTTTTATTTTTTCAAAATATTTACAGTTTTCTGAATTTACTTAATTTTTAAGTTTCGATATTTTAAAATTTCCAAATATTTTAAATTTAAAACATTTTTAAAATTCTCAAATTTCAATTTCAATGTTTTTAAAATAAACAAAAATTTTCAATGTGCCATTTAAAAAAAAATATTCTGAAATAGCGAAAATTTGACATTCTCTTCCTTTTCAAAAATTAACAAAATTCTTAAAATTTTCAGAATATTTGTTTTACTTTTGCCATTTGCCTAGACATCGCCACTTTCGCCACTAGTGCTAAACGCGAAAGTTGGATTCTTTAATTGTCCTTAGGTTGGCGCGTTGCGCTTGTCATGAAAAATAAGGTACTTTCGAAGGTGGCATTTGTTGAGTTCTGAGGAATTGCTAAAATGATTAGACTAAACTTGCAATTGTCGGGTTTTGTTTGCATCTAAACGAACCACTATTTCTTGTTTGCAGCCTCGAATGCAACGAAGAATGTCGCGTGCTGGAGCGCAACCGCAGACTGGCGATCGGGCTGCAAATCCGCAACCCGGACCTGAGCCAGAAGCTGACGCCGCGCTACTCGGACTTCATGAAGCAGTGGGCGAAGAAGGACCCGCTCTTCTGCCAGCGCGTGCACGACAAACTGTCGGACCTGGTGCAGCTCGCGAAGCAGAGCAAGCAGAAGAGCAGGGCGCACTCGTTCGAGTGCATGAACAGGTAGGGTTGGGGCAGTTGAAATTTTCAAATGAAAATTTCAACTTTGAAAGTTTCAAACTTAGTTGGAAAAGTGAAATTTTTAAAAATTTCAAATGAAATTTTCAATCCGAAAATTTCAACATTGCCTGTGAAACTTTCAGAAATTTCATTGAAAGTTTCGCAATTTACTGAAAATTTCGCATAAATTTCACATGCGGCCTCCCCTGGGACCTTTAATAATAATTTACAACAGACCAATAAGAACGAGTTATCAAGCGTCTGGGCGTCTTGGTTTAGTTCGGCTTGAATTTGAATACACTATAAGTAATGGGGTAGTTAAATTTTTTCTGACCTATACTTTTTATGGTTTTATTCAAGGCGTTTTGTAATATTAAACATTTCTGTGAAATCAGAATTTCAATTGAGTTTACCGTTTTCGAGATATTTACAAAAAATATAAATTTTTATGACGTCACAAACCCCACCATGTGACCAACATTCCAAGATTTCTATTGGTTGAAAATTACCCTGTTGTCAAGTTGTCTTGTCAATGATTTCATTCGGTTATGTCAGAAAATACCCGAAGAGGTTATGTACAAATACTGTCACTGTCAGTTGAGTGAAAGAAGAAGAAGAAGAGATTCTGAAAGTAAAAGTTTTATTGATAGGTTTACACATTGAAACACCGTGTGAAACCTAATAAAATGTAATAAATAGGTACCTAATAACTGTCTAAAGCAGAGTTTAATATATTTCATAGAAAAAAGTGGCAAAATAAAGCTGAAAATGAATGAAATAAATTTACAAAAAATAACAGTAAATGTAAGTTAACAATGGTATTTATGATATTTGTGTATAGTTTTTATAAAACTTGCATCCCTGATGATGAGCATCAAAACCTTTTGTAAGATTTAAAAAATGTATGACAAACTTTTGGACTGTTCGAAGATACTATGCTCTAGAGTACATTTTTGTACTTTTCGACAATTCTGGTTTAAATATTGCTGCAATAACGTACATGGTAGGTAAAGATACTGCAGGGTCTACAAATAGACATTTTTATTAAAATTATTCAAACAGATGGTCACCAAATTCATTAAGTACCTATCTTTCTTATTACTGTTTGATATTTTAAAGTCCAAGATATATCTAAAAGAATATAAAGAACTAGGCATTATACTAATGAAATGCATTTACGACAAAATATGATTATAATTATAGGTACTTACTTTATTTGTTTAAAAGCTCCAATGTTCAATGTAACCAACCATTCCACAAGATTCCTCTGCTTTGGAGTCCGTTATTAATAAATCACTTATCTAATATCAATTACAAATAACATAACAATAACATTGATTTTCAATAATCTAAATTTAAAAAAAAACATAACCCGAAAAAAAGAAACGTCAAAAAATCAATTCTTCTTCTTCTCCTCAACTAAAATTTTAGATCAAGTAGTTTTAAAACTAAAATATTATAACGTGGCGCCATCTATCGTAAGAATCTTAAACTAAACACCATAGAAAAAGCTGGCAACGTTGTCAATAGCCTAGTGACGTAATAAGGAGACTTTTTTTTGTAAATATCTCGAAAACGGTAAACTCAATTGAAATTCCGATTTCACAAAAATGTTTAAAATTACTAAACGCCTTGAATAAAACCATAAAAAGTATAGGTCAGAAAAAATTTAACTACCCCATTATTGTTACTTATATGCATAAATTAATTTAAATAATTTAATTCAGTTACTAATTTAATTTGTAAATTAAATCAGACTTTAAAATTTTTTTAAGTCATGATTAATTTAAATTTTTACTTTTGCTAATTGCATCGGAAAACGGATAAAAAATGCCTTTGGCTCATAAAATTTTAATGAAGTTTCTTCAATTTTTGTAAAATTTCAGTAAAATATATAAAAATATATAAATATAAAACAATGAAAGTGGCACAATCTCATTAGCTTACCAAAAAGTGCTATATCTCTCTTAGTTTTAGTAATTTTAAAAATATTTTAAAAGGAAATCTCAAGAAATTTGTGGTAAACATAGGTATTTACTATTTATATTATTGGTGCAGGGGCCCACAGAGGGGTAGGAAGTAAGAGAGGCAATTTGCCATGGTCACCGAGTGGGCTTATTTCAATATTAATATATTACACTTAAAGTGATTGAAATTTATTGAAAGTTTCAATAAATTTCATGAAATTTCAGACATTTAGGAAATTTTAATATATTTCATAAATGTCGTGAAAATTTCAAGTGAAATTTCAAGTACAACGGCCATTTCAAGCGGATGGACGGGACAAATCACAAAACTGTTTTTATAAAAAAAATTGTAGCTAATTTATTATATATTATTTTTGCATCAAAATTGTCAAAAAAATTCTTCTATTATAAGGGTATACATTAAATAAAAAAAATCTCAAGAAATATTTTATAAAAGTAGAGATAATTTCAATAATTGACAGGGATGGACGGGACAAGATAAATCTTTTTTTTGTCCCGTCCACACCTTTGAATTATTAAAATTATATCTACTTTCATAAAATATTTCTGGAGTTTTTTTTTATTTAATGTATAACCTAATAAAAGAAGAATATTTTTGCCAATTTTGATGCCAAAATATTATATAATAAAAATCTACAATTTTTTTTATGAAAACAGTTTTGTAATTCGTACGTTTCGCGCGCTTGAAATGGCCGACAAGCAAAAAGTGAAATTTTCCCAACCCTATGAACTAGTGATGTAAGCAGAAAAAAAAACGTTTTGTTTTTTAAAAAAAAAACATGTTTTTTTTAGAAAAAAAAACAAAGGGGTTTGTTTTTAAGGGAAAAAAATAAGCTTAAAGCAGAAAAATTTTGAAACTTTAAAATGGGTAATCGTTATTTATAATAGAGGGTTTTAAATAAAAACACCAAATAAAAACTTGCTTCTAAAATAAACATACATGAGTGTCTATGAAAATTAATACAAAAACTTAACTGAAATAGTTTTTATCTATAACATTTTTATAAAACAAAAAAACGAACGCTTTTTTAATAATTATTATTATAAAACTGTTTTTTATAATTTGAAAAAACAAAAAAAACGGTGTGCATCGATGTTGAATATAATCATTTCTATGATTAAAGCGATCTGTTAATAACAGAATCTGATGGCGACACTTGTCATACATTGTTTTGTAAATTTTTTATAAAACAAAAAAGGAACGCTTTTTTAATTATTATAAAACTGTTTTTTATAATTTGAAAAAAAACGGTGTGCAAGTTTTTTTATAATTTGAAAAAAAACAATGTTTTGTTTTTTTTCTGAAAAAAACATGTTTTTTTTAAACGTTTTTTTTTCAAATTTGAAAAAAAACGTTTTTTTACATCACTACTATGAACAGGGACAAGCGGCACCTGATCCACGAGTACTGCGAGCACTTCGGCGTGGAGAGCTGCGCCTACGACACGGAGCCGAACCGCAACATCGTGGCCACGGCGGTGAGGGACAAGTCGTGGCTGCCCAGCGTGAGCCTGCTGGAGTTCGTGCAGAGGGAGAACGGGCACAGGAGGGTGCCGGGGCCGATGCTGAACAAGAGTCTGCTCGGGAAGTCGGAGTCGGTTTCGTTGAGGTTGCCGGGGAGGGCGCAGAGGGCGCCCAGTCCCCCCCCGGCAGGGGGTATCGACTATTTCGATAACCCGAACGCGTTGTAGATATATTTTTTACACTTTTACTTCTTCAAGTTTTAATATCGATCGATATGTGGTTAATCAGTTGTTAGTTATAAAATTCATGAATTGTTTGTTTATTTTTTAATAAAAGTTTCTCTACAGGCACTTTTTGTTTCATTTAAATCCATATAATAATAAAATAAACATTGAACTACAAAAAATAATTTAGGTAAGTGGAAAAAACGAATAATACAATATATTTTTTAATATTCAATATTTTAATTTTAAAATATTTAAAAATTCACAAACTTATTTTTTAAATTTCAATGTTTCTGTATATTTTTTTAAAATTTGCAAAATTTCCGAAATTTTTGTTAAATTTACGCCATTTTTTTGTTTTTTATTTTTAAAATCTCGGAAAAATTTTCAATATTTTCAAATTTACAAAATTTTCCGAATTTACAAAATTTATTAAATTTTCGATATTTTAAAATCGCCAAGGTTTTTAAAATTTGCAAACTTTCCAAAAAAAGCCCTTTTGAGGGCAAAACTTCATTTTGATGAAATTATGCAAATGCCACAATGGAAGAAAAATGGACATTTTTGGAGTAAAAAAGTAACGAACTTGGTTTTATAAACATTACATCACACATTATTTTCACATTATTCACCATTGGACAACATTTACGTTCACAAAAAATTTTAATTTCTTTTATATAAATTCTTTTCAAAGCGAAGATTATTATCCACTAGGAATACTTTCTCTTCTGCGCCGTAAAGCAACCTATATTTAACTACTCTTTTTAATATGATTTTACTCATCCAAGCACTCCCAAAGCCAAATTAATTGCATTTTTAACTACGAATTTCGACAACTCAACTTGACAACTGCACAATGTAACCTACAATAACTTATACATAACCACAATTAGATTTATAACTAGCTTAGTTTGTTTTAATCAATGCGACCAACTTGACAACTGTATTTACCAACCAAAACCCTAAATTTGCAACGTTGCCGCAGTCCAGATATAAAAAAATGAACTTTAGGTATTTAAACGATTTTAAAAATTTGCAAAATTTCCGAAAATTTTTCAATATTTTTATATTTTACAAATTTTTAAATTTCAATGTTTTTAAAATATGCAAAGATACATTTTTAAAATTTGGGCCATTTCTTGTTTTATTTTTTTCAAAATCTCGGAAAATTTTTAAACATTTTTAATTCACAATATTTTCAGAATTTACAAAATTTATAACATTTTTGATATTTTAAAATTTCCAAATATTTTAAATTTTAAAAATTTGCAAAAATTCCGAAATGTTCAATATTTTTAAAATTTAAGCCATTTTTTGTTTCACTATTTTCTGAAATTACATTTAACTCTTTCAAAATATACAAAATTCTTAAAATTTTCAAAACTTACAAGATTCTAAAAATCTCCAAACTACAAAATTACAAAATTTAAAAAAATGGGATATTTTTATATATTGTCATAAAAAATAATGTAAATATATTTTTTACATTTGAAGTTTTAATATCGATCGATATGTGGTTAATCAATTAATTATAAAATTCATGAATAATTCAAAAACAATTATTGTTTCTTTTTAATAAAAGTTTCTCTATAGGCACATTTAGTTCATTTAAATCCAAAAAATAATAAAATGAACATGAACTACAAAAATCATTTAGGTAAGTAGAAAAAAATTATAAAAGTTTTTCAATATTTCTTAATTAGAAGAAATATATACAGCTTAAGGATTAGCTTAAGTAATTATGTTTTTATTATTTAACACCGGGACAGCGCGTACGCAGTCCCGACTACCAAAAATTATGCGCCCGAGTTATCCGCATTAGGGATAATCGCAAGGGTCAGCCCGACCGTAGTGCAATGGACAGGCCTCGCCTCGGAGGAACCGCCTTATTGATCAAGGTTGACCTCTACGCCAGGTAAGTATGCTTTTTCCAGCCATGCCGCTCCCTTATATCACCCGAACAGTCGTTCACAGCGGTGAGATGCAATGACAAGCATGCGCGATGTTGTTTGACTCGTGGCATCAAAATGCACTGTACGCTTAATCATATAACAAAAAATGAAGGGGTAAGAAGCAAAAGTGCGTTTAGTGCAGAATTGGGTACTCTAAATTGGGATTTAACGTGAAAATTGTATGAGTTCTGCATGTTAATTAATGCAAACAACAGTATTCAGATTTGTATAAAGCAAAAACTTTCAGAGTTAATAACTCCACTTCTCTTTTTTGCTTCTTAACCCTTCAAATATGGCTTAGACTCAACGAAATCAAAGAATCGATGCTTTTTTTTAATTACTTAAATATGGGCCGATCCCGGCGGTACTGCAATACCGGGCCAACCCGCGACGGGAGTGGAGCAAGCCCCTAACTCCCGTCAATTTCCAAAAATCAGTTTAATATACTGGCACCGCATGCGGTGCGTATCAGATATTAAGCTGATAAGAACAGATACTACACTTTGATCTTAGCCATAGGCCGAGAAGCGATAACGAAAATTCATACCACCTCATCTTTTAAGCAAATGTTTTACCCTAGAAAAAGCGAGAGAAATCCAACAGTGACGGGCGCCACCTAGGGAAGCCGCGTCAAAACAAGAATTGATGTTTAACGCAGGGTCATCGAAGCGGTATATGCCAATGCCATATATACTATACTATATATGTATGGTAAAGAAACCATATACCTATTATAGGTATATGGTTTCTATAATAGTTATAGGTATATGAAAGAAACCTGGTTTTTTCTATAAAAATAAATATATGGCAAGATTATTTTCCGATATTTTTTATCATTCTAAATTCATTTGACTTTATTTTATATTTTTTCCTGTCGAAATGTATTTTCCTATACTTCACTGATTTTCAGTAAAATGAGCTTTTTGAACTTGTTATAATATAATATTATTTTTTCTCTTATTAAACGAGTAAGTAGGAATACCACCATTTCTGATTATGGCATATCAAATTTTAAAATGTATGTTTCAATTATTTAACAGGGCCCGACTTTCGTCAGGCCAACAAAAAATTGTTTATAGACTCATTTGAGTTGTACCTCTCCACGGAAATCTTTAGTAAAAGGCGAAAGATTTATTCGCTTATTGAAGAGATACCAGAGTGACGATGAGTTGTTTTGTTACCCTACTTATATGCTTCAACAACGACAAACAGCGGTGTAATGTATAATGGCGCGTGCGCGTAGAACTCGCTGTAAAAGCAAGTTCTTTAATATTCAACACATTATTTCATATTATGAAATTCATAAACAAATATTTTAGCTCGTATTGTTCATAACTTAATTTTGTCTTTTATTGTTTGTGATTTTATATATTTAAAAAATACAGACAAAGAAACAACCAAGAAAAAATTACGTTTAGGTTTGGGATAAGGCTATAGGCAAATTTTAAGATATAGTTCCCTGGGGAATGTTTATGACTCATAATAAAAATCAATAAAATACGACATTTAATACTTTTATTACATTAATATACATTCATTAGTATACATATAGATACATTTATATAATATAGTAGTCCCCCATGTTGTTTGAAAAAATAAATAAAACATTTATTGTCAACAAACATGTAACAATTAATCATCAAATAGTATAATAGTATAATTTTTTAGACATTTACAATGGGGTATGTTTATCTTCAATTAATCTCATTAAAGCACATTTATAGAATGTATACATAATTAAAAAAAACTTACACATATAAAATGGGCATTATTATTATCTTTTGGCTAAAACGAAAAAATAAATTAAGTTTTTTTTGGAATGTTTTAACTGAATGAACAACAACTGTTTGTTTTTCGGGCCGTTTTATAGAAAGCCTTCGATTGTATGCTGAGGCCTTCCGATTTGGAAACTAAATCGTCCAGTTTTTCGCCTCGTTGAAGGACAGCTGTTATGGTGTTATGCTGAAAATATTATTACTTGATAAGGTTCATTTATATGGAAAAATGTATGGAATGTATTTATTTATTTTACTGCAAAATACAATGTTTTTCTAGTTTTTGAGTACTTCTGTTTAAAACTTGGCAACACTGTTTTTAAAAGATGAAATAATCCAAATCAAATAATAGTGGTTATGGAAACCAATCAAATAGATGTTTTTTATGACGGTTTGTGTCAAAAACATAAAAATTAATAACTCAAAAACAACTGGACAAAAAAATGTTTTGTAATTACTTTTATAAACAAAATAGCCTCCCCCATTATATAGTGTGGTGTAATTGCACAATTTCACTCATACTTACTAGAATAATCTTTGTTTCATCCAGATCTTCTTGTATTTTAGTCATTGCATCTGCCTCACTGGGATTTTGGTATTTCGCTAAGTAAGTATTTAACTGTGGGAACGCCACGTCCCTTTCTTGCAATTGGGGCCAACTCTCCACAGGAAATTTAACAGAAAACTCGTCTAAAATCTTTGTAATTAAAGTGTGTGACACTCTCGATGGATACTCATGATCGGTTATCACAACGCCAGCTAGATTATCGCCTCTCACGTACACGTGACACAAATACTCTGAAATTATGACATTAATTACACCTAAATATTAATTGGGGTCATTATAACTAACCTCCTTCGTTGACAGATTGCCTGGAAGCTGGAATGGTTCGTTCCACTATGGTTTTGCAGAAAAACGACATGAACTCCTGCACGGAGCCGCGCTGAAAGAAGCTGAAGCTTTGCAGCTCAAAGGCCGATTTCAACCATGTAGCTGTTGTGGGACCTTTGTGCAACACGCTTAAACAATATAATTTTACCATGATTAACGAGTTTCGTGAATTAGGTTGTCGTGATGTTTGTTCGCATTTGTGGATTTTACGTAAAAACAATGAACACTTTGTTATTTTATTACAAAAAACACGCAATTAAACTTTAAACTTAGGATCGCACGACATTTGACAGTTGTCGAGAATTTGTTGTTGTTCTTGTCATCGTTTTCCAACGACGAAGAAAGTATAGATAGAAAAACAAGGATGCCAATATAAATATTCGAGGTGTGTGAGAGCGACGGAAGATGTCGGCTTGGTTATCTATGGTTCTTTTTTCACCATAATTTCCAGATTCCCAGGGACCGAAAATCCCTAGACTGGTAGATTTTCTGTAATGGCTTCTGTCTAGGCGGTGGGTGGTTGCCAGTTTTGTGATTTTAACAGTGTTAGTTTTTATTGTTGTTACTGTTGCAACGGATTTTTACCGTTGCCGAGAAGTTGTGCCACATTTGCTTTGTGTAATTTTCCACTTACATCTGCAAGAATCTCGTTTATACCTGCCATAAAGGATGGTTTTTATTGGCATGCCAAACAAGAAGTTACAAGTTGAACAAATACGTTACAATGATCTATTAGATTATTAATTAAGGGATGATGACGATAAACGGCTCGATTTTATAATAATTATTTAGGGGGTGAGTGGTTTTGCGTATTTTTAAGTTTTTGCTTGGACAGTAGACAATAAAATATATATCTTTGTTCCCATAGGTTTATTTAATTAAAAGTGAAATTTTGTTGCCAAATCTCATTCAAGGCACAACAAATTGCTTTTAATCTCATTTCACACCATTTAAATGCAATTTAAATTCTTTTGCATCATCAAAAATGTAATTTCGCTGTACCCAATAATACACCATTAAAAAAAATCAGTGTAATCTTATGCATTGAACAAGCTATTGACCACTTGAAGATAATGGTTTAATTTGGACCACACAGTGCTTAATGCCGGTAATTAAATTTAGTAATTCCATCATGTCTATTTGTGAGTATGATTAAAGCACAATGGATTAATTTCATAATGTTTCATAAAGTGTTGGTTTCAAATTTGTTATTTCCTTTAGGCCTACCATAACACTCAAGGACAATTCACAAAAATGTCAACTATTTTATTTGTAACTGTATTATTCATGCAATATATAAAATTTTGCTAATTATCCTACCTATTGGAAAGTAATTTGTTGAGTCAATACAATCAAGTTTATGATTTTTTGTATCAGATTAAATAGTGTTTCCCCATGTTTTGTAATTTGTTGTGATTTTTTTTACTTTTATAAGATTGAAAACGTTAAAAAAAGTTACTTACATAAAAAAAGAATATTACCTACCTATTGAAAAAACTATAAATTGTAATAATTGTAATGTTTTCACTAAAGTTTGCAACAATAAGGTGCATGAGCTGAAGTTGAAAAAAGTGAGGTTAAAACCATTTGACAGATGTCAAAAAGTGAGGTTAAAACCGCTTGAAAGTTGTCACTAACAACTAAGAAGATTGTAATAAAATTTTATTACTATGGCAACAAAGGAAATTCGCTTAATATAAATATGGACGTATTCTTTGACATATTTTAATAAAAAGTTCATAATAGTTATTTATGTATTAAGGGCATAATAAGGTTTTTATGGTCCGAGGCGCTATTTCGAGCCCGAGCGCGTCAGCGCGAGGGCTAGAAAAGCGTCGTAGGACCATAAAAACCAGTTATGCCAGCAATGCATACAAAACTTTATGCACGATTAATATATTATTATTTTTAATATATTATTGTTTTTAAAGACGTTTACGTCAAAGAATTTTTGTTATAATTGTCATATTATAATGTCAACTGACATCAGTCAGTTTTAAAGTTTAAAGATAAATGAAATTGAGGAAGCAGCTGAAAAGGCGAAAAATTGCGGCCTGCTGCCGGTAAAATCAAAATCTTTATACGAAAAAACTTACTTCGAATATATCAAATGGTGTAACATTGTTGTTTTTAATTTTTGACGTTTCATTATATCCCGCTGGGCCATAATAACGCCCGCGGGCTATAAAAAGACGTTTACGTCAAAGAATTTTTGTTATAATTGTCATATTATAATGTCATCGTGCATAAAATTATTTTATCTATTTTGCGTTCATAATGACTTCATTATAACACCGCTTTCGGTGCTGTAATGAGATACTTTATTCCACCCTAAAATTTGATTTTATAGGTTGGCTATACTTTAAACAGCATAATATTTTACATATTGGTTATAATATTTTTATGATTTTTCTAGTACTTACGAGACTTTTCTGGCAATAAATTTTGTTTAAGGTAGTTATCGTGGTACAATATTGTCAAAAAATTTTAGATTAACGCACCGTAAAAGTATACGAGCTTGTTGCTAAGTGATTCATAATTTTTTCGCAAAACTGTACCCTGGAGACGTTACCTTTACGTAATACTTTCAAAATATTTTCATAAGTTTTAATCCGGCAACGTCGCTTATGCTCAACCAATAGATACCTATATTGGAGACTGAATCAGTCCGTTTGAATTTACTGCGGAAATAATATTTATACTCGCGTACAGCGTTGCCAAGTTGTTTTTATCTGACACTAGTGATGTATACTTTTTACAAATTGTTGAACTTTAAACGGTTATTTATAAACAATTGGACGGTCAAAAACTTTTAATTATTTTTTTAAACTCAGCAAAAATACATTAAAACACTGTTAGTTTTTTGAAAACTTCTGACAGTTAGTTTTTTCTGTATAACTAAGAAACTGGTACAGAACTACAGAAAGCCTATACAATCCATGTTAATTATCCAATTTTTAATTGAATTTATCTCGAGTTATAGACGGTCAATCGACTTCAAATTTTAAGGATATATGTATTGTCATGTCCTTAATAAGTATACAAAAATTTAAAATTTTCTGATGGTATGCTTACAGCACGACAACTACCTTAAACCAATTTTGTTGCGTGAATATATTCAAAAATTACTATATTTTGCTAAATCTTACATAATAATAGCTGTAATTGTTCCAGCCATCTGAAGACAAGCAAACCACTTAGCAAAGATGGCTAGAAAAGGGGACTCGATCCGCAGCATCAACGTGGCCGTCGTGGGCCTGTCGGGGGTGGAAAAAGACAAAGGGCACGCGGGGGTGGGGAAATCGTGCTTCTGCAACCGCTTCATGCGCCCGCACGCGGAGGACTACAACGTCGACCACATCTCCGTCCTGAGCCAGAGCGACTTCAGCGGCCGCGTCGTCAACAACGACCACTTCCTGTACTGGGGCGAGGTGATCAAGACCTCCGAGGAGGGGGTCGACTACCAGTTCAGCGTCATCGAACAGACCGAGTTCATAGACGACGCCTCGTTTCAGCCGTTCAAGGGCGGCAAGATGGAGCCGTACGTCAAACGGTGCGCGTCCACCAAGATAGCGTCCGCGGAGAAGCTGATGTACATCTGCAAGAACCAGCTCGGCATCGAGAAGGAGTACGAGCAGAAGATTCTTCCCGATGGTAGGCTGGGCATCGACGGGTTCATATGCACCTTCGACGTGAGCGTAGTGCCCAGCAGGATAATGGAGAAGCAGGTGGAATTCGTGGCCGCGATCCTCAACAACCTGGCGAAAACCAAGAAGCCCGTCGTGTTCGTTACCACTAAGAACGACGACGCGGAAGACGCGCTGATAAGAGAGGCCGTCAGGCTGGTGCAGAGGAACGAATACAAAGGGACGATTCCCTTGATTGAAACGTCGTCGCACGATAACATCAACATAGACTTGTCGTTCATGCTTTTGGCGCAGATGGTGGAGAAGTGCAAGGTGCGATCGAAAATACTTTCCTACCAGGAGGCTTCGCTGTCGAGGAAGGAAATCCTGGACGCCGCGTCCGAAGCTTTCATGCGCCTGATTCGGGTGCACGTCACGGATTGCCACGCCCTCTGGTCGCACACAATCAAAAAGTTGAACTCGCACAAGGAGTGGATTCACTTCGTTCAGCTGTTCGGTCTGGACGGCACTCAGAGGTTGTTCAGACGCCACATCAAGAAACTCAAGGACGAGCAGTTGGCCAAACAGATCGCGCACTACATGGAGATGTTGCCCGACGTTCTGCACGAGTTGATTCCCGGTTTCAATACCGACACGGACTGGGGTTCGGTGCAGCAGTACTTGAAGGCGCATCCGAACTTCAATCAGTATTTCTACGAACGTCCCGAGGATATGCATTTGTCGGAATGTCTCGAGGATACCGACGAAACCAGGATCCCCTTCGACGTTCTGGACACCAGTGAGGCCGAAACTGTATTTAAAAACCACATCAATGTATTGCAACAGGAACAAAAACGCATGGATTGGAAGAAGCAGTTCAAGCAACTTCTCGAGGACACGGGCTACGTAACCCCCGGCAAGCACCTATCCGAAGTGCGGGTTTTATTCATGGGTAGAGAATGCTTCGAAGCCCTGTCCGAACACGATTGCCAACAAATCTACGAATCCCACCAGAGGGAGCTGATTGAAACGGCCAAGCACAACTTCCAAGAGCTCCTTTTGGAACACGCCGACCTCTTCTACCACTTCAAAAGCATCGCCCCCACGGGCACCATAACCCAAGACGACATAAAGGAAATAACGGACGTTTTACAGGAAGACTTCCGCTACAAAATCCTCGACCGCTTGGACCAAGACCGAAAGTTAACCCTCTTCCAGCACTTGGGCTTCATCCACTACCCCATAAGGGAGCACTGCCCCGCGTTCCCCAACTGCATGGACGCCTTGATAGAGAGGATACTGGCCACCAAGGCGCACAGACCCACGTCGTGGAACCACGGCAACCAGTGGCTGATGAGTTCCGACAACAACCAGCTGAACTTGCTTCTGCTGGGCTTCGACAGCCTGGCGCAAAATTTGGCGGACAAAATCAGATCGCAATGCGACGACGACGAGTACGAAATCGACGGTCAGTTTTACAACCTCGACTACAGGATCATTAGCGGCGACGTCAGTCTCCCCCACAATTCTTTCAGGACGTCCGATTTCGCCCCGCACGGGAGTTTTTGCGTCTACTCGAACGCCGAGTCGTTCGAGTACATCCGGGAGAGTTTGGAGAAGAAGTTGCTGAGTAATTTGGAGCAAGAGGATAAGTTACCATTCCAGGGGTTACCCATAGTATTATTATTCCTGCAGGATTCCTACTTGGACGAGAAAGAGGTCTTGAAGTTAAAGGAGGAGGGGCAGAATCTGGCTGACAGTTTGCAATGTCCTTTCATGGATATAAGCTTGGAGCAAGTGACAGAGGAACAGTTGGTGTCGGAAGCACTTCACCAGTTGGTTCAATGCATCCACCACAGATCCGGTTTCATGAACATCAACCAATCGGTCATAGAGTGCACGGAACCGGACATAAGAATCATAATGTGCATGTTTTGCGGCGACCCGTATTCAGTCGAGAACCTCCTGGGGCCGCTGTTGTCCCATCAAATGTGTTTTTTGTCCTCGGCGCACAGCATAATACTCGAGACTTTCCTCGGCGACTCCAAACGTAAAGTCGAGGTTATAGTGTCGTCATTCCACGGAGCCAACGCGTTCAGAGAGGATCTCGTTCACGGCTTCATACTAGTCTATTCCACGAAGAGGAAAGCCTCCCTGGCGACCCTCAACGCTTTCTCGATGAACATTCCGAACCTGCCGATACAGATACTGGCCGTAACCGAGGCAGGCGGCGCCACCGCCTTCTTCAACGACGATCTAAGTCAGCTACTGATTACCGAGGGAAATTCGACGGCGGACAGGCTGCAGGCGCACTTCATGACCTCCGCCGGCGGCATGCAGAACAAGACGGCCTTCTTCACGCCCTTCTTCAAGGAGGTGTGGGAGAAGAAGCCGGAGATCGAGCAGGCGTTCCACATGGAGGAACCGTCGGGCTTGGACAGCGGGGAGGGCACGTTGGAGCGGTCGCGATCGCAGCGCCACCACCCGATGCCGCCGCCGCGCCACGAGAGCTACTACCTGAAGCTCAACGACGGCAGCGAGAGCGAGAACTTCGAACTGAGCGGCCCCGACGAAAGGCTCAGTTCCAGCGACCACAGCGACAAGTTCTCCAACATTTACATGTACGGTTCGGAGAGCAGCGATTTGAACTCGAAGAAGCGGCACCACCATCAGGGTTTCCAGGTGTACCCGCCGCCCGCCACGCCGCCGGAACCGGCTCCACCGGACAACCTGCTCAACACGAGGCACTCGAAGAAGTCGCTGCTGTCTTCGCAAACGAGTCTCGAGGAGATCAACTACGACGGCGGTTGGAACAACTACCAACAGCACGCCTTCACCACGGGTCGCACGCGTCACATCCCGATGTCCAAATCGCGCTCCAAAAGCACCTCGCAGACCCTGAAGCAACCCGGGAAGTTGAACATGAAGAACTACTCGGCCGTCACCGAGGCCATCGGCCGCATGAACGTCGGCGGCGGGGATCAGAACAGCTTCGGGAACGCGCCGCTGGCCACGCCGGAGGCGGTGGATCTGGGCGGCGAGTACGCGCAGGTCAAGGACGCGGTGCGGCACGCTTATCCGCCCGATTCCGACTACATGTACACGATGGTGCACGAGGCTTTGACCGGCAAGAACAAGTTGCGGCAGAGGAGGGAGAAGGGGCAGCCCTCCTACTCCGACTCCGATTCGGAGTGGAGCAGTCTGGAGAGGAGGCAGCGGGCCGGGGAGATCTACTCCAAGGTCAGAGATGTGAGTATCCTTTACGATATTATTATTAGTTGCTCCGTTATTTTTGAGTTTAAGTAGTTTTAGCTTAAGGAAGTTCGGGCAGTACATTCTGGGGAAAGTTGCTTTTATACTATACACTATATATTGTAACACAGAAACGTGAATTAAAAAACGTAAAAAATAGGGTTTAAACGAGACAACATTGCGAGTTGTTAATGTGTTTCTATGGTAACGCTTTTCGCTTTTGACAGTGGCAGTGACAGTTCTATATGTCGTGAAAAAAAAAAGTCCACTACAAAGATAAAATTATCAAAAAAATAGACATGGGAACCAAAAATAAAGCAACAGAAAACATGTATTATGTTGAAAGAAAAGAAAAAAACTTAAAATTAAATTATTAAATTTAATACCATTTTGTTTTTTTTTTAATTAACTTCGAAAACGAAATTGTGGTAGTCAACAAATAAAGCAAACCGAATATTCCTACATAATCGCGTGTTCGTAATCCAATGTTGCCGTATCTTCTAGACAAGAATGACAGACTGATAATTTTGGTTGGACACCGTCAATATTATCATTTATTATTTCAAAACTGCGTGGTGGAAGTTAACAAAAATTGATACAGGCATAAGTGCATACGATAAAACTTGATTAATTTTTTAATGTCACATAATAACAAAATATTATGGTAACGTTTTTGTGGTTCGACAGTGTGAATAAAACACGCACTGGTTCATTTACGAACTAAACGATTTATTTTATATTATTTCCACATATATTTAATTTATTTCGTATCGAGGACAAAAGCTTGACTGCCTACTCGACGCTCCGTTGTGCCTTATATATACAAGGCGTACGTGACCCATCTCGAACCTTCCAGTAAGCTTCACAAGCTACAATATGTATTAATTAAAGACATTGGCTTTATATGAGATGTATTTAATTAACGTATGTATTGGAACATGACAATAAAGAATAGTTTTTTTCCGTATGCTCTTATACCTGTAGAAGTGGAATATACATTCTTTTCAATATTAACAACACAGTTTAGCAATAATAAACGATAACATAGCAACTTTAATATTTTTTTATTCGGAAACTAAATGGTCATCTTTCTAAAACATTTTAAATGTATTTTAAGTAGACTCTACCCCAACCTAGAATTTGTTCAATGTTTTCTCATAGCGTGCCCGAACTTTCACCAAAATGTCCTATGTTTAATTGTTTGTAAAAGTACTTTTTTTCATTGTCACATTAAAACTGATTTCTCCGATGCTCAGGTGAACCGCAAGGGCGGCACTCACAAGCGACAGCGAAAAAAGCGCATCGCCATCCCGGTGCAGCCGCCTCGCGTCCCGCAACTCGGCGCGTTCACCCTGCCGTCGGCGCACTCGCCCATGATCGCGGCCGACCCGGACGACAAAGACAAACTCGTCACCGAGTCGAACTCGGAATCGTCGGACGTCAGCGAGACCGCGCCGCCGAACCAAAACTGCGTCAAACACGAGCAGAAGAACAGATCGCTGAACTTGAAGAAGCGAGTGCCGGAGTTGCACAACCCGTACAGCTTCAACGTGCAGTCGTACTCGCTGCACGACGACGAGAGCAGTTTGGACGTGAGCTCTCCGCGCGACAATAACTCGCCTTTCGGCGTGCTGTCGAAGATGAAGGAGTCGGATTGCGAGAAGTTGCTGAGGAAGCGCGAGAAGCAGAAGGCGAAAGACGATTCGAAGCTCGAGAAGCGCAGGTTGAAGGAGGAGAAGCTGCGCAAAGTGGCGGAAGAGCGCGATAAAAAGAAGCAGCAGAAATCCTCCGGGAAGCAGAAATCCGTTCCCATAACCCTGGCGGATTACATTCAATCGGACAAAAACTACGTCCCGATATTTATGGAGAAGTGCGTTAAATTCATCGAAAGCGAGGGTTTGGATTCCGAGGGGATCTATAGAGTGCCGGGTAACAGAGCCCACGTCGATTTGCTCTTCCACAAGTTCGAGGAGGATTCCAACGTGGACATACACGAGCTGGACATCCCTGTAAACGCCGTTGCCACCGCGTTGAAAGATTTCGTCTCCAAGAGATTACCGCCGTTGTTTGACCCCGACGTGATGGCGGAAATGGAGGACATCGCCGGGACTCGCATCAAACCCATGGTGACCACGACGGGCAACATGGAGGTCAAAACTGACCGCAGCTGCCGCTTGCTCGCGCTGCGCAGCATGCTGGACAAACTACCCGCGGTCAACTTCAGCGTTTTGAAGTTCATATTCCAGCACTTCGTCAAGGTCACCGAGAACTCAAAACTGAACAGCATGGACAGCAAGAACTTGGCCATCTGCTGGTGGCCCACGCTCTTGCCCATCGAGTTCAGCGACATGGGCCGGTTCGAGCAGATGCGCCCCTACTTGGAGGACATCGTTCAGACCATGATCGATCAGTACCCATTCCTGTTCTGCGGCAAAGAAGCCTTCGTGATGGTCTAAAGTTGGCAAGAAATGGCTCGTGAAATTCACGCACAAATCGCGTAAGCCTCCTTTACACTGTGTACTACTTACTACCCTATGGGGCGCCGTTTTATTTTTTTTTCAGGAAGTATTCTTAAGGTTTTAAAATGACGAAAAAATTTTTTTTTCCTAGGCCTTGACTTTTTTGATTTTTTTTTAATTAGCAATTAACAACTTTTTTGAAAAAAGGCGTCCATTGAAAATATCCAATCATTAAAATAATGAATGATTTATAAAGTTAAATTGCAAAATTATAATTTTATAAATCACAGAATTAAATAAAACGAAAGTTATGTTAATACATCACTGAATATGTTTTTTTTGCGACTCGGTAAAAGTTTTTTTCTCAATATCAGTTTATCCGTAAAAATATGGAATTTTTCAAAAATTGACTTGAATTTTATGATAAAAGTGCAAAAGTCAACTTTTTTGAAAATTTCCCAAATTTTTCCGCCTCAATTTTTCCAGAAATTTAAAAACCCTAGTTAACACTTGTGATATTTTCAATTAGATATAAAATATCATATAAGAATTTTTTTTTGAATTTTTCAACAAATTAAAAATGCATAAATATTAAATATAATTTTTTAATCAAGCGAATTAAAAATATGTGTTAAACAAAAAAACAATGAAAAGAAATTAAATACAGGGTGTTATTTAATTAATATAATATATTAAAAAAAATTTAAGGACCAGGAACAATAGGCTAATATGGTTGCCTAATTTAATTTATTATGTTATGGTTGGTACCAACCAGCGTTTTCAGATTCTGTCAAAAAAGTTGCCAGATTTTGTGTAAATTTAGCTTAATTACAAAAATGACAAGATCAACAATGTAAATTGTTAATTTGGCGTTTTTATTAATTGTTGATTATGTCATTTTTGTAATGAAGGTAAATTCAAATAAAATCTGGCAACTTTTATGACAGAATCTAGTGCATTTCTTTCAAATTTTAGGGTATTTGCTCAAATTGTAAATATCTTAACTAAGGGAAGTGCTTTTGGTTTTATTTACACAAATTGAATGTTTAAAGTTTAACCTAATTTCATCTGAGTAAACAGAAGAAAAAACCGATAAACAAAATAATTTTGTGGTTATGGAGTTTTTAAAATATGTAGGTACTAAATTTTCTAATAGAACTTTAAGGGCATAAAACTTGTATTTATTTTTTGCAAGAAAAAATTTTACACCTTATGTCAGAAGGTATTCAGTATTTTAATATATTACATTAATTACATAACACCCTGTATGTATAAATAAAAATTATCACATGAACATGTTTAATCTGCGAATTAAAAATATCATAGCAAATATTTAAAAATTAGATTTAATTTTTATGAAAAATTGATTTTTTAATTTAATGAATGTGTTTAACTAAAATACAAATATAAGAAGCAAATAATTTAAATTAACTAAATTAAAAATATTTGCTTGGCATAAAACTTAAATCTAATTTTAAAATATCTGCTGTGATATTATTAATTAGCAGAATTAAAATTCTCAAGTGATATTTTTTAGCTAATTGAAAGTATCACTAGTAGTAACAGATAAAAATAATTCCTGAATAAATAATAAAACGGCGCCCATACTACCCTTATAATTAAACTTATAATAGTAATAGTAATAACAAAATTAATTGGAGGGGCCTTCATTCGCAAGTGACGATTGTAGCGCGGATATTAAAAAAATGAAACAAAACGGTAGAATAGTTGGGACGTTGTAACTCATGAATGTGAATTTGTATTTTTACATTTATCATGTGTGTGGAAATTTTATAACAAAAAAATCGAGTATGCATGGGATCTTCTGTGTAAAAAGCCCGCCGATTGGCGGGCCAGTTGTTTGTAATACCCGTAGGATAATCAGTGTTCTATCCTTTCATTATCAACGAGATTTCGTAGCGTAGCTACTTGTCCATTAACTATTAATGATTTTAAAATATATAAATTGGTATTTTCCCCTGTATTTAATTAATGCTTTAGTTGTAAGACGCAGCCCATATTACAACACGGATTTTATCAGTATTGTATCACAAAATTTTAGACGTAAATCAATTTTGATATTGACTTCCTTTTTTTATATGTAGGTCAACTCTTTGATAACAATGCTCTGGTGGACATTTTCGTTTTGATTTTTATTTTACCACATACAGGGTGCAAAAGTAAAAAGAAGTTTTTTCTGTATTTTGTTACTCCCTGTGGTGTGCATCAGCAATTACAGCTGATGTCAATTGAATTTTACTATTTTTACCCTATATCTACTAAATATTTTGTGTTTTTATTTCTGGGTTTATCTTTGTTATTAAATGAGGTTGCTTTTGGATTTATTTACACAAATTGAATGATTAAAGTTTATCCTCTAATGGTTAAACTAAAATCTGGATAAAATTGTTCACCATAGCATCATAACTGAAGTCAGCCTACAATAAAAAAAGAAAATTTCAAAAAACTTTGGACATAGCGTTAAGTCTGTAAAACTGAAGTGTATATTTCGGTATTAAAATTAATTACCATTTTAGGTGCCATGGTACCAACAATCGCGTGCCATAATTTTAAATGTTCTGTGTATTTATTGTAAATAATTGTTTTTAAATTCTTTTTAATTTTTTTGGTCTTGTAATATGGCTGTGCGTTAAATATACGAATAATTTGGATAGGTATCACAATATTTGCAAGACTGAGTCGCAATTTGTATTTTGACTTGGAGTGCCAAGCTAATTTCTAGTCTGGATATCGACGGTGTAGACGCTCTTTATGTATTTTTAGTTTTTTTTATACGGGGAGATTTGAAATATCCCAACCTCAAACGAACCGATTATATGCTTTACCTTAGAGTATACAAAACGTGGATAAACCTTGAGTATGCAAAACGTGGATATACCTTAGAGCATAGAAAACGTGGATAAACCTTAGAGTATGCAAAACGTGGATATACCTTGAAGCATACGTACGTGGGGATATTTTAAATCGCTCTGCGCATGGAGTTGTTCAAAAATGAAAAATTTTCGCACAACCCTTATTTTAATTAACATTTTATTCCGGTTAATGTAAGTGATAACGTAGTTCATGATTATTTTTATACTGCATTAATGACGAGTGCAACATTAGGAATTGATCTAATAACAAAAGTAAAATTTACTGAATAAAATAAGTTATGGTATTGGTTTATATTTTTGCTTAAGCTTGTATCACTATCGATGTATTTTGTATTTAATTTCGATGCTGGTCTGATACGTTATAACCCCTTATAGGCGCAAATTCTGAGCTTGTTAATTTAGCAGGTCTTCTGAAGAGAACCTAGTTGAGTAGCCACCTCGTTATCAAGTAGTATATCCGAGCCAAAATAACGCAAGTCCGTTCTGTTTTTAGCGCTTACTTTAAGTCATGAAGATTGCAAAACTTGGACTACAGAACATAAGATATCAGATCATTTATAAGGGTTACTGTGAAAAAAATTGCATTGGTTCTTGGTCCAATGCAATTTTCTTCCAGTGACTGTTCTATATCTATTTTATTTTATCAGTGGACGACTTTCAGCCTAAAGGAGTAGTAGAGACCAGTACAGAGGCGATCACATTATTTAGATCTCCTAAAGTTGTATCAGCTTTATTATTTAAAAAATAGGGCAAAGTGATTAAAAATGTGCAATTATACCCAATTATGTGGAATAAATTTTGTATCGTGCAAAACAATAAAATAATTCAGAATTCAGAAGTGCAAAATTTTTGCAAAGATTTTGCCTACAGCTTTAGGATTACGAAATGTGACATTAGGCTCTAAATAATTTCTGTGTACCATATGTGGATATATCGTAGATCTCTTAATATTAGATTTGAAATTGATTCTTATTGTTAGAATGTATATATGTAAACAAACAGAAGTATGTTTATTTAAGCTTTATATTTATATTTATTCACTATACTCAACAAGCTTGCTGTACTTTTCAATGTTGTTGGATTTTTTAAGATTTTCATTTACAAATTTGTATTTTTGTTTTATTAAATAATTATTTACAAAAAGTAATCTTTTATTTCTTAAGAAATAAGTTGAATGTTTTCAGGATTTTAATTCAAAATAACACAACAATTACTTCTAAATAGGTAAGTTTTATCTACATATAGAAAACATTAATAAACTCATGAATTTAAACAATTTATTGACAAACTATTTCTTCATCAAAAATTTGTCTTAATTAATAAATTATCTCTAACTTGCTGACTTTAGAGAAATAACGTTTAGTGTTGTCGCATTTGGTTGCCCATTTTGTTCTTATTAATTTTGAAGATAATAGCCTAATTTAGAAACATTATTTGCGTGAATTTTGTTGATAAGCGTCCAACCGTGTATTTTGATGCCACGAGTCAAACCCATCGCGCATGCTTGTCATGCATCTCACCGCTGTAAACGACTCTTCTTGTAATATAACGGAGAAGCGGGGCTGGAAAAAGCTAGGATTGAAGTCCGAAAACTTACAATCTACCTCCCCATTGGTTACTGGTGTCCCAGTAACAATGGTGGGGGGTAGTCACATGGCGATAGAAGGGAAGCTCCATTAGGAGTCTAAAATCCTTCTCTGTCGTCAGGACGGTTTTTGGGCCGATATCCACCGGGGGTCACTTTGAATGTCACCAAAGTACCCTCATTTTAGGCAGAAAGTGGTCTGTCGCCGTCCTTGGACGGTCCCGTTCGTCCGGTATTTCACTATACCGGCAGGTATCCCACAGAACATAAGAGAATTAAAAGCGCTGTAGTGAAAAGTAGACATGATACAAATTAGTATTTTTTTGGAACAGGTACCTCACATAACAGGTCCAAGTCCATACCTGTTCCAAATACCTGTTATTTTAAAACCTAGTATTTTCGGCTCCGATGCGCTAGTTTCCACTAATACTGGTTGCTACTCCGTATCGGTAAAAACTGATCCCAAATGGCAAAGTTTGAGTTCATTAAATAAACTTCATTTGGCAAAATTGACCGGTTTTTAAACGTACTTTTCATAAAGAATATTCATAATCATTTTTATAAATTTTAAGTTTAGTCTGATAATGTGCAAACGATGTAATTATTTTAAGCCATATTTGAAGGGTTAAGAAGCAAAAAAGAGAAGTGGATATTAATAATTAATAACTCCACTTCTCTTTTTTGCTTTAAGAGTTAATTATTAACTCTTAAAGTTTTTGCTATATACAAATCTGAATACTGTTGTTTGCATTAATTAACATACAGAAAGAACTCATACAATTTTCACGTTAAATCCCAATTTAGAGTACCCAATTCTACACTAAACGCACTTTTGCTTCTTCATTTTTTGTTATATGATTAAGCGTCCAACCAGTGCATTTTGATGCCACGAGTCAAACCCATCGCGCATGCTTGTCATGCATCTCACCGCTGAGAACGACTGTTCGGGTAATATAAGGGAGAGGCAGGGCTGGAAAAAGCATACTTACCTGGCGTAGAGGTCAACCTTGATCAATAAGGCGGTTCCTCCGAGGCGAGGCCTGTCCATTGCACTACGGTCGGGCTGACCCTTGCGATTATCCCTAATGCGGATAACTCGGGCGCATAATTTTTGGTAGTCGGGACTGCGTACGCGCTGTCCCGGTGTTAAGCAATAAAAAATAATTATTTGAGTCTAATTGTATCGCCACGATCCGCAGATATCTTTTGTAATATCAGTAGTCCAACTAAACCATCTGTATATATAAGATGTTGTATTTAACGCAAATAAATCAATAGTATCCATAAAATAGGCAACCAAATGTGCTTCTATAATATTTCAAATGTATGGAAACAATATAGGCAACCCAGACCACGTAGATTCGACTAAACCGATTATATTTAAATCAGTCTTTTGTACTGTATGCGTTCTTATTTTAAAAACAAACACACCGACAAATAAGAATTTAACTTTCATTTTTGTCAAAAAATATTATTTTTCCATATAAAAGTATATTTTTTTTAAATCTCTTATTTTAGGAAATCAACTGTTAAAGTAATAAAAGTAATCAATTTTATTTAAGAAAATAAAGTAATTGTACATCTTTTTAATTTTTTAATAAACTGTTATCACAGTGACAAATGGTTCCAATTTAAGTAATAATTTATATAAATTTATATATACAAATAGATTATGTTTACTTTATATTTATTATAATAAATTAATAATATTAATTTAGTCTACTATAAATAGTAGCATATAATGTAATGCCGCATGTTGCCGTGCGCACGCAGCTTTATACATGACGCCGCTGTTTATCTAGGTTTGGGTATATAAGTACGGGAACTAACAACCTTCTCGTCACTCTGGTATCTCTTCAATAAGCGAATAAATCTTTCGCCTTTTACTAAAGATTTCCGTGGAGAGGTACAACTCAAATGAGTCTATAAACAATTTTTTGTTGGCCTGACGAAAGTCGGGCCCTGTAAGTTAATAAAACATAAATTTTATGATTGGAAGTTAAGTTAAAGGTACTTATTAAAATAATTACCACTAAATAAACTTGTTTAATATGAGAAATAATAAAATTATATTAGGTATAACAAGATCAAAAATTAATATTATTATTAAATTATTTTACTAAAAATCAGTGAAGTATAGGAAAATACATTTCGACAGGAAAAAATATAAAATAAAGTCAAATGAATTTAGAATTATAAAAAATATCGGAAAATAATCTTGCCATATATTTATTTTTATAGAAAAAACCAGGTTTCTTTCATATACCTATAACTATAGTATATATGGCTTCGATGACCCTGCGTTAAACATCAATTCTTGTTTTGACGCGGCTTCCCTAGGTGGCGCCCGTCACTGTTGGATTTCTCTCGCTTGTGCTAGGGTAAAACATTTGCTTAAAAGATGAGGTAGAATATGTTTTCGTTATCGCTTCTCGGCCTATGGCTAAGATCAAAGTGTAGTATCTGTTCTTATCAGCTTAATATCTGATACGCACCGCATGCGGTGCCAGTATATTAAACTGATTTTTGGAAATTGACGGGAGTTAGGGGCTTGCTCCACTCCCGTCGCGGGTTGGCCCGGTATTGCAGTACCGCCGGGATCGGCCCATATTAAAGTTATTAAAAAAAAGCCATCGATTCTTTGATTTCGTTGAGTTTAGTTTTGTAGCCTATTGTCAACATAAATGGGAGAATACAATACTACCGTTGTTTGGGTGAATTTTGTACGAATTTTTTTATTATGATAGGTATTCAATATTTTGAATGAAGTTCGCAAATGGCAAAAAAGGTTGAGTTCATTTGGCAAAATTGACCGGTTTTTAAACGTACTTTTCATAATCATTTTTAACAAATTTTAAGTTTAGTCTGAAATGTGCAAACGATGGAGAATCTAAGCCATATTTGAAGGGTTAAGAAGCAAAAAAGAGAAGTGGAGTTATTAACTCTGAAAGTTTTTGCTTTATACTGTTGTTTGCATTAATTAACATGCAGAACTCATACAATTTTTACGTTAAATCCCAATTTAGAGTACCCAATTCTGCACTAAACGCACTTTTGCTTCTTACCCCTTCATTTTTTGTTATATGATTAGGCGCACAATGGATTGTGATTAGGGCCTAATCATTAGGCGTACAGTGCATTTTGATTCCACGAGTCAACCCCATCGCGCATGCTTGTCATGTATCTCACCGCTGTAAACAACTGTTCGGGTAATATAAGGGAGAGGCAGGGCTGGAAAAAGCATACTTACCTGGCGTAGAGGTCAACCTTGATCAATAAGGCGGTTCCTCCGAGGCGAGGCCTGTCCATTGCACTACGGTCGGGCTGACCCTTGCGATTATCCCTAATGCGGATAACTCGGGCGCATAATTTTTGGTAGTCGGGACTGCGTACGCGCTGTCCCGGTGTTAAGCAATAAAAACAAAAACTGTATAATTCATGATAATTTATATTTAATACAATTCTTAATTATGTCCGTGATGAATTTAAAAACATTTTACTTAAATATTAAATTTTATACATATACAATTAAAAAAAGCATTATTGGAAACTCAATCCGTATTTCTGGGTAACTTGAGGAGTATGTATTGAAGCAATAGCCATTAGAAGAGGAACATCATTTACATCGAGGTGTAGGGTAGAATTTAACAACTCCAAACTGCAGATGGGCGCTTTTAGCAACAGCTGAGCTAAGGTTTTTGATCTTATGCATATTTCTTGTAGCTTGTTTTCCAGATGTGAAATGCACTAAAAATAATTAATTGGTTATAAGAAAATGTCAATAAATAAAAATTATACTAACATTTTCATGGGGTACTTGCAATTTCCACATCACAAACAAACTTTCCAGCATGTTGGATATCAACTGAGACATGTAAACCCTAAGGCCAGTAGCATTGGGGTCTATCACATATGTATGGCTGGACATCAAGTGGACTTCCCTGTTAAAAAATCATATTATACAGATTTTTCTCTCATGAAAAATTTTAGAGATTTTAAAAATAAAGGTTAAATAAACGTACCCGTGTCTCACCGTTTCACGAAATCACGTCATTTGATTTTTTTACACAGCCATTCTTATTATTTTAACCTAAACAGATTTTAATTCTCTATTTTGTTATAAATAATTTTTTTCTTCAAATATTTTATGTTTTTACATAATACAAAAATTATACTCAAAGAAAATAACAATTTTATTTTTTTTAAGTAAAAAAAATATTTCTGGTTTAAATTTTTGATTTTTTTTCAATAAAACAACAGATTTGTATTTATCTTATATTAAATATATGTTGGAAACAAATCTTGATCTTTTAGTTTGACGATTATACATTGCTTTCGAATCTATAGTGGTGTCGCAACCTAAAAACACCACTTGATATAAAGGGTGTTTCACATTCGTGGTCCATTTGAAGTTTCTGGAGAACGGAAAAAATATAGATTTGAAATTTAAAAGCGTTTATAATCCATTAAGTCTATTTTTTTTAATATTTTGAACAAAATGCAACTTCCGTTTTGACCGGAAGTGACATCAACTTTGTTATTTCAAATAGAACACCCCATATATTTTTACATTTTTAAATTCCACATAAAATTAATATACCATGTCCTATACCTAATGTGAATAGTTTTCTAGATGTTTGGTATTAGGTTTACGGATATGGGGGTAAAATGTTTGGAAATTAAAAAATTGTTTAAAAAATTCCATGTCAATTCTTCAACATTTTTCAACAAATTACCCGAGAAACCTCAGGGCAAATTGGGCTAACTTGAATCGTTAATAACTTTTTTATTTTAAATGTAACACCCGGTATGTTAGGAAATTGACATGGAATCTTTTAAACAATGTTTTAAGATTCCAAAAATTCCAGTCCCATTTCTGCAAACCTAATAGCAAGAAAGTTATGGGCTATTTTTTATTGACGCGCATTTGTCATTTTTAAACGGAAAAAATTAATAACTACAAAACTACGGTCAAGCCGGAAGTGGCATTTTGTTTAAATTATTTTAGAAAAATAGGCTTAATTGGATTAGAAAAGCTTTAAAAATTTCAAATCGATATCTTTTGCCGTTTCTCAGAAACTCTCAATGGACCACGAACGTGAAACATTTCGTAAATGTGCAACACCCTGTATATAGTTAAAATAATTTTAAAATAAATAAATAATCTTAATGGTTGTCCATTTATTCGGTGAATAAATTTTTCATAAAAATATATATTGTCTAGCTGTTATCGAATCTGTTATATTATGTGCCGAATACCGTGGATAACATTATATTGGATCTTACTTTAAAAAAAAATGACGTCATCTGAAAAAACGCCGAGACACGGGTCTATCTTTAAAATCTTCAAATTTTAAAGAAAACAAATTATTATACCATGACTGGGTGTTCGCTAAGATGGCCACAACTTCTTCCACATATTTTCCGAATTGTGTTTGTTGACTGGTAAGGGCCAGGTCGTTTTTTAGCTTGTAGATAAAGTCTTGTTTTGGACTTGTAGTGCCTTGTAGTACCATATCCGGCATGTACTCAGGTATAATACCTTTAAACACCGAAAGAATATCGGAGTTTTTTCTCAGTTCCTTGCATTTTTTCGTTGACCGAGGCATAGGCATTTTTATTATTCTCATATTAGTGCTGCAGGATTTTTTAGGGCTTTCCGAGTTGGTGGACACATCAGCGGCGCTTTTGGAATGTACATTTTCTTCATTTTCCCCCAGGGTAAACACTACATCATCACTAATCTCATTTACTATATCATTGTTTTTGATAACAACATCATTGGCGTCACTATCGTTATCTTTAAATAAATTGCTCGTAAATGACTTGGTTTTTTGCAAAGTTACGTTATTAAACTGGAATGTTTCACTCCCCGAATTTTTCGTCTTAAAAAAAACACCAATCTTCAAGTAATTATTGTTAATTTTATCCAAACTTCTATGAACATCCACTGCCTCAACTTTCTTCTTCATTTTCTCGTACATTTCATCGGCAAAACGATTTTCCTCCTCGACATTATCCCTGCAAACCTCGTTTATCTTAATATCACAGCATTTAATAAAGTAAGCTAGGCAACGCAGCACTCTGTCAACGATTTCCTGTGAATCCCCCATCACTATCGTGTGCGACATTTTGCTGGGGTTGCCTATCGCGCCGTACAAGTTCATCAGCTGATTCCAGATGGCGCTGTTGCCACCTTCAAGGTCGAGTTCCATGGATGACGTCACCCAGCCCAGATGGTGTGATAATACCGCTGTTATAAGGCCGCTAATAAAGCTATTGCAAAATAAATAATTATTTGGGATTGTTTTTTATGTTTTTTACTTACAAGCTTGTGTTTTTGTTGTCGGTGTGATGAAGTAACTCGCAGAATTCGTTGATGAAGTTCCCGTAAGGTGAAGTTCCACTACCGCTTTTATTCAACGTGTTTCTTCGTAATAACTTCGTAAAAAAACTATTTCTAGGGGCGCTATTAAATGCAACGCTACGTATATCACAGTAGAGCAGAGATTTTTCCGTTAAGTTTTGGCTTAAGACTAGATTATATATTCCTTTAATGCTTATTTTGGACACTTCCTCCATTGATAGTTCAAAGGTGTGTGGTTTTGTGTAAGCAACTTCTATTAATCTTCTAGAACGATGCATTAAGGACTCCAGGAGACTTATGTGGTCCATGCAAAAGTCCAAAAAGTAACTAAAATAAATTTTGACGGTTTTGAGTATAGCTTAAAATCTAATTAATCGATTTGGTCAAACAAGCCCTTAAATTGAAGGTATTTGAGCCCTCCAAAACTTTCTTTTGCATACTTTTGATATCGGTATTTTGACGCTAGCGATTTTAATAACTTAAAAAATTCGTTATTATGGAAAAAATTGAGTTCGAAAATGTACATATCGTCCTGGGAAAGGTTTCAGTCAAACAAATAACTCCAGTTTAAATTTTTTTCGTGAAGCTGACATTTTTACAAAAAAAAACAAGCTAATGTTGATTAAAATACATAGAAAAATGGCAAAGTTATGAATTTTTTAGTGGAAGACAAAAACTTAGCTTTTTGACGATTTTTATTTTATTTTTTTTTATTTTGTAGTATGTTTAGTCTTTAATGAAAACCTAAATAAAGTGCGCGTTTATTTAGCCAAACTACACAAGAAAATCATAGTGAGACATGGCTGTAAACTAGTCAAAACAAGTAAACAAGTCAACTCAAATCCAAGCTGGACTAAACAAAAACGCCCAGACGCGTGATAACTCGTTTCTATTGGTCGATTCTGATGGTGTGACTCGGATTGTGAGCTCTTATTGGTCGATTTGGAGGATTGTGTTTACATTTAGTCCAGCTTGGATTTGAATAGACTTTAGTGTTATTTAAAAAAGCCTTACTGTTCATTATCTTGTGGGATGTTTATTATAAGTACAAAACCAAGTTTGCTGGAGCGATGGTGACTCGAGGTGGAAGCGCCATCTTTCGACGAACCAAACGAACCAGAATTTAGACAGTTGTTGCTTCTCAGCCATTTTTTGTACACGTTGCCGGACGATAAGGAACTCAGAGAATCTCCTGTAATTTTTTTTTTTTTGAGAAAAATGTTTATAAAAATCGTATTTTTTACCGAAAATCTCGGAAGTACAACTATAATTCGACAACTGATCGCTAGCTGAGGAGTTTGTGCTACTGGTTGCCGAATCGTCGAAAACAGCGCTGTTTTGTTCTAGACACTGACTTGATGAACTCGAAAACGATTCCCTGACTTTTTCTCGGTGTCTAGGGCCAGGAAAGACCTTTAAAAAAAATTAAATATTGTCTCCCTTAATTAACAATTTTACCTGAGTGAACATCAACTGAGATTTCGACTGTATTAAATGGATTTTAAAGCAACAACTGTTGAAACCCATTGCTACCGAACCAAATACCATTTCTGCAAGTTGGTTATGTGGTAGGTGATTGGAGGGCTAAAATAAAAAAAAATCAATTTGTGGCATAAGAAAATCGTTCTATCTACCAAAAAAATTAATTTTCCCAAGTTATTAAGAAACAAAAAAATTAAAATTTGAAAAAATAAAAAAAAATTTTTTAATTTGTCATAAGAAAATCTAAAAGAACAATTTTCTCATTCCAATACAAAAAAAATTTGAAATGTAAAAAAAAATTTAAAAAAATACCCACAATTTGTGGCATAGGTAAGTTATTTGTTCTAACTACCAAAAAAAAACTATTTTACTACTCCACAAAAAAACAGTTGCAGTATTAAAAACAAAAATTTAAATGTGAAAAAATATTTTTCCAATTTGTGGTTGGTAGGTATCAGAAAATTGGTTATAACTACCAAAACAAAATCAATTTTCTAATTCCACAAAAAAATGGTCACATTACTAACAAAAATAAAAAAAATTAAATGGAAAAAAATCCAATTTGTAGCATAAGAAAAAAAATAATTTTTTCACAAATAAACTATACAGGGTGAGTTTTAAGTTGACGCGTTCCTTTTAACAGCGTGTAGAAATCAGATAAACAAATAAATATTTTAAGTAACTTTTTTATCAAAACTCAAAAATAAGAGAGTTATAGGCCTTCCAAGTTTAAATAAATTTTGAGCCGGTCCTGGCTATTGTTAACAAAAAACATAACCATAAAAATAAAAATAACAAAATAAACAATGCAAAATGTCATCTATGACAACAAACATAACCATTTAAATCAAAATGACATTTAGCAATGAAAAATGTCAGTTTTTTTGTGCAATTAGATATTGTTAAAAATGGTTCATAATTATAGCAATAATGATCATTATTCGAATTAGTGGAAATGTTACTAATTTATGGAAAGTGTCGTCAAAATGCAAATGCTGCAACTTAAGTAGGTAAATAATGACATTTTTTATTGCAACATATCAATTTGATTTAAATGGTTATGTTTGTTGTCAAATATGACATTTTGCATTGTTTATTTTGATATTTTTATGGTTATGTTTTTCGTTAACAATAGCCAGGACCGGCTTAAAATTTAATTAAACTTTGATGGGCTATAACTTTTTTATTTTTGAGTTTTGATAAAAAAGTTAGGTACTTAAAATATTTATTTGCCTAGCTGATTTCTACACACTGTTAAAAGGAACGCGTCAACTTAAAACTCACCCTGTAGACATATGTAGGTATGTAAAAAACAATTTCTTTCAAATCTATGAAAAAACATTGTTGGAACACTTTAAATAAGTTAAATTGTTCCAAAAATGTATTTTTTTCATAAAATTATAAAACAAACTATATAATATTATTAAATTTAGTGGTGTTTCTTGAAATTTAGATTTTTTTTTAATTGCAATCCATAAAGACCATTTTCTCTGGAAACTAAAGTTGCAAATTTCAAGAAACACCCCCAGGAGAGGTTATTTTGATCAACCCTGTACATTTTGTTTACCTCTTTTGATGTGACATGGTTGCCATTGTTGTTTGATGTCTTTTTATTTGTGTCAAATAAAACTTTTCTTCCTTTAAATTCGCACTCCCTAAATAACAGGACCCTGATATGCTCCTCCAAAAAGTTAATACTAAAAAAATATACCTATTATTATTATTATTATTATTATTTATTTGAAAATTACCTACCGAATTTTATTGTTTAATTTCTTTAACATAACTTAAAATTTGGAGTGTATCAAAAGTCAAATAATTTAAAATTAAAATGCAGAGATAGCCATGATATGTTGGGCGCCAAAACATAAATCAACATATCCGAAATAAATCGAGATAATTAATCAAATTGGAAATTTCAGTGAAAATAAGCATGTCATAAATACATAACATCTAAATAAAGAAATAAAAATAATATCATTGCATAATTTGAAAAAGCGCGTGACTAGTCACACGCTACGCCACTGTATTTATAGGTAAGCATGTTTATGTTGGAAAAAACTACAACAATTAGCGATAATACAACTTTATTTACCTACTTTAATATTAATAAAAAATGATAAAAAAGCAATAATAATGTTAGGCAAATATCACTAAAAAATATAGGTTAGAATGTAAACAAATACACACCTGACAGGTTGGTGTTTATTGTTAGTTTTGCTGTAGGAGAACAATTTGTTAAATAGGCCCATAACATGCCTTTCATACCATCAAGTTCCATTGAGCAAAGCACATCATAGTTAACGTTGTGTTGCGGTTGTCAAGAAACAATGGAATGAATACACAAAATCACGTGCGCGATACAGTCATATGATGGCGATATTTTTAGTAACATTATTTATTTCGAACTCCGACGCGTATGCACGTACACCACTATGTGTGGGACACAGGGCGGATAAATTATCGTTGTTTTACGATTTTTTCCTTATCGGCTTCAGTGGCGTCAAAATATTTATTGTTTTGCTAAACGTCAATCAGCTGTTTTGATTTAAACCAATCAAATGATGCCATGGTAATGTGATTTAAGGCAAATACGTTTCCCATTGGCTACTTATGAAAATAGGGTTGCTTAGATTAAATGACAAAAAGCTAGGTTTCTGTAGAATAGTGAAAAATTTTAGAAATACTTTTGCCAATGTTTAATTGTGCAAAAGCAGTTGTGATGTTTTTTTTGCTTTGTTTTCTTTAAAACAAAAATAGATTTTATACAACTATTTATTTGGGGAATAGTTATTGTTAATTAAAAATAGCTGTATCCTTAAATTTTTATTAATATTGTCATTTGAGCATATAAATTGGACAAAAATAAATAATAATCAAATTTCATAAAAAATCTGGACTTAATATCTGTAATAACAAATAAAATCACAGCAATATTTGCACAAACATAAGTTACCTAAACATAACTTAAAAATTATTATTTCATGAATACATTTTTTTTAGATCTTATTTAATTAATTTTCCTATGATGAGGTGATACAATTTATTTAACTTTTTGCGGTTTTTTTCCATAGTAGGTATCCAAAAATAGACTTGTAAACACTAGAGCCGCCCCTGACCATTGCATGGGGGTTAAACTATTTCCGAAAATTATTACAGAGGCCAAAACTGTAAAGAATTTTCTCGTTGTGGTCACTGTGGAGACAGGAAGGGGGCCAAAGTCGGACACCTAAAATTATTCAATTAAATACCTAATTGAATTTTAACACATTTTTTTACCATTGAATATATGAACATGCTGCCTATGGCCGAGGTAAATCCTAGTAGAATTAAATTGTAGATTATATATGGGTATCTGCTAGCAAACTCAATAAATTTAAATATTTCCCCCGTTAAGAGTATGGCTGCTGCTAGGTAGCCTACTGACCAAGCATTTGATGTTTTCATCATTTGAAGGCCTGTAGGTTTCGTTTCTGCCCTCATTCGCTCCTAATTGACAAAAAATTTTATCCATGCACTTAAAATAAAGTCGAAAAACTTACTTGTACAGCCCCCGTTAACCCATCCATAGTTAGAGATAAAAGCAATAATACCTCCCCTATCCCCATGGGTTCTTGTGTTGCAGATGCAGCCTTGTCTTTCAACATAAACAGCACAATACCAATAACAATAAGAAACACAAAAACGTATTTCTTCAAAGCATAAGACTTATTCCCAATTAAAACTCCCAACAACATAACAGGTATGGGTTTAGCGGACTTTCCTACGACCTGGGTTGGGTATGACACCCATTGCAACGACATGTTGGAAGATACCATGGCCAATAGAAACGTCAAAGACACACTGGCGTAGTACATTATGGGGGTTTTGTCCTCTGGTAGGTTTGTTTTTGTACCCAGGGCTATTTTGGCTAGTATGTAGTTTGTAACGCATTGTATAAACACCAGGGTTAAAGTGCACGTGTATTTCTCGACTTTAGTGACGCTTTTTCCCTCTGAATCAACTTCTTCGTAACTGTATTTCCCTCTTGTTATTTTTTCCTGCAGTATTCCGAAGTAAAAGTACGACACAAATATGCCTGCCGCATATATCATAAACTGTTTTGTTGTGGCCATTTTATTTTTTATTAGTTTACCGTGTTTTTCTGTTATTTATTATCCATACGGAATATTATTTTGAATTTTAACATAACCTACAAAGGGTATGGTGACGTTTCTCGACGTCGCCAGCGCTGATTGGCTCGCAGAAGCGATTCTCATTGGTCGGGTATAATTATCCACAGTGCAGTGGCGTAGTGAAAAATTAAAGTAACTGTAAAGTGCATTTTTGTATTGTAATTTGATTTTTAAGCATTTAGTGGCAATAAAATATTATTTTTAACACAAATAAACAAAATAGGCGTAAAAAACTTTATTATCACAGAATAAACGGTACGAAAAGTGGTCATATAGAATATAAAATTTAAACTTAATAATATTTACATTACATAAATAAAAAATTAGTAGTATAACGCATTTTCAGTCCATTTTAGGTTGTAAGGCTGTGTAATGATTCCATAAATCTGCGCTCTAAAAAGTACAAAAAAGTTACTTGGGTATTTTTTTATAAAAAAACAATTTTATTACGTCTAATGAGTGTGGGAGTTTTCTGTCTAACACACCACTGTGTGATGGGGTAAAAAAGTAGGGTCAGGAGTAAAACAGCCCCGGCTGTCGATAAAAAAATGATTTCGTCATGTTTTCTGTATTCACAACAATTTAAACTCCAAAATTTTCTTGTGTTGTTCATCTAAAATCAATTATTTATTAAAAAAATACACTATTTTTTTATTTATTCACCAAATCGACTATATCCATACAACCCCCTATTGGTTCATTTTCATTTGTAATTTTATTGTAGAACTGATCCAATTCCAAATAATTGCTTATACATTTTTTACATATTTTAGTTAAATTATTATTTATTTCATCTGTACTATTTAAACAAACAACAGTTTTTTTTGTATAATTTTAAGAAGGTTTCTGTATCTGCAGATAAATTGTTTGTTAGCTGTCCATTTACAACATCAAAACATTCTAAAACAAATTATTTTTAGTTTTATGTATTAAATTTTTTTTATGTATTTACTGGAACATTTTGCTTCTTCCCACAGATTTACTGATGCCATATACAAAGTATGCACGATTTGCAGTCGGTCTTGCCCAACAAAATAATCAATACACTTTGAATCATTGATGGCAAGCTAAAAATACATTCAGACAACAAACAACCACAGACAAACTTATTGATTACCTCATTCATTTTTCGGTACGTTTGGTCTAGATCAAGGTATGAATCAACACACTTTTCACATATATTAATGGGTCTGGAATGAAAAACTCCGCAGGAAGTGAAGTTGGAGACCGCCTTAGCGAATTCGTCCTGCAGCTTTGTGCAGTTTTCGTTTTCAATGATAACATTACAAAATCTAAAAAATAAGTTGTTTATGTGAGTAAAATATCATTAAATACTTGCATTTTTGGGATTAATATTGTGTGTAAAGTGATATAAATAATAAATATTTGCATTTTATTGATGATTAATTGAATAAACAAAGAAAAAATCTTTTATTATTGCCCACATAACCTACAAAATAGATTATGATTTGGTTTGACGTTTAATCAAGGTCATCGTGGTTAAGGGAGATTTACATATTTACGCCTTTGAAGTTAAATTAATTAGCGTTCTATAATATTAGTTAATATTATTAACTACTAAAGTCATGAAGCCTTCACATTACAAAAGTGGTGAATAAAAATTGTAAAAATAGACCAATCGGGTAGTTTTTTTACCTCCTAGTCTGTTAAAAAACCCTTTGGACCAATAAAAAAATTTGACTTAAGTGTCAGATCTAGCTAACCTCACTTTTTACTTTTAATAATTATTTTAATAATTGAACGTTACCTATTAGTCTAAAAACGTTACCTATTCGTCTAAATTATTTTTTTAGCCTATAGGCGATAATAAATCACTTTGTAGTGAGTGTTGATAAAAATAAAGTAAAAACTATAATTTAAACTTTATTTTTATCAACACTCACTACCGAAGTGATTTATAAAACGCTTGAAAACAAACAAGATTAATTTCTTTAAAATACAAAGTAATATACCTACCTACAATTAAGATAAAAATATCTCTTTATTATCAAATAATTGTTATTATATTTATTCATAAATCGTGACCTTAACTTATTTTATTCGCTATTTATACCTGTAATTTCATTCAAATGTCACCTTAATGGCCGAAAAGTAAAAGATCTTTGGACCCTCCCCTCCATAGATCCTTTTAACCTAACATTTTTGTTAAATGTCAGAATAATTGGCTTGTACGCGGGTAATGAGTACGCCTAGTTGAAAACATAAAAATATTTGGAGTAAATTGGGTATAAACAATTAGTGCGAGTCGAGCATTGAAAGTGAAAACCACTGTGGAGTTATCAGTGCGATAAGGCAGCCAAAAATTCTCGTTTATTCGAATTGAAGTATTATTAGTAGTAGAACAACAAACATGAGTGTGGTGGATGTGGAGTCGTTGAAAAAAAATAGGGTCTTGCACCTGTGTCTGGCCATAACGTTTTTTTGTTCAGGGTTGATTATTAACGTAATACAGTGTATTTTGTATTTAACCCTTCACAAAGTTAACAAGCCCTTGTACAGGAGGGTCAACAAGGTTCTGACTTACTGCATTTTTTCACGTAAGTTGCAAATATAAATAAAATGTAAAAAAGTATCAACTTTATTTTTTGGAGTCAACATTGTTGGACATATAACTGTTTAAAGAATGTTAATTACATTTTAACCAAAACATTATTATCTATAGTTTCAAAAATAGACATAATTTACTATAGTTAAATTATTTTGTAGAGTTATCATTTCTTGGTGATTACTGGTCAAATACAACAGTTTACCACTATGTTGACAAAGATGTTTATGATAAATATTTCGGCAAAGAACATGCATTCTGTATTATGAACCATTCGTATGATGTAGACTGGGTCCCTGGTTGGATGGTATGCGACAGACTTGGCATGTTGGGGGTGAGTAATTTTTTGTATTAATTTTAAATGAAAATATAATAATTTAAAAAGTTTTAAAGAATCAAGGAATTATAATAAAAAAGTAAAATTAATTTGTAAAAAACTTTATCAATATTAACACAATTGTAGTTACAATTTTAATTGAAATTGTAATAATATTTATAATGAAAAGTACAATTATAAATATGTAAAAAATAATGGTCAAGGTTAGTGAACTTTTTAATTAACATATATGATTAGGCAAACTATAATGAAACTTTAAATAATATTAAAAATTAAGCCAATATTCTATTTTGGTAGGTATGTTTATGTGCATTACTATAATTTATTTTTAGAGTACTTACTTGATATATATTAACAGATAGTCAATGTATACTCATTCATAATTTAAACCTTGATATATTTTTTTAAAAGTATTTAGGTACCTAATTACTACTAAGGTTAAATCATACTCACTTTTAATTTACTTTTTAATAGTAATTATCTAATTGATGCATTTAAAAAATGTTAAAAACCAATGTTAACATCGAATAATTATAATATCTAATTTATATTAGTCAAAACAAACTGTTGTTAAATAAAATGTTTTACTTAATTAATAAGTACAGTTGTATTCAATAAAAAAGCGTACAAGAATTAGAATGAGAGAAAACTGTCAAAATAATATTATTGCTTAAAACCGGCTTATCACTGACATAAGTCATTAAAATAATTACTATAGGTTATAAAGAGCATTGACGTCGTAGGTTAATTAAATAATATTACAAAAATTAATAATTTTTAATATAGATTTTTTATTTCTATTATACCACAGTACGAATTGACCATTCTTCTTCGATTCTTGATACTATTTGAGCCTTTTTAACTGACGAGGCATTTTTATTTTCTACTGTCAGTTATAGTGACTTAAGTCAGTGGAAAGCCGGTTTTACGCAATAATGTTGACAGTTTTCTCTCATTCTAATTCCTGTACGCTTTTTTATTGAATACAACTGTACCTACCTATTTGAATTTTATACAAAAAATGTAACATTTATTTTGATAGGTATATCAAATCCATTTAACAATTATTTTACCTTAAAATGTACTTAAACAGTCTTATGTAAAAGTTAATATAATTAATCTACAATTAACACAAAGAAGAATTATTTCAAGCCAATTTTATCTATTTATAATAAAGCTAACTTCAGCCAGTGACTAATAGGAGTATAGAATAGAATAGCCCAATAGCCCAATCTGAATCAAATATACAGGGTGCTCAGAAACTAGATAAAAATGAGCATGGTACAGTTAGTGATAATAGATGTATCTTTAAAGTTAGCGTTAACTGACAGATACATAACCTCAATTATTTTACGGCATTCCTTATTTAAATGTTAAATTGGTACTTTTTACTAAACTATTGATTTTTATTACACTTTTACCTTCTTAAATGTAGGTATAGTTTAATTAAATAAATGATTAATTACAGCAGGATCAAAAAACAAAAAAACAAAAAAAAAGTGATGGTTATTTTTTAATTATATAGGCACGTGTAAAGAAAGTCAATTTTTTTAACTTGGAATTTAAACATGCAAAATTAAAATGTTTTGTTTGTAATTACTATTGTACTACAGAATAGTTTATTGATAAATATGCTTATTTTGAACTAAATACTTTTTTTTGTAAGTGTATAACAATTTAGATATTATAACAATTATTATAATAATAATAGGTTCGCCTATATTATAAAAAGACTATGTAGTTTAAATGTCAAATTATTATACACCTTCATACAATAGTGGAAATATATTGACCTTACATAGGCATTTAGCTTGAAATCAATGTAGGTAACTGTAAATTACAGGAATAACTAAAAATAGGTAGATTTTGTCTAAAACATTTTTTCATATTTGTAATAGATGGCGCTGTAATGAAAAAAAATTTTCTTCTGTATCCGATTCTCCAATAATTTTTGAATAAAATACTTGGTTCTATTTTTTTAATTTATTTATTTCGTTTTAATATTCTTCCAACACTGCTCTGGGATATTCCCAAATCTCTAAATAATTCTCGTATGCTTGCATGAGGATTAGCGGCCGTTGCTGCTAATACATTAATTTTATTATTTCCACCTGTGACTGTTGCTCGACGAACTCTTTTTTTCGGTTGAACACTCCCGTTTGTAGTAAACTGCTTGACTATACGGTGAAATGAAGTACGTGATCAAATTTTTTCCGGAAAACGCTGAGCGTAGATATTAACAGCATCATCAAGATTCCTGCCTGCTTCTCCATAAGTCAAAATCATTTCTATTTTTTCTTCCACTGTTAAAAAATCCATTATGAATAACTGCTTAACGAAAGGAGGTCTTTTTGTTTGCAAATTAATCTTCGAACTAAATTGATTAAATAATGCTAAACTATGTATAAATAGTTTCTTTATACCTCAATAATAATTATTATTTATAACTAAATACCATTTTTTTATACCTCAATTTGGATAAATTAATTAATTGACAAAATAATGTTTTTTAACATTTTATTAAAAATAGTACAATAATCCTTTTAATTAAAGGATTTAATGCTGGCAGGTAAAAAGTGACCATGGTGCGCAATTGATAATTATCACCGAATGAAATAATGTATAAAACTTAAACCAAAGGAAACTTAAATATTAGTTGAAAAATCGTGGGTACTTAAAAAAATCAGATTTCATTTAATAAGATAATTATTACCAAAAAAAGTGATATTTTTATAGAAAAATTATTGCAGAATCGTATAAGAAGAAAAATCGAACAAAATTGATTTTTTTTCATTACAGCGCCCTCTATTACAAAGATGAAAAAATGTTTTAGACAAAATTAGACTATTTTTAGTCGAATGATCCGAATCTGCAATAAAAAATAGGGTGTTCCATTGTAAATTTTAAAGTTACCCCCTGTTCCCCCTATAAGGAGGAAAGTATGAGGACCAATTTTAGTACTGATTGATTTCCCCCCTCGAGTCATTTAATTTTTAATTTAAACATTTTTTCGCAAAATGCATACTAACTGAGATTTTTAAATAAAACATTGTATACAAAAAAAAAACATTGTTTCCTTATAATTTTTAACAAAAAAACTATAATCATTTTTAGAATTGCAAAGCCTATGCCAAATCCGCGACGAAGTACATCCCTGTGTTGGGCTGGTGCTGGAAGTTTGGAGAATTTGTTTTTCTTGAAAGAAACTTTGAAAAGGACAAGGAAAATATTCACCAACAAATTGGGGAACTTGCCGATTACCCCGAGCCCGTCTGGGTAAGTTATTTTTCTTAATAGTTTCAATTTTGTTTACATTATGGGTATGAAATAAATGTTTAAAACAAATTTATGTGATTAACGTTTTAACGTTGTTTGTCTAGACTAAATTATAGTAGTGAAGGTTCACCAAAGATAACCTTTTTTGTCTTTTAAATTTGTTTACAATTTTACAAAAAGCTAACTTGTATACCCAAGGATATCTTATTATGATTATTTTTTAACATGTAATAATCATGAGCAATGAAAATTTAATAACCTGACTTCTGTTTATTTACTTTATAAACCATAATATTTGAATTATTATTTATTTTATAAAAAGGTTCATTAATTAATTTGGCGATTTATTTCAATATTTATTTAAACTTTGACCTATCCATCAAATTGATTAAGATAAAAATTATCTTTTTATTTTTTTAAGTGCGTTTTTATTTGATATTTGAAATAGAAGTAGATAATAGTATATTAAACAACTAATGTCATAAGACGTCATTTTGTCGCACGCGACAAAAGGTCTTATGACATGAGTTCTTTATGCTATTTTATCTATTTTTCAAAAATTCTATAAAAAAAATTATTTTATACCTACCGTAAATTTAATTTGGTCGAATTTTACTTTAGACAGTTGGTATCACAGTCATTGGTTTGACAGTTAATGTTAAAGAAGAAAAAAAGGATTTTTTTTTCAAGCGGCCATGATATGCAACCTTATATGCATGTATAGAGATAGTTGAAGTGCGTCTTTTTCATTAGCGGCAGACAAAAAAAGCAAAAAAGCTTAGGGATAGAAGTAAATCCATAGGCGACTCAATAGACGTCAAATAATAAAATTAATTTAGCATTTCATACAAAGCAATCACGACGTATTAATTATATTAATTATAATCGCATGGAATATTAAGTGATTATTTATTCAATTTTAATTGAACGAAATAAAGAACAACCAGTTTGTTAGTATAATATTATGATGATAGACGAGTCGCCAATGTCGGAACTCCAAACAAATGTCAGTATGTCAAAATTAATTCAAGCACACCATTTTGACAGACCAGTGTTTATATTTAGTTTATCCTTTTTCTATGGTTTAGGATATTTATTGGCATTGTAAGTAAGGGTTATTTAGTTTTTTTAGTTTTTATCAATAATTTCTAATGCTTTTAGCTAAAGTTTTATCCCACATGAGTTATGAGTAAAAAAATAATGTTATTGCTTATTCTATTTATATTACGCCCTTGAAAAAAAATTGTATATGTTATTTGGAGTAGAAGCTCTTTTTGTGCTTTGTACAGTTGCCTGCCTCAGCTACGCTTCGGCCGTCAATCTCTGTACTCACCACAAAAAGAGTCACTTCTACTCCTTATGACATAATCTACTATTCTTTGGTGTTAAACAAAATTTATTGCTAGAAAAATCATAAAAATATTATAACCAATATGCAAAATATTATGCTGTTTAAAGTATAGCCAACCTATAAAATCAAAATTTTGGGTGGGATAAAGTTTCTCATTACAGCACGAAAGCGGTGTTATAATGAATTCATTATGAACGCAAAATAGATAAAAGTTATATATTAATGAATACAAAAGAAAATATAGCATTTTTATAAATGTTTAATAGTATAAGTAGCTTAAATACCTAATCAAAAACAATGAAATATTTTTACTCTTACTAATATGATAATACTTGCCAAGTCAAAGTTCAAATAAAAAAAATAAACGTTTGCACATTTTAAATTTCAAGTAATTGTTATTATATCATATTACACTTTTTATCAATAAAGTCATATGATTATTAGGTATCTTTTATTTGAATATTATCTTTGAGTAAAATCCATTCTTTACAGAAATTGATTAATGTACTTATATTAATTAATTTTTATTTCATTTATATAGGTAACCTTTAAAATGTTATGAGTCAGAATTCCCGGGATTTTTCGTGAAAAACGGCTGCCATATTGGACTGATTTATTTCTATCTCTCTCTTACTTATGCACAGCCACTCATTTCTTACGCCACGAATACCTACAGAATGTGAATGTGCTTCCCTCTACGTAGTTTTAAATTTGAATATATAAAAAATTGTATATAAAACTATGTATTCCCAAGCAGCATTTTAAGTTTAAATAACTACAAATTTACTACTAGTCAACTTTAAAGTATTTTTACCGTTAACCAAAACGGTTTTATAACGGTATAGATACGAAAAATTACCAAATTTGAAGAATGGTTTATTTAGTTATTTTACCTACATAATAACCTTTTTGATCTACTAAAAGAATAACGTAATAAAAACAATATAAATACCACAAATTTACGTAAAAATAACGCTATAATTACTAACTGTTTGCTCTCTCTTTCTAAAAACATTGACATTCGTAATTTCTTTGTTCTTTTAATTTATATTTTACAAAATGGTACTTACAAAGTAATAAAGGCCACCCTAGAGTATAATTAAAAAATATAACTTAAATGGTCAAAACTAATAATATTTTGCATTAAAACTCAAACGCACATTATTTTATTGATAAAAATAGGCACGATACATCTTAAAAATTATATGCCCTCTAAATATTTACGGTTTTAAGAAAAATTATTGCGGGTAAAAATTCAACAAAACTTAAAACCTAAAAAATTTTATAAAATCGTTTAGTTTTAATCATTTTTTAATAACTAAAACTTTCCTTATTATATTTTAGGAAAATATTTATGAAAAAATATTATATAAATGTTTAGATAGATAAGTAATGGATGCCATCTTAAAAAACTCATTTTGGCGACCAAAAAATAAGTTTTATTTTTCACTTTAAGCCTATTTTTCCTTGTTTAGTCAATATTAACAGTATTTATTACCACTAATAACTCTAAAAAATACCTGGCGAATAGGAATTATTTACGGTTATAAAGTGGTCTTAATATCGTAAAATTATGACTTATGAGTAACATTTACCATTAAGTAAAAATTCTGACGTTAAAATTACCGTTAAATTTTCCTTTAGGTGAAATACACTTGTAAGTAATTTTCTTTCTTAAAAATTACGTCCCTCATAATACACTTTAAAGTGTTGAAACCTAAGGGTTATTAAATTAACATAAATAAAACTTATTAAATAACTTTAAAAAAAGTTTTACTTCAAAGTAAATTTTTAAGGTTAATTTAACAAAATATTTACTTGAATTAAGTAATATTGCCTCAAAGCTCTACGCGTTTACTTAAAATGCTGCTTGGGTGTTTAATTGCGATAGAATAAGAAAATGTCTGAAGTAACATTTTCCATTGTCACTTCAGTTGCTACTGTTCCCTGAAGGCACGCGCTTCACCCCGGAAAAGCAAAAAGCTTCGGTGGAATTTGCCGCCAAAAGCGGCAAAAAAGCTCTCAAGTACCACTTGATTCCGCGCACCAAAGGTTTCATAGCCAGCTTGCCGCGCATGCAGGGCAAAATCCACGCCCTCTACGACGTCGAGGTGGCTTACAAAGAGGAAGAGACCAAACCCACCATCACCAACATGCTGATGGGCAAAAGCCTGAAAGCGCACATGTACTACCACAGGATACCCATGGAGGAGGTGCCCAAGACCGAGGAAGGACAGGACCAGTTTTTGAGGGATCTCTTTGATAAAAAAGTATGTTTTTTGTTAAAAATGTATCCCTATACTCTAAAGAAGTATCGGAAGTCACCGCGTGATAAATGAAAATAATACGAACGTCACGTCGTGATTTTCACAAATTTTATTTATACGGACATCATCCGGATGTCACTACGTGAGAAATGAAAATCATGTCGTGATTTTTTATGCCAACGGTGTTAGGATAATCATTTTTACGCCACGTTCGTACACTAAGAGAAAAATTATGTTGATCAACTGTTGATTCGAATCAACAGTTAATTTAAATCCAACAAAATATTGAATGTTAAACTGTTGATTCAATTGTTAACATACTTTTTCTTTCAATGTACAAATGTGTCGCAAAAATGAATATCCAAACACCGATGGCATAAGAAATCATGATAAACAAAATTTGTGAAAATCACGACGTGACGTTCGTATGATTTTCATTTATTACGCGGTGACTTTCGTATGATATCAGTATGAATAAAATTTGTGAAAATCACGACGTGACGTTCGTAGGAATTTCACAAAAAACTCGTAAAAATTCAAAAATCGATGTAGGTATCTATCCATTTTTCAAAAATTTCTTACGGGCGAACAAAAAAAATTTAACCAAAAAATAAATAAATAAGGGTCTCATCGATTTCAGTAGAGAAACTGTCAAAAAAAATTCGTCAAAATTCTTCACTTCGTTCTTTGTTTTTCCTCTTTAGGATAGGATGAGGGAAAGCTTCGCTCAAACCGGCGATTTCTTCGCGACATCTGGTGTCGAAAGGGTGGAACCATTCACGGTACCCAGAAGCACATTAACCTTGATTAATCTGGTGTTCTGGGCGACCGTCGTATTGGTACCGATAGCCTACTGCCTGTTAAAATGGCTCGTCACTGGCCAGTTTCTTGCGTTCGGCATCGTCGTCGGATTAATTGGCGCCCGTAAGTACTCCTAACCTCACAAATAAGTGTCAAATGTCATGTCAAACGAATAGGAAACATGTTTGACATTTTTTATTCTTTTCAGTGTATGTGATGATGACTAAAGTGATTGGCATGTCAAAAACCGAAAAGGGGTCTTCATACGGATCGTCCACTCCAAAAAAAACAAATTAAATTAGTTTTCTTTATAGCCGTTCGTTCTAAATGTTGTAGGCTTGAGTGCCAACCAAAAAAATCCAGTATCAAATAGACAAAAATTAGTTGAGTTTAATGTTCAATATTTTTGTTAAAAACGTAACAAAGTTATTTATTAGGTTTCATTTTTTTTTATTTTGTTGATTTTTTGAAAGACTTTTTTTAATGTATTATACAATAATATATTATATTGTAATTATATTATTTATTTAATGTGCTGTAAATAAGAATGATGTATTGTTTAGGGATTACAGATTATACTTAACAAAGATATAATAAATGTTTTGAAAAATATAAGGGATTTTCATTTTAATAAAAAAAAACTTAACTGGTTTACTTTTTTTTTCAAGGAGACTAAATAAAGAAGTATTTACTTCTCCTTTATTTGGTCTTCTTGTTTTATTTAACCAAAACGGTTTTATAACGGTATAGATACGAAAAATTACCAAATTTGGGGAATGGTTTATTTCGTTATTTCACCCACATAATAACCTGTTTAATCTACTAAGAGAATAACGTAATAAAAACAACATAAGTACCACAAATTTACGTAAAAATAACGCTATACGCAAACAGTTGTTTGCTCTCTCTTTCTAAAACATTGACATTCGTTCTTTTAATTTATATTTTACAAAATGGTACTTACAAAGTAATAAAGGCCACCCTAGAGTAAAATTAAAAAATATAACTTAAATTGTCAAAACTAATAATATTTGGCATTAAAACTCAAACGCACATTATTTTATTGATAAAAATAGGCACGATACATCTTAAAAATTAAATGCCCTCTAAATATTTTACGGTTTTAAGAAAAATTATTGCTTGGGTAAAAATTCAACAAAACTTAAAAACTACAAAATTTTATAAGATCTTTATCATTTTTTAATAACTAAAACTTCCCTTATTATATTTTAGAAAAATATTTAAGAAAAAATTTTAGATAAGTAATGGATGCCATCTTAAAAAACTCATTATGGCGACCTGAAAAAAAATTTCCCTTAAAGTTTTATTTTACGGTTATAAAGTGGTCTTAATATCGTAAAATTATGACTTATTAGTAACATTTACCATTAAGTAAAAATTTTGACGTTTAAATTACCGTTAAATTTTCCTTTAGGTGAAATACACTTATAAGTAATTTTCTTTCGTAAAAATTACGTGGCCCATAGAACCTTAAAATCTCCTTGGTCAAATTTAATAAAACTTTTCAGGTTTTTAAGTAATGAAAAAAGGGCTTAATTTAATGTAATTAAATTTAATCCCAACTGGATATTTAAAAATAAAATTTGGGTACCTACGCTAGTGTATTTTAAAAAAATGTTTTTTAGACTTTTCTTGACATTTGTGAAATGTCATTAGCACAGCCTACTACGTACGCAAGATAGCCGAAATTAAATGATTACAATTTTATGCAAATTTGCCGCTACAGTCTCTTTGCACGAAATTTAGGTCGCAATGCTTATTGAAAGTGAAAGTGTTGTTGCGGCTTCCGATCTAAGGCAGCCTTGTAGAAAGTGTCGTTTAGACGTAAAATCGCTTGTTACGAACGATTGGTTTACATTGGCGCATTTTTATTGGAAGTAGTAGCCCCCTTTATTGTGGGAATTTCGTGGGGGCATTACATCTTCAGTCGAACAGTATTATTTAATTTAATTTATTGATATTTATTGATTTCTTGCGGTGCGTGGCTAGATGTTGCTTGAAAAAATGTCGGGTTTTAATTTAGGGTTTCTTCTTATGGTTTTTGTGCAGATTAGTTTAAGTTTTGCTAAGGTAACAAATTATAGTTTGTTTTGTTATTTTTTGGGTTTATTTTGTTTGTTTTTGATATTTTTAGGATAAAGTATGTGATATTCCACAAACCGCTCCCAAAAAAATAGAATCAGTAATTAATGAGTGTCAGGATGAAATAAAAGTGGCAATTTTATCAGGTAACAAAAATTTGATACACTTTTTTAAAATATATTTTAATTATTATTATGTTTAGATTTTATACTTGATAGCAATCATTATAATTATACAATTCATGAATTTGATTTGGTCTGGTATTTTATTTTGTCTTCAGTGTTGCCGAGTTTTTTTAATTTCCAATAACTGCAAAACTACTCGTAAGAAAAAAATACTGCATATTTATTATTTTTATACAGTGTACTAAAAATGGTACAGTAGTTTTTGATTTACAAGTTTTTATTTTTTATTTAGTCTTCATGGATTCTGTGACAACAATTGTTACAGAATCCATGAAGACTAAAAAAAGAAGCAGTTACAAAATTATTAATTTATAGTATTTTATTTATAAAAAATAAAAATGTACAACGTTAATTTTAGCTATTTATGTGTAAGAAAATATAAAATCCTGTTGAAAAGTATTTTTATTCTATAATTGTGTATTATTTTCAAAAAATAAGACGAAAGAAGCGTAAAACTAACAAATAGATCACCTCCATTATTTGTGTTTAAATTTTAAGGTGTTGCCAAGTTTTTGTCCACCACCTAAAAAAAGAAAATTTTAATTTTGTCATTAAAAACATCATTATGTTGATTAGAGTTTTTTTTTGGAGAAAGCCATCACTTGATATTTTATCCATTTTTTAATATATTAGGTGGCGTTTTAATTTAAGTTAAAAAACTTTCTATCAATAATTTTATTTATTATTTTTTATTTTTATTTGGCATTTAAAAATTCGGAAAAAAATTAGCGGTTCTTGGATAATTTAAAAAAAAACTGAAAACCTGTCAAAACCAAAAATTTTTAAATTTTAAAAAAAAGTATGTTTATTTAACATGTTAACATTTATTTACATTTTCATTAAATTTGTGATTTTTTTTTCGCCTACCAGATTCTGATGTACCACCATCTTTTGGTGCACCCTGTATATTATAATTTATTCCAAATAACCCATTTAAAACCTTGTATTTTTACAACATTTCTGATAAAAATTTCTCTATGAAACATGTAAAGTACCTACCTAATGATTAATTGTAAAGTTTCCTAATTAACAAGGAAAAGTATATCTATTACCAAACGTAATTAAGAAAACATGTAAATTTATTTGTTGATTAAACCTTATTTAACACTTTATTGCATTAACCATTTCATCAGTTTTAAAACAAACTTTTTTAATTTTACTAATAATATTATAGTTATACAACTAGAACAAACCTCTTAAAAAATTGGTTTATATTTTTTTTTGTAGAAGCACTAGAGGCCCTTAATGTAAATGAGCACACAAAGAGCAGGGCTAAAAGAGATGCCTTTAACAACGATGAAAAAAGAATTGCAGGTGTAAGTAAAAAAATGAAATAGTAGGTATAATTAATTATTGATAAATTAAAATCCCCGATCTATTTTCGTACCGTATCTACGACGAACACAAAAAAAATTGAATTGAAGAATTTTATTTGTTGACATCTGTCAAATGTCAACTGTCAACGGTATCAACCTCACTTTTTCCCAATTAATAATAATAAATATTCGAAATTCTTTTTACCATTTTGCAACATCAGCGATAATTAACATACAATAAGTAAAAATATCATTGAACTCGCATTTTCCCACAATTAATTTCTTGACTTTATGCGGTTATGTTAAAATTGCATTAAAATTTATGCGTTGAATTTATTTTTAAACTACTTGATTAAATTTGTAATTAAATGAATGATTAAATACGACTTGTTGACATATTATATAACTCGTTTAATTAAAAACCTGCTTATTGGTCTTCTTAAATTGCCAAATAAAAAAGTGGTAGTGCCAAATAAATTAGTATTATGATAAATACGAATTACTTATTTTATATATTCCGAAAATAATAAAAAAAAGTTCGTTTTTATTTGATGATGTTGGTAGTAAATGTGGTATTTTTTATACTAGTAGATATTTTGACAGTTTGTAAATGCTAGTAATTTTTGCTAGTGCCTTATTTTCGTGACACCCTGAACATCTCCTCTGTGCGCTGTATATACATATAAATATCTTAAAATTTATCCCCAGGTTTAATCCTCTTTTATCTATAGGGGTTAAATCACAACTGATTGAGGCATAAAACATATACATACATAATTATTAAACAATTTTAACTTATATTAATAGATGATTTTACTCTTATTTGAAGTTGTTTACATCCTTACACAATTATTTTATTCAAGGCTTGCATAATAAATAAATTAGGTAAGTAATTCATAGGTATTAAGTAGATAAATCATCTGGTTATTTAAATGAAAATAAGTAGAATTATGTTGTTTTCAGGGAAAGTAGCTTGCTAACTATTTATATTATTAAACAAATATAGGTACCCATAGTTAGGAAATTTAATACATAATAATGTTATGCATTAATATATTGTATTAGGTATATATAAATAATTATAATGGTTACAATGTTATATAAAAATAGGAGGAACATAAACAAAAGTAACGTAAAAATAATACCTACCAAAACCTTGGTTTGGTAAATTAAGTTGTTTTTGTAATACAATTCGATTAACATTTATTTTATGTAAAAAACAATCCTGGGGGAAAGAATGTATCAACCTTGAGCCCTCTTATATTGCTCATGGTAATTTTATATAACCCAATTACCTTAAGGTACTAGTTCAGTTTTATAGGACTATCTAAGTTACTGTGTTATTATATAATTTTGAAACTCTTATATACCTTGTAGTAACTGTCGTTACTACAAATGATGTTATAAAACTTTTGATAGGCATGCAACCATCTAACCGCTCAGGTTAGTGTTGTCAGGGTCGCCATTTTTGCCTGCACACTGAAAAAAATTTACGAAATTTTACACATCCAAACACACATTTATTTCTGTTTTTTTACTTAAGAAATGTGTTGTTCCATATAAAAGATGTACACACATACTTACATAAGTAAAATAGCATCAATTTATGTATTTTTTTAAATTAATATGTAGTTTTTCATATTATTATGTAATAAATCCTTAAATTTATGTGCTTTTACAATTTTTAATGTACTTGTACTATTATTTTCCTAAATTTTAGATTTACATGACCTTTGCATTTTTACACATTATATGTAGTTTTACAGTATGTTTGTACATATACATTTAAATACGTGCACGCCATGGCATCAAAATAACCAACGATCAGATGTGTAAATTTACTAAATATTTTTTTGAGTGCAGTAATACTGGTTTTAATACATTACTTATATATTCTATATTAAATATTTTCTTTTCAACCAATTTTTAAATAAAATTATGAAAAAGCATTGCGTGGAAAGCTAGTAGTACTAGCCTAGTACTATTCTTAATTTCTGTTTCAATTAGGTACTAAACATTTTTGGTTTATTAAGTACAAATATAATTAATTACTCACTTATATACAGTAACCTTATATGACCATTATAAAACTAGTAAACTAAATGGCGATTTTATAAAACCTTGTTAAACTCTTATATAATTTGATAACTCATATACCTATAACCTTTATATAATTTATCGTTACCATAAGTATTACCTACAAATTGTTTATTGGGCAATAACAATAAATATTAAAATTAAAAACTACTAAATTTTATTTTTTTCAGTGTTTGTTGCAATGCGTCTACAGGAAAATGAATGCAGTAAGTACCTAATTAAAACAAAAAACAAAAACATCTAATTTCTTATACGCGTATTTACAAAATATATCTATAGATAAAAGTGAAAATAAGAATTATTTTTATTTTAGTTTACCGTTGTACCCACATAATTTTACAACTAGGTACATATTACATTAATGTAATAATGATTAATTAGCAAATATGTACGTATTTTTTATTAAAATTTAATTCATGTTTTTGTAAATTTACAAGTTTTGATTTATCTATCATTTTGTCTACAATTACAAAACATAATTCTATTGTCTATCAGATAGCATAAATACCTGCAAAATTATTTTTGCCGTCTCAACAGCCATTAATAACAAAAAATAATGTAAAATTTTCTTTGTTTAAAAATTCTTATGCAACATTTTTTATTCCATTCATGAATCAAGATCAGCTCAGATATTATAACATTAGGTACTATGCTCCACACTTCAAAGTCCCACCACGTGACCACGTACGGAACGCAGTCTTTTGATAAATTGTCATTTAAGGCTTTTCAGGTTATGTATCTGTCAAAGTATAGTCAATGCAAGAAATAATATTTATACTGTTACCATTTATGTTTAAGCGTTAAAAGTTAATAAATCTTTATAGTAGCACAGTAACAATGGTTGGTTTAAGAGTTTAGGAGTATAAATACTGCATTTAATGAAATTCTAAAGTGTATAGTGCCAAATAAGTAAAACTTTTGTGCATTTGGTCTACATATATCTGGTTTTATCCATTAAATAGTTTTAACTAAACGGCATTTATTAAAAAAATTTAGCTTGTTTATTATGGAATAAGAATATCTGTATCAAAGGTAGGTTAATATATTATAACAAAAAATATCATATAATTTTGAAATTTTAAGGTTAGAAAAATCTATTTTGATCAAAATAAATAAGTATTTTGGATTATTTGGAAGAGTGTGTTAATATGGTCATATAAATATAGATATACTAAATAATTGTTGAATATGGTTCAAATTAAATTAAAGCTTTTATACTCCTAACAACAAAACTTGTGCATACCTCGGGATCCCTACTTTAAGTTAGATTATAAGGAAACTAACAACTTTTAGAGATACATGCAATGTAAAAATATTTAATACTCCCATAACATGTGATTTTTGAAATTTTTAAAAGTTATAATGATTTTTTGATGAAGATAAAATTCAGTTGAAGCTTTATAAGTAATTGTATTGACAAAACTTTATGTAGGTATACTTTAAGCTGGATAAGAAAAAATACTACAAGTAAAATATTAGATAGATTATACTGTGGTTTTATTTAAATTTTAGAATTTATAAGGTTATTTATACCTAATGATTGTTCGATGTAGATAAAATTTTGTCGAAGCTTTTATAGGTACTTGTATTGACACTATGGGTAAATTAGCTGACAGTGTAAGGAACTTTAAGAAGGTTAGCTATTGAATTTTTAAAAAGAATTTACAGTTTTTTAAAATTAAGTATCTAATGGTTTTATATTTGAAATGTTTAATATTGCTTATTTCCAAGAGCCAGTTGTTCAATTATGATGTCTATTTTGTTTTACTCCGGCATAAATATTTTCAACTGTAAAACTTAACTATTTTAAGATTTTTAAAATTAATTAAATATATAAAGGGGTTAATTTTAAAGAAGGAATCTAAAAACAACACCTTAAAATTATTAAAATTTGCAAATTATTAAATAATTTTAAATAATGTTTTTTATTATTTTACAAATTTCCAAACTTATTTTTTTTCTATATGTGAGTTTTTGAACTTTTATCGATTTTAGATTCTTTAAATTTTTATTTAAAATATATTATTTTTTGTTTATTTAATTAATCAAAGACGTTTATATGTATTTTCTTAAAATTATATTTAAAATTAAATTGTCTCATTATTTATGAACACCATGTATAATTCTTAATTATATAATTACAACATAAAACTAATAATATTTTACATACACACATATACATATATACAATATAATTTATTATGTAGGTACTATATTACCTAATCAGGCTCACTGATCCTGATGAGTGTTATATTGAACTAAATAAGGTATACCTATACTTATAAGTAATATCTTTATCAATACAAAAGGATGTGTGTCATTAAGGTTACTTGTATTAATTTAGTAATTATAAATATATATAGACCCCCAAATAGTAATTTTAAACTATTTTTGGATGTCTTGGAAAAAGTTTTTAATGATTTAGGTGTGTCTACAAAAATTGTTGTAACAGGTGATTTTAACGTAAATTTTACCCATTTTAGTAATTCTACTTTTTTATTTATTATTGTTAGATTTATTTTTGTTCATTGGTTTCAAACAACTATTTTATTTACCTAGTCAAAATTCAAATTGAAAATATTTATGCCGGAGTAAAACAAAATAGACATCATAATTGAACAACTGGCTCTTGGAAATAAGCAATATTAAACATTTCAAATATAAAACCATTAGATACTTAATTTTAAAAAACTGTAAATTCTTTTTAAAAATTCAATAGCTAACCTTCTTAAAGTTCCTTACACTGTCAGCTAATTTACCCATAGTGTCAATACAAGTACCTATAAAAGCTTCGACAAAATTTTATCTACATCGAACAATCATTAGGTATAAATAACCTTATAAATTCTAAAATTTAAATAAAACCACAGTATACTCTATCTAATATTTTACTTGTAGTATTTTTTCTTATCCAGCTTAAAGTATACCTACATAAAGTTTTGTCAATACAATTACTTATAAAGCTTCAACTGAATTTTATCTTCATCGAAAAATCATTATAACTTTTAAAAATTTCAAAAATCACATGTTATGGGAGTATTAAATATTTTTACATTGCATGTATCTCTAAAAGTTGTTAGTTTCCTTATAATCTAACTTAAAGTAGGGATCCCGAGGTATGCACAAGTTTTGTTGTTAGGAGTATAAAAGCTTTAATTTAATTTGAACCATATTCAACAATTATTTAGTATATCTATATTTATATGACCATATTAACACACTCTTCCAAATAATTCAAAATACTTATTTATTTTGATCAAAATAGATTTTTCTAACCTTAAAATTTCAAAATTAGATGATATTTTTTGTTATAATATATTAACCTACCTTTGATACAGATATTCTTATTCCATAATAAACAAGCTAAATTTTTTTAATAAATGCCGTTTAGTTAAAACTATTTAATGGATAAAACCAGATATATGTAGACCAAATGCACAAAAGTTTTACTTATTTGGCACTATACACTTTAGAATTTCATTAAATGCAGTATTTATACTACTAAACTCTTAAACCAACCATTGTTACTGTGCTACTATAAAGATTTATTAACTTTTAACGCTTAAACATAAATGGTAACAGTATAAATATTATTTCTTGCATTGACTATACTTTGACAGATACATAACCTGAAAAGCCTTAAATGACAATTTATCAAAAGACTGCGTTCCGTACTTGGTCACGTGGTGGGACTTTGAAGTGTGGAGCATAGTACTTATGTGCTATTATAGATATGTATATGGAAATCACTATATAATTATACCCACTTATAAACGTCAGTAAAAAATATTATTTGTGTATCTTTTTGGTGTCGAAATTTTTCATTTTCATTTTGGCATCTTTTGTCGTCAACTTGATAGCAATTGCTAATAATATTTAATAAGAATAAATAATTTTACTGATGACTTTTTCCCTAGGTTAACAAAAAAGGTTTTCCAACAACCGAGGGTTTAGTGAGGCTCTACACCGAAGGCATAAACCAAAAGGAGTACATTCTGGCAACGTTGCAATCCGTTAGCACTTGTTTGGTGACAGCTCAAAAGAAACACTTGATAACTCCTCAATCAATTGATGGTAAGTACCTACTTATAGTTTGTTTATTTGTTTATTTATTTATTCACGAACTTAATTGTCTTTCTGAAATTCCTTTCATTTCCGCATGTTTTGTTTACGTTAGATGTACAATACAGTTAGATTAAAGATGTCGCTAACCGTTATACCTTTATGTTTCCAGAAGTGCCATATGAATTTTTGTTAACTTTCAGGAATATTTGGTTTGATTTATTTGCTGACCACCATAATTTCGTTTATAAATTATTAAAGGCGCATTCATGCTCACTAAAATAAGAAATAAGAAATAAGAATAAGAAATAAGAAATAAGATAAAAAGTTAAAACTGTGTAAAGTAATGGTTGCGTTCATGCTCATGAAAATAAGGAATAAGAAATAAGAAATAAGAATAAAGATAACAATTTTTAACTTTGGTTCTTATTCTTGCGTATAAAACTGCGCAAAGAACCAAAATGGGTCTGTGAATTATTTTGATGGGTTTTATTTGTTATATGCATGGAGCCATGGTGTTGGAAATCGCGTAGAGTGTCGCTGTCGATTGTTTACGTTTATAGCCAATATAATCCACTATAATAAAATATAATTTTGTGACAACATTTTTTATTTCTTAGGTTATCAGCATGAACGATCAATCGCGGTCTTATTTCTTATTCCTTATTTCTTATTCTTATTTCTTATTTTAAGTGAGCATGAATACGCCTTAAGTTATTAAAACTGTCACTGGCACTGTCAAAAGCAAAAAGCGTTACCATAGAAACCAACTATCAACAACTCGCAATGTTGCCGAGTATAAATGCTTATTTTTACGTTTTTTAATTAATTAGAAAATGGTATGTTTTTTAAATCAAATGTAATAAAATGACCAAATTTCTTATCTTTCTGTTGAACTTTTAAATATATCGTTGGACTAACCTCTATATATATATGCAACCCATTACACATTCAAATAATTAATTTAAATATTATACAGAGTGGCTCAAAACTATTTCATATTTTTGTTAGATTTTCAATTTAAAAACTAAAACTGCTCATTTTGATCCAAGAATGTATGTAGGTATGTATTAACAAAACTTTTTTTCTTTATTAATTAACCAAGGTAATTACCCATTGTGTGGCCATTTAAAAATAATTAGCATTAATTGTTTAAACAATGGTCTATCAAAATTAAGAAAAATAACTTTTATGTGTTTTACACGAAGCCTATTTTTTAATGTCAAGTAGGTATTCAAGCGATAATAATCTTGTTTAATCGCAAAAATTACACATTTTGTTAATCTTTGCATTGGTTGGAAATTCCAACTTGGAATGTAACTCACGAAATTAAATGTTAATTGGTGTTTTATAATAATTATTAATTATTTATTCACATCCTTCGTTTTTTTTTTAATTTGATTAAACCTTGGTCCTGTGTATTAAATTTTTGAACAACAAATAAATATTATCATTATTATTTTTCAGAAGAGGGAAAAACCTGTGACATAGCCTACGACATATTCGATTGCGTTTCCGACAAAATAGGCGATTATTGCGGCCAAACGCCATAAAAATGTACTTTACAACCTGATATCTGCACTGGATCATCTTAAAAAAAAATAACATACTAAAATCTGCAAATTATTGTTATTAGTCCAGCAATTAAATTACCTGAGAGAACCAACTTATGTAAATCACATAATTAACTAGATAGTTAATAATAATAAGTAGTGTGCTGTGGTTTTGTACAGCCAATGAAAGAAGGTTTTGTACAGTCAATGCAAATTGTTTTTTTTTATAATAAGTTTCTTGGGAATGTAATTATATAGGGTTACAAATAATTGTACAAAATTAATAAAAAAATAAAATAAAAAATGTTTTTTTTTCAGATAAATAATCTAAATCCATCGTTATTGTGTAAGAAATCTTATTAACGTTAAAACCCGAATTTAATTTAATTAGTGTTACTTCTTTGTAATTCACGGTTTTCCAGTGTTTTATAAACAAAATTGGTATTTTAATCTTTCAAGACGATCTGTAGATCTTTAATCTTTCTTATTATGTCTGTGGCCTCTTTCAAGACGAGTTAAAGTTAGAATATTTAACAAGTAGGCTTTGTCTGAATAATAAACGTCACTAACGCGAATATTGACGCCTACTCAGCGTTGCCGCACTGAAATTATCAATTACCCACGCCACTATGACAGAATACCCGGTTTTACCCCCACTTTAACATGAAAATCCCCATAAAATTACCCGTCCGAATACGTGGCTTGTTTTAAAAAAAAGAGGTCAAATTTTTATTAATAGTAAATAGGTAGGTATTAGCCTAATACCCTAGTAGCAATGGAATTGGACAAGATTTTTTGTCAAGATACTTGGAGAAGCACTTTGTAAAGAATTGGACAATTCTTGACAAAGACTCTTGATCAAAATTCTTTATCCAGACTGGTGGCAGACTTGGACAAGTCTGTGACCAGAATTTGATCAGATTCTTGGCCAAGAATTTTTACAAGATTACACGTTAAATAGGAACTTTCAATTCAAGATTTTTGGTCAATACAAAATTTTGTTGAACTTCAAAAGTTAAGAATGTTACTAAAAACATTAATTTTCCACGATTTATTTCCAGTAAATTCGGTTTTTATCCATAAATCTGGTAAACAATAGAATTAAAAACGAAACAAATTTTGAAAGAGTTAAAGTTTTTAATTTTCTATGTTAAAAAAAACCAGGTGCCCGTAAAAATAAACATGTATTTTATAATCTTTCATGTTCATAAAGAGTAAACTCTAGTTATGCGTCAGAGCTGACACACACTTTTTTTTAATTTTTGATTTTTAGAAATAACAATTTTTTTTTTTCAAAAAATCAATTTTTTTCTCAGCTAGAAGACAAATCCAATAAGCTCCGATTCGTATTATCACAAACAAAAAATCTATACTCATTTCCTACAGAGAACTCACTTCTCGACTAGTATATATTATTGTGAATGATACTATAGAATGAGAACCTCTACTCTATAGGATAGTCCCAAAGTTTAGCAATAGATGGCCTCAGATTTCTGGTCAAATTCTTGTCAAATTCTGGCCACAGTCTGGCTCAAGTCTAGCCCAATAATCTTGGCCAAGAATCTGGAACAATTCTTGTACAATTCTTGAGCAAAAATATGTCCAAAGTATCTTGACCCATGCTTGGCCAAGACTTTTCCGGAATTGCTACTAGGGTACTATTAGGTAGGAACTTTATTAATACATAGACATGCTTACTTTATTAATAAATAGTGGATAAACCTCCTCTCAGGGATTAAGTACTTTATTTTTTCCGTAAATTAGAATTTAACATTTTGTTTGATGGTTCAAATCTGACAGGACCTCCTGCCTCTTTTGTGTGTAATAATGCGGCGATTGTGTAGGTGTTCAGTCTGTTTCTGTTATAAATAAAATACCCGTTGACTGTCAAATTAACGTCAAGGACATGCGCAATATAAAATAAAGACGTATAGCGCCATCTATTAGGTAACTGTATAAATGGTCAAAATGAACTTTGACATTTTCATTTTCGCAGAAATAGCGTAGGTCGAATGGTTGAATTTTAATTTTAAAGTTTTATTTTTTGCTGTTGGTTCTACAATTTTTATTTTTGCAAATTTGGGTCAAAGGGTTAAAATCCCCGGTTTTACCCGTTTAATTATTTTACCCGGCACATACTCCAAAATACCCGAATTTTGGGTAAAATACCCGGCAACGGCAACGCTGCGCCTACTTGATAAATATTTTAACTTATGGGACCTGCTATATCCAGAGACACCTCCATATCTCTGGCTATATCCATTTAAAGAAAATGATAAATAAATAAAAGTAGGCCATGAATCAAATTCAGTAGTGCCAATGTAGTAAAAATAAAATGTTGTGTTTTAATTGACAAATTACTATTTTATTACAAATAAAAGAATTATTATATATAAACTGAACTAAATAGGTAACAATTTAAAATTGTTAATTTGTTGTTATAATGGCAAAATTAAGGTTTAAAATTGTCATATTTTTGCGTTTCTTAAGTTGGCAGCACAAAATTAAAAATGACAATTTTAAACAGTGCAAAAGAACTGTTTTTTTTTTAAATTTTGATAAGAAATATACTGTAATAATTAATTTTCATTATAAACATGATTTTCATTGGATACAAAATTTAAAAAAATGGCGTATGAAACAAATGTAACTTAAAAAATTATTTTTTTAACATTTTGAAAACATTTTATGAAAACTCTTCAAATGAAGATAATACCTTAAGAAAAATAAAGTTTTTTTAGTGTATTGAAAATTTCTAATGGATATATCTCGAAAACTGTGAATCGTAGTGATATTTAAAGTATAAGTTTTTTGAGAAAACAAATCCAGGAAGCCAAATTTAAAAGAAAAAAATAAATAAAACCAATCATAAAAAACGTATTTGTTTAAAAAAAATGATGCAGGTGGCGCCATCTACGAGATTAGCTTAAATGGGTGGAATATTCAAATTTGCCATGTCAAAACCCCCACATTCCAAATTTCGCTAAAAATTACTGATAATTGCCAAATTTTAAAAAATTAGAATCAACTTTGTTTATCGTTGACATTTGGATTAAGAAAATTTTATCGATTGAGATTAATCGATAAGAGATCTCAATATTTTTTGGTAAAGGATTGCTGTTAATTAAATAAATTAAAAAAAAAAAAAAAGTTAATGCCCCGGGTGAGGATCGAACTCACGACCTTAAGATTATGAGACTTACGCGCTGCCTGCTGCGCCACCGAGGCATATATTTATTTAATACGGTCACAGAAATATAATCAAACATCATGGCGCGCGATATTAAATAAAATAAACATTTTTTATGTAAATCTTGTGTAGGTAAATTTAAATTGTTTATATAAAACTGCCAACCCCTTTTTCACTACCCTACTTTTACCTATAATAGGTGAAATAAATAAACAAATCTCCAGAAAAAAATCTTATTAATATTGCTCCCGTCATATGCATAAGATTCGAGTGTTAAATAGGAATCAACAGACCGTTTCCAATAAGACAAGGCCATCTGCGATCTTCACGCTAGGAGGAATTCCCGCGAATTCCACCCATCCAAACAAACTCTGAACAAAATTCATTGCAAACACGTCAAGTAGTGGAACGTTCCATTGTTCCACACATGTTTTTTATTGAAACAATGATGAATTTAAAATGTACCCGCCACCCCACTCACCGCGGGTGGTTCGGTATATAAGCATTTTTTTATTTTGTTTATGTCAGTGAGGTTTGAAATTTGAAATTTAGTGTGTTTTAGTTGAATTCATCGAGATGGCTGATAAGAATCGGTTTATTTTTGATGTGAGTGATATTGGTACCAGCTGGCCTAGGCCATAAGGATTATTTTGTGTTTTGTGATTTTGTGTTGAAGTGGCACTTTACTAAAGAGTTATTTCATTTATTAAAGCATCTCTGCAATACATAGGGATAATCAAAAATCCAATGACATTTTTATAATATTTTTTATACCTTTTAAACATTTTTCGTGGATTTTTTTGTTTTTTTAAGGGTCAGTTTAATACAGTGGCGTATTTAGGGGGGGGTCCGCCGGGTCCGGACCCCCCCGGGTGCACATATTTTATTATTTTTATTACAAAAAAGTTCCTTTTATTTACTATTTTATCGGATCAGAAGAGTTCCTAATTTGTGATTTTTTAGTTATTAAAGCATAGCATAGTATAGTATTTAGGATTTAGCTCCGGGGGGGGTCCAAAAACATGTATACATATTTAGTTAGTTTTTTGGACCCCCCCCGGCCGGAGCTAAATCCTAAATACGCCACTGGTTTAATATACACAATTTTGGTGTTTTGACAAAAATATCAACCAAGAGGTCTATATAAAAACAAAAGAAGGTCTATAATTCAAAAACAAAAGCTATCTATAGATAGGTACAAATGTACTATTTCCAACTTTAAAAAAACAACCTATAAATATTTTTATGGCTTCAAAATTTTCTTGTGAATTTATAAAATTAAAGTAAAAATAATTGGCAAAAAAACATATTGGCAAGCTATGGCTTTATGGCGCTTTAGTCACGGGCTGAAGTTAGGTTTACCTTAGTTGACAGTTTTCAAATGTCATACAATCGTTAAAATAAAGTGAAAGTGAAATAATATATTATACATACATTAGTATACTAAATGTAAAAAATGTTGTAGGTATTATCTTAATACAAAAATTCAAAAGTAAACCAGATTTAACTTTCACTGTGAAAAACTGTTTCTATATCGGATTTAACCGGTTTTTAGTCCATCCAACAGAACTTTTACCATATATGCATATTTTCTCAAATTTGATGAAAATTCCGCACACGCTGAAGAAATTAACGAAATATTTTAGAACAATGGGGCGAGATTGGCATCTCCGGTAATTCGCAAGGCTATCGGCTGATCCGATCCAAAAGATAGTTTTGCCCACTTGCTTGCAACCTAGAAATTTGTCCTGCAATTAATTTACTTATCTGCTATCTCTGCTCGGCTGAAAAACAATTAGGCGGAAATTTAACCACAAATTACATTATAATCAATGAGAAATATTAAAACTCAGTCTTGTTAATTCACTACACGATTCATTACAACTCAATTTGGGAAAATTACAAAACGTTTGTTGAAATTCACTAAGCATTTATTAAAAATTTGTTCAGTAACATTACTTTACAGGTATTGTAATTTTGCAAAAAAAATACTAAATATGTTTAGTAATTTTACAATACAATTCATTTCAACTCAGTTTAAGTAAATTACAAAATATATTTTACAATTTTGAATGAAAAAAAATCCTGCAATTTACTTAGTTTCTTCAAGAAACTTTTTTGACTCATTACTGTAAAGATTAAAAAAATTGAACCTTCACCTCGCCAGAGTTTTTGTTTTAAGTGCGTTCCACCAACTTCAAATACCTACCGAGAGCTAGACAGATAGACCTATTTTGGGTCTTATCAATGTCGGGCAATTTGGTGCATTGGAACACACCAAAAACGAAAGACACCTGAGCTTATATACTGTCCACCTAAGTCAACCGAGGCGAGATGTAAGAACATCACGTGATTGCCGCAATCGGTACATACTGTGCATTTTACATAACATTATAGCAAATGAAATTACAAACAACGTTTGTAAATATGAGATGCTTTTTATTGGAAACTGTCAAACTGTTTCGTAAAATTACAATGCGTGTAGGATTTATACATATAGATTGTAAAATTACAACTTATCTTAGCAGATTTCCCAACATGTCTTGGAAGATTACTCAAATTGTATTATAATTTTGTATTGGTATACACTGATTTATAATTTTTCTTATCCTTTGTTTTGCAAAACAATTGAAATTTTACGAAAAATTTTAACAGTTTGCATGATTAAAATGATATATAGTAAAAATGCAAACAGAAGTTGTATAAAATAAATTATGATTTGTATATTTCCAAACACTTATTGTAATTCAAATAGCAAATTTTGGTTAGTAATTTTATTTATTATCTTAATAAAATTAAATTCCGATTATGTATAGAAAATTTACAAAATTTCAAATTCATTTCTACAATACAGAATTGTAAAATTACTATAAGTATCTGACAAAAACAAAAACATTGTAAAATTGGAACCTGTTTAGTATACTTTGGCTATAACAAAATGTAATATTACAACAAATGCGTATTAAAGTTGCAATAAATGTAGTAATTTTACAAACATTTTTAACATTGTTTTTCCCCTGAGCAAGGTACAGCAATAAGAGACACATATATTTTTTTTTTCGTAAAAATAGTAGTTCAAACTTTCAAAGAATTTCTGTTATTAGCTGTATTGAAGAAAAATTTTTCATTGTGGGTATAATATTTTATAAAATTTTGTAGAATTTCACTGAAATAAACAGTAATCGTACTAAAATTAAGTAAAACTAGTACCAGATTCGTTTAATGTAATAAAAAAAATTTAATTTATCGGAATCTCTTGTCAATAATTTTCACTTATCTCTTTTCAATAATTTTTACTTTTTTAACAATGCAATAAAAATCACATATTTTCAAAAATAAACAATTCATTTTCATATATTTTATGAAAATAATGATAATGTTGCAGTCAAAGTAAAAAAATCTAAAAATTACTATAAGTAACTTTAACCCTAGGGTAAATAACTTTTAATTAGACCAATGAAGAGATCTTTTTTGTAGAGCGTTCAATTTCCGATTCCCAATTAGCATTTTTGAATTCAAATTCGACATCTGCAGATTTCTCAAATAATCCACAATAAATTATTGATTTTAGTGTGGCTTCGTACTTATCGTATTAGTGTCAATACTAAAAATAACAGAATGTGTTGACGACGACTACAATGTGTTGCACAACGATGGTTCCTTTGAATTTGGTTCCAACAGCCCAGATTCGTACCACTACGCTGATGGTAACAGAAACAACGTTGTAAAGGGAGAATTTGGTGCTAGAAACCCAGGCACAGGTACCTAACCATATAAACTAATATACAGCCCGTTCAGAGTAAAACCGAATATATTTATATATATATGGGGCGTGGCCTCGCCTCCCTCCAACGTGCGACCCAGTAGCTAAGCAAATAGCCTGCATCGCTAATGAGATTTTTTGCATTATTATCATTTAATTTTTTAAGTCCTTACCTGCTCGACCTTTCGTCATGTCGTTTATCACACAAGCTACTGTGACGCGCCTTGGAGGGAGATATATTCGGTTTTACTCTGAACGGGCTGTATATGTACATCGATATTTAACTCCTAAATTTAATTTAGGTGCCATCGATTCCACGATATACACTGCAGGCCCTAGAGGTTACAGACCGCGCGGGAAAAACATTCACCGGAAATACGACTTGAACCAAAACGGGCGTAGACCCGTAGGGTCGAGAGACGACCCCTACTACGACCCCTACGAAGACCCTAGCTACAACTTCTCGTTCAGGACCAGAACCTACAACAGAGACGAAAGCGCCAACAGGGTGGGAGATGTCAACGGAAGGTACTCTTACTTGGATGACGTGGGTGAGAGGCACAACGTGGAGTTTATAGCCGGGGCTAAAACCGGTTTCCACGTTAAAACTCCTTTCCCCGACTCCAATCCGCGAGGGTATGGTCCTTTGTACTTCAACGGCAGAGGAAAGCCTATACCCAGGGGAAGAACATCCGTACAGAGGGGAGTCGATGGGAGTTACAAGTGAGATAATCAAATAATCATAAACATTTTTCTATGGAGTTTTTTCCAGGTTTGTCTCTGCAGGTCCTGATCAACGCCGGACGGAAACAGCTGACGCAACAGGTCACGTGAGAGGGTCCTACACCTACTTGGATGACAAAGGTGTCCAGCACAGTGTTCACTATATAGCCGGTCCTGAAACTGGGTATAGAGTGTTGAAGAACGTCAAAGGACCTCATCTACCTACGGTGTTTCCCTTCGGACGTCCGGGTATCATCCCGCCAGATTTCTACGACTACAACGGAAGGGAGGGCGATTTATTCGATACAGCCGCCAGTGGCAGTCCTGTTGATAATAATGTGGATAATAATTTGAAACCTGGTAAAGATGAGGTGAACTTCGATACAGGTATTGATGTGAACAAGGATGATTTCAATAAGTTTAATAACGATGCTAGCTCGACGACTCCCTTTCCACCTAGAAGACCTGCGAGACCACAAAACAGACCTGGAGTTAATAGACCGTATGGAGCGAATAGGCCGTCTTACAGCGATGACGGTGATGAATCCGACTTTGATTTATTCGGAGGTGTTAGTGGTGGATCGTCAACCACAGCAAAGCCATACGATGACGGTCAATATAGGCCATCGTCAACAGAAAGAACCCAAAGTAGTTCCACAACTTCCAGGCCTTCTGATGGTGGCTTTATAAGTTTGGATGGTGGGGGGGATTATGGTTCCAGACCAAGACCTGGCGCCACCGTATCTACCAGCGCCACATCTTCATCTACACCAAATTATGGGAATGACGGTGATGGTTATAGTTCCACCATCAGGCCGAGTAATAGACCTAGTGGACGTCCCAGGCCAACTTACGAAGACGATTTTAGCATTTTCGGCAGCGAATCCCACGGAAGTCATTTCGGAATAAGCGAAGGTACTGATGGGTATGGAAGTAACTGTCCCAAATGTCGCGGCACAGTCGTTACTAACGTCGGATATAACACCTTTTCCGTGCCACCTGGAGTTTCCGTGAGGGCCCACGTTCAAGCAATTGATTTGTTCCCAGTTTCGGACGTGTTTCCATCGCCCAGCGAGCAATTTAGGGCGGATATGGGCTTGAAGACGGAGCAGCTGAACGAAGCGCCAACCAAGGAGGCCAGAGCTACCACCACGAAGAATGCGGATAGTTCCGAGGAAGTTACCACGACGGTGGTGCCCACTACTACAAGTAACTCCACTAGTGCCTAGAGATATCTCTACTTATATGTAAATATATCCAAAGATGTTAGGTGTATTATTTATTAAATAAACTATACAATAATTATTAAGACGTTGTTTATATTATTATGGGGAATGTTGGGTATGCATTTATGAATTCGAAATGTTTGCGAGGTTGTTGACATTCATATCCAAGGTGCCTACTTGCTACTAGTCGAACCAGTTGTCATCATTTATAGGTATTCACCGTTTGCGAAAAAAAAACAATAAATAAATAAACCAAATTATACAGGCCGAAAAATTGTTTTTGTTTCCCTTGCTTTCTACAAACTACTTCTTGAAAGTTGTATATGTTTTTTCACATCGATGTTTTGACACACACAAAATAAAAATACAGCTAATTATAATATTGCAATGAACCAATCAATCAATCAAAATTTAATTTGTTGGGTGTGGGAGGACCACTCAGCTTATAAAGTTACGTAACTGTAAACTGATTGGTGGGTTTTTAGAATCAATGAGCGACAAATTGATTTTGTATTTTTATTAACGGCGCAGGGAGATATAAACAACTTCTTAATATGGACGTTTAATAGCCGCTTACAAATCATAATTAGTGTTGAGTACTGTTAACAGATAGGTAAATTTATAAGCTATTAGTTTTTGTACCAGGTTTTATCATAGAACATGTTAAAAAAGGAAAATATAGCAAATTAGTAATTTTTGCAAATTGTCTAGTAATTTTTATTTTATTTTATAAAATTACTTCTACTAAAATAAAAAAATGTATAATACAATTTTTTTTTTCACAAATTGTTTTTGGTTTAAAAATGTTTTCATAAAATATAAAGTTTCGAAATTTCATAAAACATGATTTTATAGAAATTTAGTGTTACTAAAATAGGTACCGATAACCTTCATAAACTCTCCAAAAAGCTCTTTAAGGGGTATATAAAAGTGATATAAATATTTCTGTAACCAAATTAGGTTTTATAAAAACAAAAATGTTTATTGGGAGACTTTTATAACGAGAAATTGAAATAAATAATAACACAAATTATTTTGGGTATTTTTCAAAAATTAAACTATTAAAAAGTTTTTTAAACCTTTTAAATTTCTACCACATATCCTAGAAACGGTTTTCAGAAGTTTTTTCATTAGTTTTATCAATAATTTACAACAATTCATTGCTTATCTCAGAAAAATCGCGACGGGAGACAATTCTAACGTTACTTTCCCCTTCTCACACCAACAAACGTTACGCAAAAAAACATCAAGCCACAAAAAAAAACTATACCAAACTAAACCAAAACCACTAAAAAAACATAAAATCTCAAAAATTGATATTTATGAAATTTGCGGGTTGACTCATTTTTGCATAACAGTTAGTAGTCGAGAAGTGTCTTCAGGCCTCATCGGTGTCTTCGCTATTCTATCTATATATACGATGCCGGCTCGATTTTGCCGTTAGTTCGTCAACAAATTCTAAAGGAAAAAGAAGTACCGGCCAGTTTTACATATGAATAACCTGTAAACATAATAATACGCTTTAACGTGCTGCAGTTTGAAGACAGGATGAAATTCGTGATTTTATTTGTAAGTACCACTTTATTTTATTAAATTTAAACGCATAGGTCTTGTTCTTGTAAAGTGGTTTTTACAAGGTCATTTCATAATATAAGAAGATTCACCTGCTAAAAGGCAATAATTTCGATATTTTAAATTTTTTATACATAATTATATTTTTCTATTTCCACATTTAAAACGTACATGTTTCCATCACACCAAGTGATATTTTAAATACACATGTCATCCAAATTATAAAACCTAAATTTCTTAATTTGGTTACAGAAATATTTATATCACTCTTATATACCCCTTAAAGAGCTTATTAAGGGAGTTTATTATTAAGGTTAACGGTACCTATTTTAGTAACTCTATAAAACCCAAGTTTTATAATTAGAGATAACAGGAATATTATGGAAACCACAATATAACTTCCTAAAGAACTGCTACCGGCTTTTTTCCTTCTTTTAATTATTTTTTTTTCAAACAATTTTTAATTAAAATTTTGAAAAAACATTGCGTCGAAAGCTAATACTATGCTCTCTAAAAATGAATTAGTCAAAAATGACTAATTTAATAGTTATTAGTGGCTGCTTTTTCACTTGTACCATGGTTAACCATGGGATACCATGGTATCCCAAAATTTAACAGCCAATTTTTATGTAAAATTGTCCCCTGAATCCGAAAATGTCGTCAAAAGTTAAAAAAGTATAACAGTTTTTAAGATATAGTCAATTTTCCATTTAATATGGAATTGACTATATCTCAAAAACTACGCCACTTTCATAATTTTTGACGGTATTTTCGAATTTAGGGGACAATTTTATATAAGAATTGGCTGTTAAATTTTGTGATACCATGGTATTCCATGGTTAACCATGGTACAAGTGAAAAAGCAGCCACTAATAACTATTAAATTTTTTTGACCAATTCATTTTTAGAGAGTGCTTAATTTCTGTTTTAATTACTAAACATTTTTGGTTTATTAAGAACATAAATAACTAATAACTCACAATTTTATTTAAAAAAATTAAAGACACAATATTTTTATAAAACAGGTAACCGCAAATGTTTATGGCCATTATAAAACAAGTAAACTAAATGGAGATCTTATAAAACCTTATTAAAATCTTATATAATTTGACAAATCTTATATAACCTAGGTTAAGCTTTATATATTTAATCTTATCTTCTTTTTAGGCGGCTATTGCCATGGTACAGTGTCGGCCACAGAACTGGGAGCATGACGAGGCAGTATCACAGTAAGTGCAAAAAATGTACAAAAAACCATTAACAGGGGTACTAACTATTAATATTGTGGTAGATCGGTTGATAGAACAACAATGTACAAAAACGTAGTGTAATGTATATGTGTTAGTGTGTAGTTTATAGAAGATGTACAGTTTACAACAAAGGTAAAATGGTAAGTCTGTTGACTAATAATAATAATAATAATAACTAATATTAATGTTGCTGTGTGGTGGTTTTTGAAGAGAATGTTTGTTATAGGGCTGAAAAACACGAAAAAATTACACAGGATATCTTGCAGAAAATCGCCGAGGTCAACAAAATGCATGGTTTACTCCCCGAGAAGAAAAAACCGAATTATTTTCACTTCCCGTTTAGCTATTCGCGACAGCAAAGCGAGTCTAAAAGGCACAGCTCAGATTCCAAAAAAATGAGCGATGTGTACGATGACGTTGATGATGATGGCGATGAGGAAACTCAAGAACCTCAAATAACGAAAAAAATTACCCATGTGCAAACGTTCGGGGTGCCTATGAACAACTATGACATGCCTCAAATGCCGTACATTCCATTAAATATGCCTACTCAGAACGCACCTGAAAACCACCCTGGCGAAGTGGAAATAAATCTTAAGCAGGCCTTGGAAAAAATCGACGATCTTCCAGTAAAAAAATCAACAATCATCAGGCACGAAGTGTACCCCATTTACCCCCAAAACATGCCGCCGCAATATTACCCCGGTATGCCACAAAACAGCCAGCAACCCAGACAGAATTGGAACTGGCCTGGAGCTCAATATTTCCCCATTGTAATAAGAGATCCTTTCATACAGATGTATAACGCTATCACCACTATGGTAGAATATGGGCCTAGTGTGATGGGTGGAGGTAATTCTTGTAAAGGGAAGGGGAAAGATGGGAGAACTCCGAAAACCGTGGATGCAAATAGTGAAGAAGAAGATGATGTTTTGGAGATGGACTTGGAGGATATTCACATTCATTCTAGCGTTCCCATTGCAGAAAGACAGTCCAGGATAAATGATGAGGATAAAATCACTAGAAGGAACAACTTTTTGACTGCCATATCTAAAAGTAATGCCACCATGTACCTCCCTATAAAGTCACCTCCAAGTGATCTAAGAAACGACTCCATATCACCTCCCCCTCGAGAACCTCTTCCGGAATACGAAGACGACGTTGAAGATGAAGAAGTGAAATCGGACGACATAACCTTGTCGAACGACCACACAAAGAAGGTGTTCAGCAAGGATAACACAGGGAGTGGGATCTTCATCCACAAGCTGAAAGTTCGTAAAGGAGGGGTGGCTATTGCGGGTCCTGGAGGTATAGCGACTGCTGGTAGTGGGGGTACAGCAATTGTGGGGCCCAATGGTTACGCCTACACTCATCCTGATAGTCTGGCGATAGCTGGGTCTGGTACTAAGGTCATAGCGTTGGACCCTAGCGTAGATATGCTCGATGCTGTTCATAATCACAATAAGACCAGGATGGGGAAAGTTGTGGCCACAGGGCCTGTTATTTATTATAATAGAGGTTAGGTTCAACCTGGTGGGTTGTGATGTAATTTGGGCTTAGAGAGGTTGCTGATAGAGCTAGTACAATATTTTGGTGATATTTTTGTTTGTGTTTTTAATGTAAAAATGCCATGTATTAATTTAGATTTTAAAATTTGTTCTTTTGTTGAAAAATTGTTTTTTAAATTAGCAAATTTTCCACAAAAATTATATGGTTAGGTGGCAAAATGTTTAAAGGTTTTCTTTTTAATTTTTGTTTATCGTAGAAGTCATTTTTGATAAAAAGTTTTGAAATGGACAAAGTTTAGCACTTTAATGATGTTTTAACAGAATTTTTTTTTAACTTAAACAATTGATGGTCAAAAAAATTTTTAAATATAAAATATTATCAATTCTTATGTAAAATTATCCTCTGAATCCAAAAACATCGTCAAAAGTTAATAAACAGTTTTTGAGATATAATAGTCAATTTTCAATTTAATATGGAATTGACTATATCTCAAAAACTGCTCCACATTCATCATTTTTGACGGTATTTTCGGATTTAGGGGACAATTTTACACAAGAATTGCCTGTTAAATTTTGGGATACCATGGTATTCCATGGTTAACGATGGTACAAGTGAAAAAGCAACCACTAATAACTTTTAAATTAGTCATTTTTGAAAAATTCATTTATGAGAGATTGTTTTGAGATTAAAAAAATTTAACATTTTAAACTATTTTGGTAGAAAATGTTTTAAATGTGTTTTTATTTTTGACTAATTAATTTTTAGAGAGATTGATTATAATCAAAAAGTATTTTAAATATAAAATGCAAAAGTTTAAGTTTAAAACATTAGTTTTTAATTTAATTGTAGTTAAATGATTCGGACTTTTTCTCATAAAAATTTTCAAAAATATAAATTTTCTCTTGAATCGATTTAATTTTTTCCCAATTCATGAAGACCCTTTACATAAAATCACATTTTTTTTAAGGCAATGTTATTTTTTCGACTATCAAAACTTTTTAACAAGAATGACTTTTCTTCGAAAAACCAAAAATAAGAAATTTTTAAAACACAAAACTCATTCGATAAAATAATCCACATCTAATAGCGGTTGCTATGGAAACAAATCGAATATTAGTATATATTTTTTTAAATTTTGAATACACCCGAAAATGAAAAAAAATATATAGAAACCCCAAAAATTAAACTTCAAATTTATGCCATCTAATCAAAACATGTTTTCCAGTAAAAAAATAAGATTTTTTTTTACAAATATGCATTTGGTTTAATTCATTATACTTAAAACTTAACTTTTAAAAACAAATCTTTGAAATAAATCGACTGCATCCTAACTTATTTATTAATTTAGAACATTACATTTTGTTTATTTATTCTTATTAATGTTTTAATAAAACTCTTTGTTTAGCAATGACCATTATTTTCCTTTTAGAACATAAAATTGTTTTTCCCATAAAATTCAAACAATAAACAACATTTTTATCTCTCAAAATCCTGTTTCGAAAAAATGTATTATTTTATACCGCTATGAATAATAAAAAAAAATAACAGAACTTGCTGGACAACAGCAACAATATGTCCAATTTTGGCAAAATGGAACAACCATTACGGATCGACAACAGGTAGTATTTGGGTCATTATTGAAGTAACTGTACCCAGTGCCCAGTATACTGGCTCTACACGAGTCTAGTCGCATCGAAAATGGTAATTTTTAAACGAAATTATGTAACTCGTTTTTACAATACAATAAACATATTTTTATTAACAAAGGTCAATAGCATTGTCGAGGAGCGAAATAAATTACAAGAGTTTATTTCCCTATGACGTTAATACAAGTCTACAAAATATTGGCATACCTACACTGAGCAACAAAAATAACCCATCATTTTTGTATTTTCTACATTGTTTTTTTTTCAATGAATTTTAGAAATATTTTCAATATTATGTAAGTAGCCTGATTTTTCTACTTTGACTGGAAACTATTAATTATTTTATAAAAAAATATGTTATTATACAGGGGCATAACAAAAGCATATTTTTTTTTGTAATTTTGATGTCTTTTAAAAAAATTAAAAGGAAATTATATTGAAGGGTTAAAAAATTAGCAGGAATCTTCCAAACACTATTGTCATTAAAAAATTGAAATTTTTTTACAGGGTGTTTAAAAATTAGGAAAACATGAAATCGATTTAAGAGAATTCTCTACTTCAGTACCTTTCTTTATATTTTATAAGAAAAAGTTGTTTGTAATTAGAAATCAAGTCTGAATACAAAAAAAACCAAATTATTTCGTTGAAAAAGTACACGTGATTTCAGTATCCAAGAAAAGATGCCATCACTGGTTTTTAAACTGAAATTAGGGGAAGAGGAAGTGGGTAAAGTTACGAAATACATCAGTAACCCAATAAACATTTTTGTTTTTATAGTGGTTATATCATCCAAATTATCAAACCTAAATTTCTTAATTTAGTTAAAGAAATATTTATATCACTCTTATATATCCCTTAAAGAGTTTATTTGGTTAATATTTGGTTAAAATTAACAAATTTTTTTTTTCTGTGTACTATTAATAAAAAAACATTAAAATCCCACCAAAAACCATTTCCACCAATAGTAACACTGGATTTTCTGCCTTAGAAATCATCCCAGCTACCCAAAACTAACAAAATCAAACTATAACACTCATGACGTTTACGAGGTAAATCGCGATAGCAACGAAAAAAAATTGAACGTCGTGATGATCGAGCCAATGGGAGAGGCGGTGGCAGGAGAGGGCGGCACCGCCATAGCCAACCCGATGTCGACGGTGTTCGCGTCGCATAACGCACGAGTGCGCATCTTTTACGAGCCCACGGCCTACGCGATCGCTGGGCCGGGCGGCATTGCGCACGCGCAGAGCGATCTAGAGATCAACCTCTTCGATTACGACATCAACTCAATAAAACATTTATAAAACCAAAGGAATTTGTGAATGCATACTGTAAAACATATAATAAATGTTATTATATGAAGATATTTCTTTAATTTCTAACTAATTTTAAAACCACAACACAAAATTGTGACTAAAAATTAAAATTTTCTTGTTCAGAAACGCAGACACAGTGACCATAATCCCGTTCTACGGCGGCGGAAAGGGTCAATCGCTGGTGATCACGAAAACGGAAGACGGAAAAGTGACAACGTCGATCATAAAAACGCCCACTTCCGGCACGACTACGACCGAGGAATCGACGAGCCCGGCCGAAGTGGAAAACCCGCCTCTACCGAGCAAAAACGAAATCGTCAAGGCCAGGAACATGAAGGAGGAAGAAGAGGAGGCCGTCGTCGTCGAAAAAGAAGAAGAAGAGGCGGAGGGTCAGTTGGAGCACGAATCGCGCGAAGGTTTGAGCGCCTGGTTCGCGAGGAAGAAGCAGAATAAGGTGGAGAAGGTGGCGGAGAAGAAGAAGAAGACCACCACCAAGGAGGAGGTCGACGAGGATAAGAAAAAGAAAGAGGAGGAGGATAAGAGGAAAAAGGAGGAGGAAAACAAGAATAAGGAAGAGGAGAATAAGGAGGAAGAAACTGTGGATGCAGATGATACAGTTGCCATTAATCTTCCCAGCGAAGATTCTTCAATTGCCGAAGCAAAACCCGTTGGACTAGCAATAGCAGGTAACTTTTTGCAATGGGGTAGTTACATTTTTTCTGACCTATACTTTTTATGGTTTTATTCAAGGCGTTTTGTAATATTAAATATTTCTGTGAAATCAGAATTTCAATTGAGTTTACCGTTTTCGAGATATTTACAAAAAATATAAATTTTTATGACGTCACAAACCTCGCCATGTGACCAACATTCTAAGATTTCTATTGGTTGAAAATTACCCTGTTGTCAAGTTGTCTTGTTAATGATTTCATTCGGTTAGGTCAGAAAATACCCGAAGAGGTTATGTACAAATACTGTCACTGTCAGTTGAGTGAAAGATGGTCACCAAATTCATTAAGTACCTATCTTCCTTATTACGAGGTATCATATTACTGTTTGATATTTTAGAGTCCAAGATATATCTAAAAGAATATAAAGAACTAGGCCTACTAATGAAATGCATTTACGACAAAATATGATTATAATTATAGGTACTTACTTTATTTGTTTAAAAGCTCCAATGTTCAATGTAACCAACCATTTCACAAGATTCCTCTGCTTTGGAGTCCGTTATTAATAAATCACTTATCTAATAGCAATTACAAATAACATAACAATAACAATGATTTTCAATAATCTAAATTTAAAAAAAAACATAACCCGAAAAAAAAACGTCAAAAAATCAATTCTACTTCTTCTTCTCAACTAAAATTATAGATCAAGTGGTTTTAAAACTAAAATATTATAACGTGGCGCCATATATCGTAATATCTTAAACTAAACACACTGGCAACCATAGAAAAAGCTGGCAACGTTGTCAATAGCCTAGTGACGTAATTATGAGATTTTTTTTTGTAAATATCTCGAAAACGGTAAACTAAATTGAAATTCTGATTTCACAGAAATGTTTAATATTACAAAACGCCTTGAATAAAACCATAAAAAGTATAGGTCAGAAAAAATTTAACTACCCCATTAACGTACAGTATTAATTAATCTTAAGATACCTATTATAATACTTTTTTTAGGGGAAGGCGGTGTTGCCGCTAGCAAACCAGTGGCGCAAGCAGTGGTGGGTCCAGGGGGTTTGGCAGTTGCCAGACCTATAGCGACAGCTTTTGCCGGGGTACCTCCGGATCAAGTCCCCAATTTTGGAAAGAAAGGATCGCACGAAAAAAATAGTTATCTCAGCAAGATTTTATCGAGGTATCATCAAGAATAATTGTGTGGGCTTTGAGGATTTTTTTAAATAAATGATTAGGAAATTAAGGATTTTTTTACTTATGAAATGGGAAATGTTTCAATTAATTTCAGGTAAATAAATAAAAAAATAGTATTTTTAACAATGTGGTTTATTAACTAAATAAAATAATTAAAAAATATATAGATCGACATACACACGTATGGTCTACAGTTTCTGTTCAGTTTTAGTGTTTAGTGTTTTTAACAAGTTTTTATTCTTATTTCGATGTTGTTACGAAAAAAAGTTATTTTTAGTAGTAGACATTTTATAATTTAAAATTACATTAATTCAATAATTAATTAGTACCTATAGGTACTAATGGGTTATATATAATATAACTCCATAAATTTGCACTATTAAAAGATTTAAGTTAAACGAATCATATTTTGCCTCGAAACCAAAGTACACCAATGATTTCTGGGTTGCATACCCACATGCTTCTAAGTGATGACGGACAAGTTATAAAAATCCTACCAAGGTTGTCATTTTTATTGTAATTTTATTTAAAAGCAACATGACAGTTTTTCAGATTTTTCACAAAACTCATTGAAGACAAAGTTGTTCCAGCATAGGCAATGCGTTAAAAAATGCTTTTTCTGTGTTTTTCACATGAGATAACCTTATAGAGAAACAAACATGTTTCTCTTTGGAAAATCATTTACAAACATAAAGTTTTTATTACATTTTTAATCTTAAAATTATTTATGGAAGCAGACGTCAAGCACTATTTATCAAGCTTCAATATAAACTTTAATGATAAAGTAATACATAGTGGTAAGTTATGTATGTTTTATTAAAATACGGTTTTTACAATAAAAAAAGAAACTACTTTAAAGGAATTGGTTTAAATGGGCGCTCAATAAAATTCCTTTTGGATCTTTGGAGGAAGAATATCGGGATGACGCCTGGTAAATTCTTCGGGATCCCGTGGAACAGCACCTGGATAAACTGTGACCATTTTCCCGCAAAATTTGACTTGGAACTGCCTTTCTTCGAGATTTTTAACTGCCTGTCGCGATCCCAAATAACTCTGGCACAGGCTCCATTGCATACATGGTATTATTTTTATGAACCACGTATCTTCCAAGATAAACTCGTTATTTGACGCCAATTCGTGGTAGATTTTGTGTCGGTTTAATTTAGAGGTATCCGTCAGGTTTAAGGTAACACAATCTTTGTCTGGTAATAAAAAGTAAAACACTTTGACAGGATTCACTTCTGGATAAGATAAAACCGTAAACGAGCATTTGGGGAGCGCCCCAATTAACCACTCCTTTGCATCTTTAGTGCCGTTTAGCCATAGACATTTATCCACATAAACAATCGAGTAAAACTTGGGCAATGGTATAAAGTAATTGAAAAGACCCTATCTCAGAGCTTTGGACAGTTTTTCCTCGATTTCGATCACATCGGCGACCTCGAAGGGACGGTCGATATTTCGAACGTCCACTATTTTTACAAAATTTTTATTTACTGTGTGTCCCAATCTATCCGGGTTTATTTGAGGTTTTCCCGGGATCATAACCAAGTCCTTCGGTTTAGTCATAACATTCATGAACCATGGTCTGGGCATTGGTATATAATTGTGGGGTAATTTTGGTGAAGGAACACTGGGTGTAAAAGGTACAGGGGGTACGGTATTGGCAAACTTTGTAAAATGACCATCGACATTTAAATTTTGCACAGAAGCAGACGCCGCGACTGTACTAGGTCTCACATAAAGACCACTATTGCGCGCTTCTCAAAAAAAAAATCTAAAAAATCCTTTTGGATCTTCGGAAAATAAATGTCGGGATGACGCCTGGTCTGTTCTTCGCGATCGAGTGGAACTTCACCTGGATACAGTGTGACCATTCTCCCGCAAAATTTCGAACGTCCACTATTTTTACAGCATTTCCTTTTATCATTGATGCAAGTTATAATGTTTTGAAACTATCCGGATTTATTTGAGGTTTTTCCGGGGTCTTGACCAAGGCCTTCGCTTTCGAACAGATGGATGACGCCTGGTATATTCTTCGCGGTCACGTGGAACCTCACCTGGATACATTGTGAGCATTCTCCCGCAAAATTTGACCTGGAACTGTCTTTCTTCGAGATTTTTAACTGCCTGCCGCGATCCCAAAGAGCACTGGCACACGCACAACGGCTGTCCCGTCGTGAGAACATACGATTCCATTAACCAATTGTCTTCGATGACAAACTCGTTATTTGACGCCAATTCGTGGTAAATTATATTTCTTTCTTCACTTTTTGTACGGTACTTTTTTAAGTTTAAGGCAACAAAAGGTTCATTTGATAATATAAAGTAAAACATTTCGAAAAGATTTACTTTCGGATAGGTTAGAACCGTAAGGGACCATTTGGAGAGCGCCCCAATTAGCCACTCCTTCATATCTTTATCGCCACTTAGCCATACAAATTTATCCAAATAAACCATCGCGTAAAACTTGGGCAATGTTTTCTCGCGATTGGAGAGAGATTCTCTCAGAGCTTCGGATAGTTTTTCCTCGATTTCGATCACGTCGGATACTTCGAAGGTCCGGTCAAAATTTCGAGCGTCCACTATTTTTACAGCATTTCCTTTTCTTATTGATACAAGTTCTAATGCTTCGAAACTATCCGGGTTTATTTGAGGTTTCTCCGGGATCTTAACCAAGTCCCTCGGTTTAGCCAAAAAATGTATAAACCATGAACTTGGCATTGGAATATACTCGTTTTCTTTTAATTCTCGTGTTCTTATTGGTAATTGGTCGGCTAAAAAAGTTGAGAATAATCCATTTAGCGGTATTTTTGGTGAAGGTACACTAGGTGTAAAAGGTACAGACGGTACCTCCGTCCTGTCAAACTTTGTAACTGGATCATCGACAATATTTAAATTAAGTGCAGGGCAACTATCTAAGAACCTTTCCCTAAAGGTAGGATCCATACTACGGACAAGTTCGTTTAAATTCACTTGTCCGGTAACTAAATTCTGATAAACCTGTTTAACAATCTGATCAAACACCACTTTATTGGCGATTTGTCTCGCGAAAGTTTCCGTATAATCGTGAACTTGCTTCATGTAATTCCTATAATCACTTCCAAGTATATTATCGTTCCTTGAATTCGCCATGAAATTGTTGAAATGATTCAAACCTTGTTCTTGCAAATTTTGCAGCTGTAAACCATAATTTGCTTCATTTGGTGGTACGTGTGGCAACACAGCCGATGTGGTAGGTTTAGCAACGTCGAAAGCGTCACATTGGACTCTAGCAGACTGCGTTGCAACAGTGGTGACCGCATTGCTCGCCGATTGGCCGATTTTGACGTTTATTTCTATGTCGGTGTTTTTTTCTATGCTGACTTCTTGTATTGTTGGAATTATTGGTTCTTCGGGTACTTTCTGGTCTAAAATTATTTTGTGGTGTGTTGAATCCTTGTTTAGTTCTATTTCAGTTGCGTTCGTATTTTTAGATGTTATTTTTTGATTATTTTGGGTTGTGTTAGAGATAGGTTCATTTACATTTAAATCTTGATTTTTAGGCAAAATTGCTTGACTTGTATTTTTGTCTTTGTTTTTATCGTCCACTATAACAGTCTCTAAACTTTTATTCAAATTTTCCACTATTTTTGGAGGAGGTACACTTGATGTAAGAGGTACAGGGGGTATATTTTGAGGCAAACTTTCTGTGTTGGCTATGTTTGTCTCTTGCAGTCGTTTTCGATTTCTTCTTCTTCCTCCTCTTTTAGATTTTTGAAATGTAGTTATGTTACAGGCTTCTCCAACAGAGGTTTTCTCTACTTTTTGGGGTGACACATTTGGTATAATTGGCACAGGGGGTGGAATAGTTTTATTAAACTGTATTGGAATAGGATTTGTTGTATTATTTTCATAATTTACCGGCTCTGGCTCTATAACAGATCCTGAACTGTTTAAATGTTTCACACATGGTGTAGTTACACTTGGAGTAAACATCACAGGGGGTGGTATATTCACAAATGTTGAATCCTTGTTTAGTTCTATTTCAGTTGCGTTCGTATTTTTAGATGATATTTTTTGATTATTTTGGTTTGTGTTAGAGATAGGTTCATTTACATTTAATTCTTGATTTTTAGGCAAAATTGATTGACTTGTTTTTTTGTCTTTGTTTTTATCGTCCACTATAACAGTCTCTAAACTTTTATTCAAATTTTCCACTATTTTTGGAGGAGGTACACTTGATGTAAGAGGTTTATTTTGATTAGGAGGCAAACTTTCTGTGTTGGCTTTGTTTGTCTCTTGCAGTCGTTTTCGATTTCTTCTTCTTCCTCTTTTAGATTTTGTTAAAGTAATGGCTTCTCCAACAGAGATTTTCTCTACTTTTTGGGGTGATACATTTGGTATAATTGGCACAGGGGGTAGAATAGTTTTATCAAACTGTATTTGAATAGAATTTGTTGTATTATTTTCATAATTTACCGGCTCTGGCCCTACAACAGATCCTGAACTGTTTAAATGTTTCACACTTGGTGTAGTTACACTTGGAGTAAACATCACAGGGGGTGGTATATTCACAGAGGTTATACCTAGTTTTTGGGGTGACACATTTGGTATAATTGGTACAGGGGGTGGGATAGTTTTATCAAACTGTATTTGAATAGAATTTGTTGTATTATTTTCATAATTTACCGGCTCTGGCTCTATAACAGATCCTGAACTGTTTAAATGTTTCACACATGGTATAGTTACACTTGGAGTAAACATCACAGGGGGTGGTATATTCACAGAGGATGTCCCTAGATTTTTGGGCGACACATTTGGTATTATTGGTACAGGGGGTGGAATAGTTTTATCAAACTGTATTTGAATAATATTTGTTCCATTATTTTGATAATTTACTGGTATAATTGGCACAGGGGGTAGAATAGTTTTATCAAACTGTATTTGAATAATATTTGTTCCATTATTTTGATAATTTACCGGCTCTGGCCCTATAACAGATCCTGAATTGTTTAAATGTTTCACGCATGGTGTAGTAACACTTGGAGTAAACATCACAGGGGGTGG